GATTGTTATGGAAGCAGAATTTATCATTTTGGATTCTGGAAGAGAATTTAATGTTGCAATCCTTTCTTATAAAACAATGCAGATTTTTAGGCTGTGTCTGGACTCTGGAGATTGAATTCTTAAGGATTTCACTTTTGGTATAAAGCACAAGAATTCATTTTTAGATTATTATGAAAGCAGAATCTATTATTTTGGATTCTGGAGAGAATTTAATGTCTATTATTAATCCCCTATACTGATATAATGAGCATTTGAGCCATAGTTGACTTAATATTCTCCCATAATTCCTCATTAATCATCCAATCCCTGGGAATAATTGCATCATGGGTAAAGAGTTCCATTAAAGATGTAGACTTACTTTTAAACATACAGTAAAACCTGTCTATTTGGAATGTAAGAGCCAGGTCAAAAGTGTTCAGATTGGCAACATTTTGATGTTATCTGAAAAATGATATTGAAAAAAGTGTTCAGATTAGAGAGGTGTTCGTATATAGGTTTTACTGCACATCAAGCTAATCTTGAATACAATTGCTAAAGCCATGCCCCATGATACCAAAAGTTAACATGGTAGCATTAAATGCCACATGCATACACACACATTTGATTGAATACTGACATCCTGTGTAGACTGGTAAAAAAAAGTTGTACTATTAAGCTGACCTTAAGCTTTTTAGAGATGAACATTAATTTCTAAGGAGACATATAAAGGCTATTAGTTATTAGTCCTAACTATTATTCTAACAGGGAATCTATATTTTTATGCCATTTGATAGAACATTAAAACTATGTTGCATGCGATGTTTATTGAACTATAGAATTCAAGGAGAGGCATTTCCAAAATATTGATTCAAGCTAGTTTCTTTTTCTCATTTAATCTTACTCTGAAACCCTGCTAAGTAACTAGTTACCTGGCACTAACTAGCAAAATATGATTTTCAAAAAGATCACCTCAACCATATTAATTCTGTTTTCTTATACCGAGATATGTTTTAAGTTTTGATAAATTGGCAGAAATGATTCATGTTATCTGTGGTTAGGAAAATATGGATAGTATTATACTCAATGTTTGTATGTCTAGCAGAGTCTAAAAAAATACTGGCACAGGTGTGCTCGAAATGTGGTTTGCCAGATTTCGTGAAAAAAATTCCCAGACAGAGTGTTATTACTGCTTTTTGAACCAAGCAGCAGAACCATTACAATTACAATGTCAACTGCTTCTATAAATCTTGGATCAATCCCCTTTGTTGCCCCCCCCCCTCAAATACAAAGGGTGTAGAGGCTAAATGTAAGACTAGAAGAATAATAGTCTTGCACTTTGCATGACTATGATTCTATGAATGTTTGTGCTCAGTGTTAACATCTTAGATTTCCAAGGTATGAAGTTTGAAAATCAAACTTGTAAGCGAGTATATAATGCCAATAGAATGGATAAATCTGAAAATTGTCGTCAACATGTTTTATAACACCCACGACTTGCCCTATGCACTTGAACTTCTATTTAACTGGTTCTGGGATGAATGCATACTCTTAACACTTTCTAATGATAAGGCATGATCAAGAATTATTTCTTAGTGAATCAAGGATGAATGATCACTCTCGAAATGCTCTTACAAATCTTGAAGTTCTTTCAGAGATCTACTTTATTTTGTATTTTGACACTGAAATGTCTGAAAGAAGTATGCTATACTTTTATGGCATAAAAACTGTTAATATTTGAGAATATTTTATTTATGACCTATAAGGGGTCACATTTAGATTGCAATGATCTCATATTATTAGTTTCATTATCACTTTATTCCAAATTACATTAGATGAGTATATTTTACACTATAATATGTATTACAGACTTTGATATTTGCTCTTGCTAATATGCTGTATAACTAGATTCCCTACAAGGTACAATAATGTCGAAAGCCTCATTATTGAGTGCTTGTTTGCCCGATTCCTGACTCCACTGAGGATTTCTCCTAACTCTTCTCTCGATCAATATCAGCTAAAAACAATGTCTTTCAAGCTCAATGCTAAATTAATAGGAGCAAGAAATAATGCAATGTACAATGCATGATTATTGAAATGGATTGTACATGAATGAAAGCACTGTGCTAATGTGTGTTGTCTTCATGTTTTGTTGAAGTTACATTTTATCTTGCTGAAGAGGTGTGATCTTCAATTTTCTCACCTGCTTTTTGCAAACTGCTTGACTAATTGCTTTGAAATTCTTTGAAGAAGTTTAGGACTGGAAAATCTAGTAGAACAAGATTAGATTTTAGGCATGCTTGGTAAATTTTTAAAAAACTTCTCAAGGCTATATCCAAGTACAGTAAAACCTGTTAAGTGGAACACCTCAACAAGTAGAAAACCTCCGTTCGTGGAACACTTTTCAAAGTCCCAAGACCTTACTGACTTAATGTTAAATGAACCTCTATACGTGGAACACCTCCCAAGTAGTCTACTTTAAGAGGTATCAAATGTGTTCCACTTAGACAAGTTTTACTGTATTGAACGTCAGTTACCATGTTTGTAAATAACTATTTCATCTCATGTTTCACCGAATCGAGCATATACTTTCATATTTTATCAAAGTGGCACATTGCATATGGTAGGTAGAATATATGGTAGAGCTGATATAATTTTTTTTTTATTTATTTGTTTTCTATTTATTCCTTTATTCATACATATTTCAACTACATTGGACAATGAATGGGTGACACTGCTCGTTTATATTCTCGTATAGTATATTATACCACTCTAAGTCCGATTACAGTTGTATAACATGGGTCTATAACAACGATATACAGTGGAGAGTGGTATATCGTCATCGTATACAACTCCTCCGTATACACTCCAGCGTATACCACTGTAGAAGTGCATTCTGGGAACTAATGAATATTGACCGAAGAACGAGGTGAATGTTTTGTTACATATGATTTCCTAGAATCAAGTGACGTCATAAATGGTTCCCGCATGATTTGCTAGAATCAAGTGACGTCATAAATGGATCGTGATCAAAATCGGCATTACTGAGTTGGCTATGGGATATTTTTATGTGTTTTATAATGTTATGATTGTGTTTGAATCAACTGTAATTGAACTTAGAGTGGCATAATAAGATTATATAATGGTTCATTCTGTATATCATGCATTTTATACTCTCGTGAGAATATAATATATTCACTCGTTCGCTACGCTCACTTGTGAATATATTATATACTCACTCGAGTATAAACACGATATACAGAATGAATCATTATATAACCTCATAATATATCATGGCGAGGTGATAGGAATCTAGGGTAGTATGGAAGCTGCAAAAGGTTTATTACAAGACAAGCTTCAACTCATTTTGATGGCGTATCATCATCTGGGTTATCTTTTATTGCTACCATTTGTCAAATTTATTGTCCCATTTATATCATCACTTGTTTTTTTAACCAAGAATTACTATGGCAGCCATGTATAACATATATGCACCTACCTAGTATAATGCTAAACTAAAACGTAGTACAAGTAGTGATCAATAAATTCGTATAAAAAGAATATGTATATCAGTGGCCTACACCTAAGGTGGCCTCTGAAAAAAATGAGGGCCACCCAGGACCACCTCTGTATATGTTGCTAGTTTGTTTTCTCTACATATATTATCAATATGATCAAAAATGAGACTACATGTAGTTGGCAAATCTATTGAAGAAATAGCCAAGAATTCGATATAACACTCATAACAACATTGACCTGAATAGGATGAGATGGTGGCATATTAAGATATAATTATGAGGAAATAATCTAATAGCTTCACATTGAAAGTGGCAGAGTTACGGCTTAGTTTAATACATGTACATGTATCTAATAACTCTGAGTGAATCTGTATAATTTGGTATACGTTAGGTATAAATATCTGGTAATCCATCTTGATTCTCTCTCAGAATGTGTGGAATCTTATTTCTGGACTGTTGTTTATGTTGAATGGTATTCGGACTAGAATCATTGACTTGTAATAAGATGTTTAACAATGTACAGCGCTTGGACTCACTCTTATATAATTGATTCACAATAATACATCAGCTCAACTGGAAATTTAATTACTACGACTTATGGGAAATAATGCTATTGACTCTAGGCCGGGGTTTATTGATAAATTCTCTTGTAGGCTTTATACCAGACATTTGTAAATTATGTCCTTGCAAGATTTTCAACCCAAAATCAGATTTAATTAAGTAAGTGTTGAATATCTTCCTTGTATTATTTCTCTGGTGGTGTTGTGTTTGGAGAAGCTGTTTACATGCTATGACAGTGAATCAGCATTATGTAGGATTAATGTAGGGGATTATAAGACATCAGTTATGTAGGGTAGCTGGAAATCCCTTGGTCATGTATTATGTATGTTCTGTTGTCTCAATCAGAACTTGATCAATCAGTATCACAGAAGATGAGGAAATAGTGATGTACAAACCATTCTTTGGTCAGTGTTAGTTATGAAAATATATAACATGTAAAAAGGAGAGTTATATTTGGATGTGTATTCGGAGGAGTGAATAGTACGGCAAGTTGTAGTAAATAAGAATCAAGATTGCGTAAGTTGTTTCCGTGCAATACAAGGATTATGGATACGTTAAGGCGAAGGAAAGTAATCAAAGGTATTGTTAGTTAGCAGTAATTGTAAAGCTGTTGTTTTACTACTGTATTGTTTCTATGGTTAGAGAAACATTTATTCGGCATCTTGATGTAGAAGGATTCGCTGATTCTGATTTATCGTAGTTTGTCATTATCTAACACTTCAAAAATAGAGGTTCGGGAAATAATGGGTTTCAGTCATTCTAATTGTATATTGGTATAAACATATTAGGATAAATATCTCCAGTTATAATGTTAATATTTATGTTGATGTATTGTAAAGGGGTATGCCATTGTATATATTTATTTTATTGATGCCCTGATGTAATTTTTAATGATGATACCTTTTACTTTTTCTAAAACATCCTATCATTTTTATGTACTTGCAGATGTTAAAGCCGAACTTGAAGCACAACTAAAATGTCTGGATGGACGTTTGGAGACCCAGAACACAATGGTCTGGGAATATGCCGAATTTTTCCGTCGACGTTCAGAAATAGAAATGGAGTACTCAAGGGGTCTTGATAAATTGGTGAAGAACACTTATATGAGATACAAGACAGAGAAAGCCAGGTAAGAATAGTAGTTTTTTGTGCCAGATTTTGTGCCACATGATATACAGTGGTTACCCCAGGAATTTTTCTCAGGTGGGTGCAAAATTCTCATTTTCACAATTCAGACCAAAATTGGTCAAAATCTGCCAATTTTTCATGATTTTTCTCATTTTCAAGTGGGTGAAAATAGGTTTTCAGGTGGGTGCAAGTCTATTTTCAAAATTTCAAGTGAGTGCTGAGCCTACTTGTTTTAATGCTGGGGAGATCACTGATATATGAATATGTGTTATGCCTCAGTCACATTTGATCTACGGAAACTGTACAGTACTTCCCAAAATTGAGAGAAATATGGAGCATACAATATAGGGATAAGCATATGTGTATAGGTTTTCTATATCAATTCTGTTAAGCTACAGCCAGCCATCGTATCCCCGTTGTAGAGCAAATGTGACTGAGGCTTTACTCCATTTATATTTCATTCAATTAGGACTTCCTCATTATAGTTTCTATGAAACTAGAAGTTGTAATGAGTTGTGTATATTAGTTCCTTAAATATTTTTAAAACTCATTTCAGCCTATATTTTCATCAAATTTATCTAATTTTTAAGGTCACTTTGTCATAATATATATCATCAGTCATTTTCTTTGTTCATCAAACTTCAATCATTTCTCTAACTCATTATGTTCTCTCATATTTTAATTATTATTTCTCCGTTAATTACTTTATAATTACTCCATTGAACTTTCAGATCTGGTTTGGGGTATGTATATGTTGTGAAAAGCTTGAGTGTATAGATATTTGTCCACATTTCATTTATATAAGGCATTTCCATCACAATTCTCCCTCTCATACACAAGATTATAAATGATTGAAAAACTATGGATGCAAAGTAGAGATTTTTCTTGTCGTGTTCTTTAGCTTGGCTTCCACTGACTTGTGTTGCTTGAAGACTTGGTTATCAATGTTTTTGAGAAATCAGTTCACTGGTATCTTTAATCCAGGAAAAAGGCAATTGATATATTGGGTTAATGTGACCTTAGTGCCAAATATGCAATTTATATGTATATCTGCCTCTTTATTGAATATCATGTTATAAAAACCTCCTCTTAAGCATACTGTAAGTATTAATCAATACATAACTTATCACAGTATAAAATCCCAAATGATTTTAGTAGAAATCAATAAGTGCCGTTTACAGTAGAATAAGTTCTCTTATAAAGAACATTCTTCCATTTTTCCGTAGAAAACTTTCGAAGATTTTGAATTAAGCTCACTTGCAGAAATCATGTTGCCACCTTCTTCCCATACAGCTAATATAACCGAAGACCCAGTGTTATGTTTAACTCGTTATATGTAGATTGGGAATTGTAAATTTCTTTTTGCAAGTAACCTTTACAAGAAGTAAGTTAAAGACCACTTATTCTTTGCCAGGTTATGAATGTCATTTAAGGCATATATTCAGTATATACATTGTAAAATCAGATATCCTTTGCTTGCTTTATTTGGTTCCTCGCTCTTCGAATGATTCAACTCTCATTTATTTTCCCAAGTCATCAAGTGATGATTCTAATCAAGCCCTCGATGTTGATGGTCTCTCTAGAGAAATATCCAGGATGTAATGAGTAAAACCAAGTTTCACATCGAACAAACTCTGATTTAGTGTTTAAGCAATGGTTGGTATTTACATCAAACAAATGCCTGAACAAGTATTTATAGATAAAGTGGAGGGTTGGGGGAGGGGTGTAGACAAAAGTCTGATAAAGGACGATTCTCGGTTTGGAGAACGAAGTTCATCAATCTAAATGAGCATTATCCCTGCTTCGGACAAATTTGATTTTTTTACATAATATAGATTTGAATGTCTTCTTTTGAATAGTCATAATTTAATTTGGGTAATATTTCTAGATTTTTCGCAAAAAAAATATTAGCGCAGTACACTGATGAACTTCTTTCCCCAAATCGAGACTTGTATTTTATTGAATCGTCTAATTGAGCGTTATCCCTGCTTCAGACCAATTTGTTATTTTTACATTGTGTAGATTTAAATGTCCTCTTTTGAATATTCATAGTTTAATTTGGGTAATATTTTTATATTTTTCATGAAAAAAATTATTAGCCAAGGAGACTGTTCTCCAAACCGAGAATCGTCCTTTATATTTAGGTTGAGTAAAAGGCTATGGCCAATGCTTAAAAGGGATAGGACAGAACAAAAATATTTCAGAGTAGCGTGTTTTTCATAAATTAAAGGGAAGTTACTAAAATTGATGTCCTGTTATAAGTGTTTTCTAATGTTCTGAGTTCTGATACCGAAGCTAAATACCATGGATACCAACAATTTTGGGCAACCATCCCATCCTTATACATGCATATTTCTATAGTTACCTAGTTAAGAGAGCAAACTCCATTCAATGACGAGCTTTATCTTCTGTTTTCCAGTAATTATATGGAGCCAACTATTTCCTTATGAATGTCAATTACTTGCCCATGTATACAGTCATATCTATATACATGTACACCTTTCCTCCTATACTATGCTAGAATGTAGACATTAAGATCAAAAGGATTCCATCACCTGCTTGGCAATTTATTCACTCTTTTAGATAAGAACTACACTGTTACTTACCACATTATAGACTTCAACAATTTACTCTTCCTGGCTTCTTTTTATTGTAAATATAAACATAAATAGATGTAAATGTATAATAAATGATAATCAAAGAAAGAAATCATTTAAAAATTCAGAACCACATAAAACTAAGTGGACATTTAAAAAAGCTCAAGTCTGAGAACTCTTCTAGGCTTGTATTAAGGACTTCTAGGCTTGTATTCAGGACTTCTAGACTTGTATTCAGGACTTCTAGGTTTGTATCCAGGATTTCTAGGCTTGTATTCAGAACTTCTAGGCTTGTATTCATGACTTCTAGGCTTGTATTCAGGACTTCTAGGTTTGTATTCAGGACTTCTAGGTTTGTATTCAGAACTTCTAGGCTTGTATTCAGGACTTCTAGGCTTGTATTCAGGACTTCTAGGCTTGTATTCAGGACTTCTGGGCTTGGTTTCAGGACTTCTAGGCTTGTATTCGGGACTTCAAGGCTTGTATTCAGGACTTCTAGGCTGTATTCAGAACTTCTAGGCTTGTATTCAGGACTTCTAGGCTTGTATTCAGGACTTAAACATGAAAATGATATTTTATATTTCAGAAGGGAACATTGGCCAGGTACTACTACATACACATGTTGGCAGAACTTACTAGCCATTGCTAAGAAAGTCAGCAAAGACCATGGCATACTAGCTGACTTATATAACAATAACTTTACACAAAGACTTACTGATATAGGAGAGGATGTCTCTAGGATATATAGAAAGGTGAGAACCATGTTTGTTCATTTAGTTACAGTATACAATTATTCACCTCTCCAGAGGTTGACTGTTAAATCCCCACAATGTAAAGAGATACAGCAGGTCAAGGTTTGGTTTACATAATTTCCAGTCATCAAATGAAAAAATTGCATTCTTTCATGTTCCTCATTTATGTCTAGTCATTCCATGAATGTGTTATCAAAACAAATGATAACGAGAGAGTAAAATATCTAGAAAATTATATGAAGGAAAGATGACTCTGTAAATATGATTTTAAGAGATAAGTTGTCTAGCTGCATGCTGGCCTTCGACAGGAATGCATATTGCATTTATACTGTGTGATGTGCTCCACAGGAATGCATATTGCATTTATACTGTGTGATGTGCTCCACAGGAATGCATATTGCATTTATACTGTGTGATGTGCTCCACAGGAATGCATATTGCATTTATACTGTGTGATGTGCTCCACAGGAATGCATATTGCATTTATACTGTGTGATGTGCTCCACAGGAATGCATATTGCATTTATACTGTGTGATGTGCTCACTAGAGACTTCATGAAAATTTCTGAAACCAGGGAAACTCACTAAAGCACCGGGCAAATTGTTTGAAATTACGCATTCAACATAGAAACAGTTGAAAAATTTCTCAATCAAACTGGATAGAAACAACAGGATAAAATAGCCTGTTGCCTTAACCCTGCTCAGTAAACAATGGCTGTTGCATGTAATTTACTATATGTATTACATTGATATTATTTTCATTATTTTCAGTGTCGTGCAATAGGGGAAGAGGAACATAATGAAATTGTGAAAGTATTGAATGAACTACAAAGTGTAAGTATTGTTTCTTATTGAGGGGTGGTGAGCCCCTCGTAAACGGAACAGACACTTAAAAAATGTGATTTTTGTGTTCCATATTACCACATATAATGTGCATTACTTGTGTAATTGAATTAATAATTCAAATATGGTAGTCTCTTAAATTTGCAGAAACTGTATATGAAGTTTTTATGTCACATCCAGAAGTGGTGTCATAAGTCGGTGTCTGTAACAAATGGCAGGTGGTGACATATTGCATGTTATTGCCTCTTTAAATCTGTAACATGTATTGTTAAATCTGTAACATGTATTGTTTTATCTGTAGCATGTATTGTTAAATCTGTAACATGTATTGTTAATTCTGTAACATGTATTGTTATATCTGTAACATGTATTGTTAAATCTGTAACGTATTGTTACAGGCCATGAAAACTTACCATATCTACCATAATGAAAGCCACAATGCTGAGAAGAAGTTGAGAGAAGTGGAAGCTCAGAAAAACAAACTAAAAGACACTGGAAGTAAAAAGTACAAGTCCTTTGAGAAGCAAGTTGACAAGGTAAGATCTCAATTGACCTTTTGCGATCAGAATTCAGGAATTTTGTTTATGGATACTGTTGTCACGTATTTCGTCTTATTGGTATGACGTCATATAGAAATAATATTAGACATGATGGAATCACGAAATGGCGGACACGTGGCAGTTTTGAGCTAAAAATATTGTCGTTTCTTATATAAAAACCATGGGTCGGATATTTACCAGGTATGCCTATTTGACTAGATCATGAGTATGTCTATATATATGCGAAGTTTGGGTGAAATTCATACTAAACATCGATGCCTATAAGCGCCCCCCGTTTTTGTCAAAATCGGGGGGCGCTAAACCGCTATCTAAATCATGTCAGTAAGACATTAGAATTGGTATGTGCTTAGCATGAATGTTGATCTAGTCAAATAGAACGCTTTCGTGAAAAATAAATCAATAAAGCACGAAATATAGAAGATAATCTCTCAAAATCAAGCATCTAAAGCTGTGTGACCTAATTGTGACGTCACTAAAAGACAGAATCCATTCGGTGATCGCAAATCATCAATTGATGCATACACTTTGATATTTGGGTTGTGTATGAGTACCAAGAAATATTACAAATTACCTGGTAGGTATGCACAAGTGAGTAACTGAAAACTGGTGAAACACCAGAACCAAAGTTAAAAGAAATACATGTACAGTGCTCCAGCAGTCTTATGCAAGCTGTATTGAGTAAAATCTGTGTATATTGAACATTTTTTGGCCAAGAAAAAAACGTTCAGTGGTGGAAGGTGTTCACTACAGAGAGTTATTTAATATACAGTAGTCAATAGAGTATGTGCAGTGGAAGGGTGTCCACCAGAGACGGGTGTTCACTTGAGAGAGGTGTTCTCTAAGACAGGTTTAACTGTTTTTGATATTGATCAGAATTGTACTCTGTATCATGTTCTGAAATATGGCAAAATCTCTGCAGGCTCGTATGAAGAACAGTATAATGATGCTACCAATGTATTTCATTCCAGAGAAGGCAAAGGTACCATGAAAATAAGACAAAGTGTCTTAAGGCTCGCAATGAGTACCTGCTATATATTGATGCGGCCAATGCAGCCATGAACAAGTACTTTGTTCAAGATGTTTCAGACCTTATAGATGTAAGTACAATTTTCATAAATCTTTAAATGTTATTTTCTGTCAATATTGCCAAAATTATAACAATACAGAAGCTTTGATAATAGTACATAGCATATTAAACCTGTAAATGGTAGTTATCTCATTTTTGCAATTCTCAAAAGAGGTCACCATCATTATAAAAACTATTTAACCAATACAAAGAAGGTTTAGATTATTCTGTATTATATTGATAATTTTGACAAAGATAACTTTGTTTTAGGATAAAATCAAAAGTGTATAACTATTCACATTTCATTACATAATACATGTACATGTTTACCAGTATATAGACCATCTATATTTCATTACATAATGTACATTTTCCAGTGTATGGACCATGGTTTCCACAGTGCAATAGATAGCAGTCTCAAAATGTACTTGTCTGCAGAGGATAACCTGCAGAAGTCACAGGCTGCCTGTAACCAGCTTATGGCTAAAAGTATTAGTGATTTAGATCAAAGAGCAGATAAACAAAAATTCCTCGAACAAAATAATGCCATGTTTTCCCTGCCCCGGAAGTTTGAGTTTCAACCACACAAAGGGGATGAGGTATGTTGATTCTGAATCAATGTAGATTTTTAAATAGCAGCGAATTTTTTAAGTTAATACATTTTGCATTCAAATCATATTTTATGTCCCAGAGAAATGAAGTGATTTTTTCTTCATTTGATGTATGAACTGAATTTTTCTTAATTGCTTGTCTAGTAATGATAATGATTCACTATAATCAGCATTGCATCCCTTAAGTAATAACTGATTTTGTATAGTGTACTTAAGAAATTAGCCATTTTGCTTTTTTTTGAAGGTGTACCAAGTGAGTGCCCAGAAGTCTGTACAGGATGAGCTAGATACTCGCTACCAGCAACTCTCAAGTCGACTCTCCTGTCTTAAGCTTGAGGTTGATGAGGTTAGTCATATCTAAAATGAAGATTTTTAATAAAAAGACAACAATGGTTTTGAAAAGTTGCCCATTTCAGGAAAACATATCTGAATAGATTTAAAATCAATAAAATTCACTTTACAGATGGTAGTTGCCATTCAGATAATTTTCCGTTTTCCTCGATGAAAACATCAATAATCTAATCAGTTTTCAATTAAGATAATGTGATTTTATAGAACAACATATATAACACAATAGTAAACATCTTAATTCCATATTATCAATAGATCTGGAAAACTCTTGAAACAGCTGAGAAAACATTGATGGATATGATCACAAATGAAGATTCTGATGTGACACCATATTTCACAGAGTTGAAACAGCCCCCAAGGTCTCCTATTGAGAGGGACAAAAGACGTGCTGATAGACAGGAAACAGAGGACTTCTACATAAATGTATTTACTTCTTTGTTTATTTAAGAAATATAGACCGAAAATCAGGGGTAATATCGTCGAATATACCCCAAACGTTTTCTGGTTCGAAAGCTTTTGTGCCTAGCCCCAAGGGGTGTATTCGACGAAATTACCCCTGCTCTGAGGTCTAGATTACGATTCGAACATGAAAACTCACCAAATTGTTTCGAATATTCAACATGGTCCGCCATTACTACGACCCATCATCATGCCGTCACACATTACACGTATTAACAGGGGTTTTGATCGCGAATATATCCCAGGGTGAAATGTTGACTTTGTTTACAGTTTATAGAAGGCGTGAATAGAGTCATGTTCGAATTTAATTTATAACAAAATTTGTTTGAGTGAATATGGATTATTTATATATATTGGACATACAATACTATACTTGTACTTTGCTTTGGGCTATGTGAACATTTTGAATGACTAAAATATCTTGGACTGATCTTTTTTATGACAGCCAAGGTGGACTTATAGGCCATGATAACCTTCAAGTTCAGCTATTGCGTCACAACAAGAAAGTGTTGCCATAGCAACTCCTTTTCATGATGAGCATTTTTATAAACATTAGTACTTAATCAGGTGTTGGCATTTTGTCATATTGATACCTTGTCTCAAATACTAATACTAAGAACTAATGTAGTAAAATACTTATTGTCAAATTGCAGAAATTCCGCAGTTATGCCTTGGACAACAACTTGATAGCACGACTTGATGCGAAACACAAAACATTACAGAAGGCATTAGGAGATGGGGTCACGTCAGAGAACAAAAGGTAAGTCAACTTTAACAGTAGTTTAAATATACAGATTCAGTCAATGGCCTCATTGGTCAAACTCAAAGACTGTTTTGTTTTAGATTTTGTTACTGGTAGAATGATGAAAAAATTACAGAACAATTTAGTTGATAATGTCATTTAAGTGAGAAAGTAAGTCACAGAAACCTAAAAGATAAGCAATCAAAGAACCACTGTGCAAAATTATATGGAAAATGGAAAAAAACATTCATAATTCATAAAAAACATTTCGATTGAGATTTGGAAATGTACTTGTTAATGACACTATCCTTATAGTTTCAGAGCAGATAGAGCTACTTTATTGATTTAAATGCAATGTTGTTTAGTAAATTTATATATGAATTATATGAAAAACAATCCATTGATTCATAAATGATTACCTAAAAGGGTTCCTCATTACAACTTATACATTAGGTGTACATGTATGTCAAGCTTGGCCAAAATCCATGTATTTCAATGCTTTGTTTTACTATAGATGGCAGATCCAAATTGATATCACTTGTATTGGATAATATATAAATATTAGACTTCACAACAACTTCAGACACATTGTAATAATTGAACTTAAACTGTTTGATAATCTTCAATAATTTTTTTATTCAGACCGCCCTCCCTACCCCCAAAGCCTAAGAAACAAAGGCGGTTAGGGAAGACAACCATTAAAGGGCAACCAAAGTTGTTTGGAGGCAGTATTACGGAATATACAGAGGTAAGAAAATGAAGACTAATATCTAGTATTGTATTTATGTGATAGATTCATATTACAAAAAATATATGTGTGGGCAATAAAATTATAAAACAACTAGTAGATGCTCCTTCTTCAGATTTATAAGGAAAATAAAAACATTGAGGAGAATTCCTTTTGGGCCAATATCAAACACCAGCATATACTAAAACATAAAACACAATAATACATATGTATTTAGTGTTACTTGTTTCTCTGAGGAGGTTTATTTTTTATACAGTATAATTGTAGTTATTTCAGTGTTGCAATGTGCATATTATCCCAGTAGAAGCTTCGTTCCACTCCCTGCAACAGGCTATTGGATAATTCCTGTTCAATGTGAATATTGTCCCTTTGGGCGTCAGGCCATCCTTTGTCTAATCCTGCCCCAGAAAGATATGTAACCCTACTTCCAGGCTTTCCACGCTTGATGGCCCTCGTTACCCATTTATCATGATCTTCCTTGTTATAGGCATCTCCTACATTTGATAGAACAAAACCATCAAACTTTTCAGTTGTATGTTCAAAGTATTCGTTTGCATCAGCATGGATAAGCTCAAATCTGTCGAGGCGCTCACGAATCGGGATGAAATTTTCTGGTTTCCAGAAATCTGGTAAACTGTATTTTCCTGAGATTCTACCAGTTAAGAGTATCTCGATTTGAGGATTGTCCATATTTGGAACACTCATGCAAATATCTTTGAAGCGATTCAACCACCTTAGGGCAAGTTGTTGATATAGAACCATTAAAGGGCCAAATATATTAGGTGAAACATTCAGATGTCCTTCTATGAAGGCTTGACGCCAGCGCCATGTATCCCATTGTTTGTCATAGAAAACACGTTGTTCATCAATATTTTCCATACTTACAAACTCATCCAAAGTTTCCTGTGTATGAGCTATTCTGACTAATCTTTCCACATCCCATTGACGAATGCAAGTTGCAAACAAATACATTCCTGACTTGGTCATGTCTTCTCGATGATGATCCCAATAAATCAATGCTTTACTTGGCAGTGAACCTCTAAGACTGTCATAAATTCTTCCTCTTTCATCAGGGGTGGTGGCGGCACCTTTACAGAATCCAACCAAACCTCGAAACTCCTCATACGAAAGATTCTTTATGGCGCTGAAGTAAAGCATGCACCAGGCAATCTGGGTAGGGTTGTTATCAACCGTGACAACCTTGGCTGGGTTGTCTAGAAGCAGCATTGAAGGGTTGTAACCTGCAGATGCTATGCTGAATATGGTTGACCCTTCCTTGATTTCTAGAGCTTTTGTTATTGGCCTGTTGTCCTCTCCATGCTGCAAAAAGGAAACATTCACTTTTGAAACCTACCACTATCAACTTTTTATTAGCTCACAGCGCTTTGAATCAATATCCGGAATTTTCAGGGTGGGACATATTCCTTGTTCAAATCAATCATGATTTGGTATGTGTCATTCTAAAGCCAATGGTTATTAGTTCATTCGATAGTATCCTGAAAATTTCATTATTCTACCTGTAGTCCTTTCTTGTAAAAGTTGGCTAAAGTTGTATGTATTTGTGAAAGCACTTGTGGCCTCTATTTGCAACCTAAGAACAGAATGTGATTTAACCAAGTCTTTGAAAACAATCAATACATGCACTTTCATAAAAGGCCATAATGTTGTCAGAGATTAAACTGTTTTAATATAGACTCACCCAACTATACACAACTTTGTTGTTTTTCCAATCTTCCACATCTGTCTTTATGATATCTTCTGAAAGAAGGGAGAGTCCTTTAATATGTGAAGTCATTCTTGGAGATTGCACCGCATTTTTACATATCTTTCCCAGCACAGACAATATTCGAGACATGTTTGCACACTTATAACTCCTGCTGATATGCGACCTTGTTTTTTGCAAGGTCATTTGTGCATTTAAAACAGTTTTTTTGTTGCTGTTTTTTATGAACACATAAACCATTAGCTATTCATGTTTATATGCTGTTGTGAGCCTTTGAATTTTTTGTATGCCTTTAACGTAACATAAAGTAAGGTATTTTGTTGAGTGAGAACCAAACATTGCTATACTAGTACAATATTTGAGTGGGGATATAGAGAGGGCCATCTTTATAAAAAAAATAACACTGATGTGTTCAAGGACGTAAAAATAGAGTTTTAGGATCCAGTTATGACTTACAAATGAATACTTGCAGGGAAGGGGAGTGTTTACAAGGATTAAAACATAAACCAAAAAACATTGTTTTGGTTTTACTGATGAAATTAATTGGGAACATTTTTTCAAAATAAAGATTTAATATTGTTGTATATTTTGTAATTAAAAATTACAAAGTAATTACCCTTTACCAAGCAAATATGAAGTATTTATGTTTAATAAAGAAATTTATACCTGTTTAAATGTTTCCTTTCACAGGACTTTTAAGAATTGTATTACAGTAAAACATGTTTATATTGAACATTGTTTTCCCAAGAAGGTAAGTGTTCACTACAGAGAGGGTAATTTATACAGGGTGTCTACTTGAGACAGGTGTTCACAAGCGAGATATGTTCACTGTATGTATATATAAAGTACCTCCATTTTCATTAGTTGGATACATCTTTTAAAATGTAGTTTCAATAGATATTTCTGCTTGCTAATTGTAATTAAGCTTGCTAATTGTAATTATTTTACTGTTGCAATATGGAAATTGTCCCAGAGAAAACCCCGTTCTATTCCTTGTATCATGAGGCTATCAGACAGCTCTTGCTCAACACAAATGCTGTCCTTTTCAGCACCAGGCCAGCCCTTGTCCGTTCCTGCAACAGAGAGGTATGTAAGCCTACTTCCAGGCTTTCCACGCTTTATGGCTCTTGTAACCCATTTATCATGATCTTCTTTGTTATAGGCATCTCCTACGTTTGATAGAACAAAGCCATCAAACTTTTCAGTTGTATGTTCAAAGTATTCATTTCCATCAGCATGGATGAGCTCAAACCTATCAAGACGCTCACGTATTGGGATGTAATTCTCTTGTTTCCAAAAATCTGGTAAACAGTATTGTCCCGAGATTTTGGCAGTTAAGTTTATCTCAATATGAGGATTATCCATATTAGGAACATGCCAACAGACTTCTTGGAAGCGCTTCAGCCACAATTGTGAAAGTTTTGGAAGAAAATCCCAGTATGGGTAATAGATAGCTGGCGAAATGTTCAGATGTGCTAAAATGAAGGCTCTTCTCCAACGCCATGAATCCCATTGTTCCTCATAGAAAACACGCTGCTGGTCGATATCTGAAATACTTAAAAACTTGTCCAAAGTTTCCTGGCTATGAGCTATAGGAGCAAATCTTTCTAAACCCCAGAGGCGAATGCTGTTCCCAAATAAGTACATTCCTGACTTGCTCATGGTGTCCCGATGGAAGTCCCAGTAGGCTAATGCTTTACTCGGCAGTGAACCTCTCAGACTGTCGTAAATTCTTCCTCTTTCATCAGGGGAGGTGGTAGCACCTTCTCCAAAACCAACTAATCCTCGAAACTCTTCATACGTAAGATTCTTGATGGCACTGAAGTAAAGCATGCACCAGGCAATCTGGGTCGGGTTGATATCAACCATGACAACCTTGGCTGGGTTGTCTAGAAGCAGCATTGAAGGGTTGTAACCTGCAGATGCTATGCTGAATATTGTTGACCCCTCCTTGATTTCAAGAGCCTTTGTAATCGCCCTGTTATCTTCTCCTTGCTGCAAAAGTAATGTCATAATGTGAATGAAAAAGTATTTATGGCATCTTTTCATATTTGCTTGAATTACATTTAGATTATCAAAGCAATATAAAAGCATAAACTTTTATTTCCAGATCAGAAATTGTTAATCAATCTGATCTACAGTGATTTCAATCTGAACAGGATTTTTTTTTCTGAACATGTTCAAATATTCCTTCTAAATCATTCAGCCTACTTACATTCAATGTATTCATTCAATGGAGTTTTATTACAGCATGTATTTATCCATTCCATAGCTAGTAACAGAAATACTTGAAAATCGATATAAATTTCGAAGGACAGGTCAGTCATTTTCTTAAAGTAATTTCTCCTGGCCCTGTGTTTGAGTGACGTCAGGGTTCCAAGTATCTAACAGGGGTGAAGATATCTGATTTTTTTACACACCATTTTATTGAAAGATATCAGCTGCGTTAGACCTACCTTGTCTCCTTACATATGGACGAGTTCATTCTGTTCTGGTGACGTCACATTCTTAGAATCACTCGTATTTGATCAAATGGAATTCTACTCACTTTTATATCGTGAACTAACGATAGGTATAAATATGAAGAAATAATTTAGAATATGGCAATAATTGAGAAATAAGTCAATTTTTGGACTGATGAGGCTCAGATTGAAATCAGTGCAATATCAGAACCCAAAATGTGTTGGAAAACAGGTCTTACTAAATAGATAAACAGGGTCTAGATTGTATGTGGAGTCTTAGTCTTGCATCACTGCTCTTATTCATCTCCCTCCTTTGAATCCCTCTCCAGAGGCATGATGCAAGACTTTGAGCTATGTTGTAGAATTAAATGAAAGCAAAATGATTCAATATTCATAGTCGCATGTTATTCTCATTTAGACTCACCCATGCAAACACAACTCGGTTATTTTTCCATTCTTCCACATCCGTCTTCAAGATGTCTTCCGAGAGTATAGAGAGTCCTCTAACATTTGAAGTCAACCTTGCAGGTTTCACTGCCCTTCTACCAATCCATCCAACTGCAGACAATATGCGAGACATTTTATAATTCTTAGCTCCCCAGGCTATGTTCTGTTCTGTTATGCATTTTTTTATTTTTTTATTTATGATCTTGTTTATGGTCTGCTTGTAGTTAAAGCTACAATCAGACTTAAAATGAAGGAGGGATAGAAAATATTTTTGGTTTTTGAGCCAATAATGCTGTGTACCATCCCAAATATAAGATCTCAAAAAGAGCATTTGTCCTCCTCCTTGGGTTGAAGAATTGTTAGTTTTAATCTGGCGGGTACCGTTAACAGTTCTAGCCAGTGTTGGTATTTCATCAAATAGCACTCTCTAGCAGTTAGACCAAATTAATAACATGTTCACATTTATTATTTTGAAGAAAAAAAGTTGAAATATCTGGATTTCTACACTTTAGAATTTTTAAAAATATGCATGACAAGAATTGATATGAGGCAAAAGAGTATACTGAATAAGTTGCTCTCTAGAACTGATACTCCCTTTAAAACAAGGTGACCCTGCCCTGTCTGTGTGTACACGAGTAGGCCATTTTCAAGGCATTATTGAAACAGTGATAACACTGCAATTCATTCACTCTTAGTACATGCAGCTACCATTAATGAATCAGGAGGGTGCGACAGTATGACAGGGAGGGGGTGCAATGGTAATTGTTATTTTTGAGTTTGAATTACCTGTAACTTTCTTATATCAATATTATCATGTCAAATTTGAAACCTACGATGCCATGGAACATTTGAAAGCCCCCGACATTTTTATTATTTTTCTAAAAAGGAGGGACTTATCAATTTATATGTGTCTAGAGTATATTATTTCTTAGTTGACTTTTAGAGGGCTACTCCTTCAGATGTTTGTGATTCAAATTGAAAGAATACAGCAGGTTTCTATTATATTGAATAGCTTGATGTATTCCCTGTGTCTATTGATAGGTCCTTTAATCAGTTAAATAAAATGGTTCTCTACAGTAATAATTTTGCACCAGTTCATAATTTCTAAATATTTGTTTGGCACCATGGCATACAATTGCAGCTTTCTATTTTAGTTTAATTATTTCAATGTGGCAATATTCAAATTGTCAAAGAAATAGCATCGATCTATTCCATGTATCATGCTGTCAGATAACTCTTGCTCAATACAAATATTGTCGCGTTCAGCATCAGGCCATCCCTTGTTTGTTCCTAGCACAGAGTAATATGTAATTCTACTTCCAGGCTTTCCACACTTTATGGCTCTTGTAACCCATTCATCGTGTTCTTCTTTGTTAAATGCATCCCCTACATTGGAAAGAACAATGCCATCAAACTTTTCTGATGTATGTTTGAAGTATTCATTTGCGTTACCATGGATTAACTCTATTGCCCCCAGGCGTTCACGGATCTGAACGACATTTTCTGGTTTCCAAAAATCTGGTAAACAATATTTTCCGGATATTTGACCAGTTAAGGTCATCTCGATTTGAGGATTGTCCATATTAGGAACATTCAAGCAGATTTCTCTGAAACGTTCCAAAATTCTTGGGGCGAGTATCTCAATATCCCAGTAAGGATAATATACAATTTCTGGAATACTAAGGACTGCTTCTATAAGGGCTCTTCACCAACGCCATGTGTCCCATTGTTCTTCAAAGAAGACACGTTGTTGGTCAATATTATCAAAGCTTAAAAACTTGTCCAATGTTTCCTGGCTATGAGCTATTTGCGCATACTTTTCCAAATCCCAGAGACGAGGATAATTCCCAAACCAGTACATTCCTGACTTAGCCATGGTATCGCGATAGTAGTCCCAGTAGACTAATGCTTTACTTGGCAGTGAACCTCTCAGACTGTCATAAATTCTGCTTCTCTCATCTTGCGTGATTAACTTTCCTTCAGCAAAACCAACTAGTCCTCGAAAGTCCTCATACGAAAGATTCTTTATGGCGCTGAAGTAAAGCATGCACCAGGCAATCTGAGTAGGGTTGATATCAGCCATGACTATCTTGGCTGGGTTTTCTAGAAGCAGCATTGAAGGATTGTAACCTGCAGATGCAATGCTGAATATGGTTGACCCCTCCTTGATTTCTAGTGCCTTTGTTATTGGCCTGTGGTCCTCGCCTTGCTGTAAAAGATATGAAATGACGGTTTTGATAAATGGAAAGGTTATAAATAAAAAGGTGTATAATCAGGAATTTTTAATTCAATAAGTGTGAATGTTTAACTAAGGTTTTACTGCACATCGTGCAATGCTTCCAATTGCAGATACCATTCGGAACATTTTTAATTCTTCGAGCTTGTTCTTTTAGTCTTATAAAAGTTACGAGTACGTTGTATTATGATTATAATCACACACTGTCTGTGTCTTTATCTGTCTGCTCATTTATCTGTCTTATATCTGTGCCGATTTTGTAGTCACAATCTCAAAGAATATGTTAGACCTAGAGTAAATATTTTTGTAAACTTTTGAGAGTGAAGATAAGAAAAAAGGGTATATTGACTTGGTTATTGATTTATCATCTTGAACATTACATGTATATTAACCCTTTCCCGACGTGAATATAAGAGGAAAATGTTGGCCCTGGTGACGGATAAGTAAGAGCGGTTTTTAGGGAAAAACTGCAAATTACCTACGCCCCGTGACCTATACATTGGATTTTATCACTGAAATACAATTTTTAGTTAGGATTATCACATTAGAACAACTTGTCAAAATTTGGTGTAAAAATACTGAATAGAACTGGAGATATTGTCATTTCATTGAGGTATATAAATAAAAATAATGGTGCCAAAAGGAGCCTATCGTCCTGAAAGGTATTACATAATAGGGCTCCATATGGAGCCTATCGTCGTGAAAGGGTTAAGCAATAAGACTATTCCATGTGTAATGATTAGCTCATATTATTTCATGTCATATCAATTTTTACCCAAATTTCATTCTTGCTGAATATTAAAGATTTTTCATTTATGTGTCGTCTTTTCTAGAAATGTGGATATCCACATATGTTATTTTGTAGAATTTACATATTTTATGCACATTGAATCTTATTTAACTTCACTTAAATGTGTATTTAAATACAAGATGTTATTTTTTTCAGGCAATACATACAAAATGTTATCTAATTTCAAGCAATAAATGGAAAATATTATGTACTTTCAGGCAATACATATAAAATGTTATCTATTTTCAGGCAATAAATAGAAAATGTTATGTATTTTCAGGCAATACATATAAAATGTTATCTATTTTCAGGCAAATAATACAAAATGTTATCTATTTTCAGGCAATAAATCAAGACATCCCACCTATAATAACAAGCTGTATCAAAGCCATCAATTTACATGGTAAGTCTGTGGAGAAGAATGGTCTTATACATAGTATGGTCCTGTATTTGGTTGCCTTATGTTGATTTAATTATGGGGCTAATCTAAGAATACTTTAATGAATTGTCAAGACATTGGGAAAACACTGATTTCATATATAGTTTGCGACTAGTCTTAGAATTCTTGAATAAATTTTCAAGACCTGAGGAAAACACTGATCTTATATGGGGTTAGTGTATGAGTTCTTGTTGAGTAAATTGTCAAGGCCTTTGGAAACACTGATCTCATATATAGTTATGGGTGGTTCTGAGTGGTCTATGCCTCTTCAAAAGGCTGTGGTTTAAACTTAAATGTCTATGTATGAGTGCACTTTAAAAGAAAACAGGCTCCTTCATAGAGGGGTTTCCGAGTCTGTCTTCCAGGATTAATTACGTAAATTAAGAGCGTATATATACAGGATATACCCAAGAGGTATTGCTCACCTTCATTTGTGGTAAACTAAATACAATACAGGGCTCATCTCGGAATCCTTGAATAATTTGTCAAGACTTAAGGAAAACACTGATATCATATATATAATGTTCATAAGGTTTATTAAACAGAAAGCACTCTTTTTGACTTTGTATCTTTGTTTTGCATCTGTGATTAGTTCTACAACTCAATACCAACAAACAAGCTATATTATGACTTTTTATTGTATTATCAATGGAACCAAAAGGAGGTAGTTAACCATACTTGTATTTAATCACATTTTATTCTCATTCATCTTTCTTAGTCTGTCCATAGTATTTCCGTGTGTGAATGGTGTGCAAATGTCGGCAGTTGTGGAAAAATGAAGTTTTATTGAAATATTTAAAATCGAAAAATTTAGATGAAATTTAATTGTGGTGAAATTATCATTTACCCCTCCACTCACAAATTAACTTTTTTCTACCACAAATGTCAAGATTTGCACACTATCATTAATGCTGAAATTAAAGTTCTTGTTTTAAGTTTTCTAAAAAGAATGAGATATTTTACGAATGATTTTTTTTAAATTCATCTGCTCGTATGTTATGTTCACAAAATAAAATTGCATACAGAAGTAGGAGAGTTTTATCACATTGCAAAAAATCATCTTTCCTGTTTTGGTTATATTTTCATATCTTTATATTTTAAACCTGTCATTCACACGACTGTGACTGTTACTTCCATTTCTTGAGCTGTTTAACTATAAATGTATTATTTAGCATAGTACCTAACATTTATCAATTGAAAAATAAAATGTGTTTTAAGTTCTTGTGAGTCAAAACAATTTTGTTTGCCTTTCATGCCTTTCATGATTGTTTGGTCTATTAAAGCAAAGGGCATTATAGGTATAAACACAAAGGGTGTACCCAGGGTCTAGTAAATATAGCCAAGGTCTTTGAATAGGCGAGGCTTTAAGTTAAGGTCAATGTAAAACTATCACGAAGCTTCATTTTCAGTTTCAAATTGAAGAAATGTCTGAAATAACATTTTTATTAATAATTTTGGGGAGGTTGCCTCATGCCTTATATTACTGTACATAATATTTTTTGATGCGTATTGCTTCAGTTTATAACTGTTTTTTATTCCTCAACACAGGTATGCACCACCAAGGCATATTCAGAGTATCTGGCTCAGTAATTGAAATCAACGATTTCAAGGCAGCATTTGAAAAAGGTAATTTTGGATGTTTCCAAATAAATAAAAAAGATGAATTTCATGAATTATAACAATTTCTACAATAAAAATTATATTAAGATATGAATTTCTTATCTATAAACTTATGTATGCACATTTTGTATTTTTCCTTCGACTTAATTTAGGTGAGGACCCCTTGGTAGATATAGAAGATGCCTCAGATATTAATTCAATAGCAGGAGTGTTGAAGTTATATCTACGTGAGTTGAAGGAGCCCCTTTTCCCCATACAGTTGTTTGACCAACTAATAGAGTGCAGTAGTGAGTATACTTTGCCTACATTTTCATATTCTCAGTAAAGTACAACTTGAGAGTTCAACATCTTACATGTTGTCAATGTTTTATTAACATTGACATTTTTATTGACATTGCCTTGATATAATAATCATATACTCAAATACTTAAGGCCATATAGAGGGATGCCATGAATCAAAATATTTGCAATTCTATTATGTTATTTATGGCAGCGGTTGGGGTTCGGTATCTGTAACAAATGACAGGTGGTGACATTTTGCCTGGTTATGCCTTGTTTTGTGTTCTTTTTGTGTTATTTTGTGCTTTGCTCATGATAGACATTGTTTATGTTACAGAACTTGGAGATGAGGCAGATTTCCTAGCAAGGATGAAAGAATTGATTGCCACTTTATCACGACCTGTGTTTGTTGTAATGCGATATCTCTTTGCCTTCCTACATCAGTAAGTGACTTACTTCTGTGTTTTCTAAATAAATTACATTGGATTAAACTACATGTTCAGTATATCCATCTGTGCCATTTTTGTAATACATTAGAATATGAGATATAAGAACAATGAAGCTTTCCATATAAGTTTTCATAACTTTGAATGCTATTAGTAATGGGCCCCCGTGTGTCTAATTTGAAAAGATTTGTACATTGACAAATGCATATAAATGAGCTTATGTATTTATGAAATACTTTACTTCAGTCTGTCGGAGTACAGTGATGAAAATATGATGGACAACTTCAACCTGGGTGTGTGCTTTGGCCCCACCCTGCTTCCTGTACCTCCTGATAAGGATCTTGTATTGTACCAGAACAATGTGAATGATCTAATAAAAAATATCATTAGATTACGAGAGGAATTATTCCCAAATGATGGTGGGGTCGTATATGAAAAGTGTATGACTGAAACAGACAGGTAAGGGTACTAAACAATACACACTTAAACTTTTTTCAAGTTTTTCAACCATTGTTTCAATGTTTTTCAATCATTGTTTCAATGTTTTTCAATCATTGTTTCAATGTTTTTCAATCATTGAAAATCTAAGAAACTGTAAAAACAGATAAACTAGATGTTTGTTTCTGCTTCCTGATTATCAGGAATAACATCCTCATATATCCCTTAATATGCAAACTCCAGCAAACATTTTCTTCCATTCAAATTGATTTGTTTAAGATCAGTACAAATAATTATTTTGAATAGAAAATCATATCATGCAGAAAAAGAAAGTGATTTTGTTCACTGGAACCAAAATCCAATGCCCTCGTATGATAGCGGCATCTATGTCTACCTTTCCGTCTAAAATACTTTGTGAGTCGATGTGCCATCTAAATGAGTTGAATAAGCCTAGTGAATAATTTTCAAGAACTTTCAAATATTGTATTTCAGTGATCGGGACCTTGACACTGTTGAGTCAATGTCTGAAGGTGGAGATGACGATGGGAGCGAAGAAGGTATGTTAAATATATTGAACTAATTTATAAATCCTGAACTTGGAAAATCTCTCAAAAGCATGTTGAGTTGTTCTAACCATCTGAATGTGTGTTAAATATCTGCAAACATGATTGGATAAAGAAATTATATATTGTTAAACTTCTATGTTGAAACTTGATTATAAATAAGATATTTGTGGTTTGAATGTTTATATTATGTTTAAGCAAATGCCATTACATAAGATAAGTAGCCCTGATTGAAAACTTTTTCAGAAAAACACTTTTTAATATCATCTTCGTTTTCATGTATGTAAAGATACAAATCTGGGCTACTATGCTTGTATTATATATCTTCTCTTTAACAATATGCTTGTTTTTATGGATGCTTGTGACTATGCCTATGGCTGAATAGTATGGCTATATACCTATAGTTTAGACATTCGAAAAGGATATGAGAAACCTCCCTTTGTTTTTATTTAACACAAGTTTCCACTTATAGTCTATAATATAATGTAATGTAATCATTTTTGCTGTGATGCTTACAGATGTATTTATGGGTGAGTAGATCGGGGAAGTTAACATAGAAATAGTTCGGGGAACTTTAGATAAGTTAACCCACATTAACATTTAACATCATATGGGTAGTTAAATTAGTGTTATGATGTTTGCGGGAAGGGGTCTTCTTTTGATATTTTCAATGTGATGTAAAACCGAAGTTGAATTAGGTGATGGTTTAAAAGTTTCCTAATTTTAACCAGTTAGTAGATGTCTTGTTCTCATTGGAAAAATATAATTCATAAATCGTCAAATTATAGAATTTTAATATAAAAATGTGATGTCTTGAATGTTGCTTTATCTTTGCTAACTCAATGAGCAGACTTCTGGAGAACTTATAGACGATTCAGTCGAGGTACTCATGAAATGTTTAATCGGCAATTTTGTACATGTCATGCTTTAGATATGATTAGCTCATTTTTTCTGCATGCTTAGCCATCATGTGCAGGGTGTCCGTAAAGTCTGTTACAATTACAATACAAAATCTGTGTAAATTGTAAAGATACTTCATAGACACCCTGTATATAACCAATAAACCATCGTTTATTTCAATACTGCTGAGCATATTATTTAATTTGTAAAATATTCATATATACACACATCGTCCCTATTAATATAATCATATAAAAACTAATGTGATTTAACGATATGACAAGATATTTGAAATACCCCATTTTATGCTCTAGCATGCACTGTTTCAAATCTTAAAAAAAATATTTTCCAGGTCATAAACAAAAGGAAAAATGAGCCACATAATTTTTAAATGTAGACAAATGTATAAAAATTGTATGACAAATTTTTTAAATTCTTATTCTTTCCACAATAAACCATTCATATTATTAATTGTGTTAATAAATGATTTTACTGAACTGTTATTTTATATCATGCTCCATTTCAAGATAAATGTATCATACAATGGGGTTTGAGTTTCCTACATTGGGATTCATATGTATACAATGATGTTTTCATTATAGAGAATGAGGTTTATATACCATACAATGAAATTCATGTTGTATATTATAATTGATGCAATAAGGTTTGAGTTTCATACAACAAGACTAATGTTTCAATTTATGAGGTTTGAGTTTCATACAATGAGATTCATGTGTCATACAATTAAGTTTGAGTTTCATACAATGAGGTTCATGTGTCATACAATGAAGTTTGAGTTTTGTACAATAAGGTTCATGTTCCATATAATGAGATTCATTTATCATACAATAATGATCTGCCTTAATGATTTTTGAGTATTTCAGTTTGTCATGATCTTATGATTCCTCAACAATTATTTTAATTGCAGTTTATTGTGTTTCATTTATGCTTTAGATGTTGTTTATTTCAATATTCAGTAGCTTCATATTGTAAATCTGTTTATTTTAATCATTAAAGCTATTTGTCAATACTGTAATTCTTTTAGACATGTTGTAGCTCTTTTTCATTATGCATTTTAAATCTCAACTATTGATAATTAGAGAAATATGTAATGTATGTGCAACAGTTTTAACAATTAATTAGTCTGAACTTAACAACTATTCATAATTTTATAAGTACACAAACATGTGATAACTATCATGAAATAACCTCTATGAATAAATTCTATTTTTGCATCTGTTTCTCTCTTAAATGCTTCCATACTGGCTGAAATTATCCTGAACTGGCTGAAACTTAATAAAAATCTTTTTGCTTTATTTAACTCAAAATATCCATTAACCTAATAATGAACTAGTTAAATTAAACAAGGCTTTGTCTCTGTATTAATCTAATAATTAAGGCCTCAAATCAGAACTTTCAGTTTCCAGAAAATGTACTATGGAATATATAATTTATTTGCATGCTAACAGAGCCGGATGTGATTGAGGCCATTGGCCTTTACGATTTCAAAGGCCGGACAGAAAGAGAATTGTCCTTCAAGAAAGGCGACAAGCTGTATGTGTATAGTCAAGTATCAGATGACTGGTGGGAAGGGTGCATTGGTGAACGGGAGGGGCTCATTCCTGATAAATATGTACAGATGCGTCATAAGTAAGTTAGATGTAGTCTTATTTTTGATGTCACGGGAGCCATATTTTAGCCTATGGCCATGAGAAATCGATGGTTAACACGTATACAGACGAGCGCTCTGTAATTTTGCCGAGCAGCGATTTCTATGATATAGGGCAAAGTATGGACTAACACTATGAGATATTTGCTTCATGGATTTAAATATGTGGCTTGGATACCAATCCATATATGGTAAATATTGGAGCAAAAATTTCAAAACTACCAGGCTTCTCAATAGCTTGAGTGAATCAGTCTTCAAATAGCATCCCATATATGGCAAATACCAGTAACTTGTTATTTACACTATAGCTCAGTGGATGTCCAGTAGAACTTGATAGACTTAACATTCTCATGACCTTGGAAAGAGCAACAACTTATTTTTCAGAATAATTGAAAAATATTTTGACTATTGATCTAAAATTAATTAAGTCTGTCAATTCAGAAAAATGCTGTTCGGTCGGAAAGGTCCTTAAGTTCTAATGTAAGCCCCTTAGCACATAGTCTGAGGTTACTCAATTGGCAAGCAAACCGGCCTTGAAACACCTATACATGCATGTTGTATAGTGATAATTCTACTTGATTATGATGAGCCTGTAAAATGTGTTTGCACTTGGAGACTGGTTCTTTTCATGCTGGGTTAGAGATGGTGTCCTCATAGCAACAGTTGTGGTAGAATGAAGTTAATTTTGCGAAGAGGGAGGGGTAATACGAGTTCCTTTCCAAGTGAATGTTGGATTTTTTCTAGAATTTAAGTAAGAGGCAAATCGGCATTTTCAGATTTCATTGTTTTGAGAATCGTGAAATTACCTTCATTTTCCACAATTAACTCAAGATTTGGGCACCATCCCTTTTAATGTTGTGGTTAATTATGCGTGTTGTGTTATGACGTTGCAGGGAATAATCGCAGAAGACCTCAGACGGTTCTAGGGATACTAGGTGCCAGGTCAGTTTCAGGGTGTGGTTGCTGTGGAAACAGGCAATGCACTATGGGATATGTACTTGTAGTTTGGGATGGTTAGATGCATGCTTGATGGGATAGATGTAGGCACAGTGCCAGACAGTGGACCTGGATCATCTTCTAGATTGTGCGATTATTTTTCCTCGATTTGTCACCCTTTTGTAGTTTCAGATTTTCCACCTCCAGCTTTGAAGATTCAGCGTTTATTTCATTATTATTAGATTGTAGAAGTTCACTATTTGATTGTTTTATGAAATTTTGCATGATTTATTTTTATAAGTTCATCCCATTATAAATTTATTTTGTATGCTTTGATCGAGTTTATGACACTATATGTATGTTAAGAATCAAAAGTGTTTTGATTAATGTTTCTAAATGTACAAAAGGATGTTACCTTTAAAGGGCTAATAGCGGTAATTCTCAACCTAAATAACCATAAAATATTTATAATTTGTAATAATATGTAAAACACAATTGGTATACAAGAACATCAACCTTCTGAGAATTAGAGCTAATAACCCCTTTTATGAAATATCTTAGATTTTAGGGGCGAGTTTGGTACATAGAAAAAGGAATCAATATCTAATTATTCAATATTTGAATTAAAAAATTCCCCCCTCTTTATGGCTATTGAATATGTTGTGAGTGATTTAGAGCTTAATATACAAAATTAAGAAATTATATTTGGTCATTGAGATTTGGTACTCCTTGAAACTGCCGTTTTTGAAACATATTTATTATTTTTGTGAGAATACATTCATTTTATTGACTTTGTCTTTTATTGTATTTTCAACATCATATGTCACTAACATGCATTAAAACCACATAGTTATTATTATTTTATGTATTGTATATTTTAGTTAATTCTATTTTGCATAAGAACTTTTCCTAAATATTTCTTTCATTCAAGTTTTTCCCTACCTGTATTTTTACCTGTCATCCAAATTACAGGGGTATGAATCAGTGGCGTAGTTTGCGTTTCAAAGACCACAAATTTGTCACGATTCCCGAGATTTATTTTGAAAGTTCGCAGTGAGTTGATATTTTATCATTGCCTTTGTATGCTTCATGGTGGTTCATTAACATTAATGATCAATTCATATTGGACAACAAAGCAGTTAAATATCTTGCCACATTGATACGGTTTAACAATGTCTCGCTTAAACTTTTTGAAAAACACAATTGAAACAGCTTGCAAGTAATACCATGTTTCATGGTTCAAAGCATTGTATAGGTGCTTCTTCACATGATATATGCAATGCGTTTCTTTGAATATATGATTCCATATGCTTTCTAATCTTCAGATAAAACTTTCATCAGTACAGAATAAACCGCTTTGCTAAATGAAATATGCCACATTTTCTTAATATCAATTGATAGGGTTTTGGTTCAGTATCACAGATTGTTAGTATACGTTTCCATTCTGTTGACTAATATGCCAGGTCATGCCATCTAAAGACAGTAAAAGATAGATATACATCACATATGTCAAGTTCATACAAGTTCATATGCAATATCTTATTCAACAGCTGCTCTTGGCCAACATGCTTAATTTACAAAATGTTTTTGTATTGTTGCATCTGTAGAGCTTTTAAGGTAAAAGTACAGTATTTGAAGGTTGTTTTGGTAAGTCTTATTGTATGCTTAGCAACTACGTAAATTTATTTAATTTAATATATTGGTTATGTGGCAGTACTTGAATCAAACCATGTTTTACTATGAATTGTGGCAGGTAAGTATTATATCTGAATTAACTGAATCTTATTGAAATAATACAGTTTGAAACAATCTGAAAAGGCAACTCTGCTCACTTTCGACTAAGAGAAATCCTTTGGTTGCAAAAAAAACAAAACTATATCTTGAAAAATTTATGAAAACCTTGTATCTTTGGAGTGTACGATGCTGAAAATAATTGAGAAATCGAGTTGGACCTTTTAATGAAGTAATTTTGAATCTAGCCCTCACAGGATTGATATATACTTGTTCAGGAATAGTGCATGTAAATTATCAGCGCTAATCCAACATAAAGATAGAACTTCCGTACACATTGTCATTTTGATGTCTTTTTGATTTTTACCATAGACATAATGCCATTGATTCACCCCCCCACACCACCCACACACATTATTGACATGTGATCCCTACTTTTAAATCCAGTAACATATTTACAATATTGAGAAATACTATATTTATATTATCAAGCTTCAACTCAAGCCAACTGGGGCAATCAGTGTGGTTGTAAATTAATTCTGTGCTTCCTGAATAATAAGTCCATTGAACCAGGCCTTATTTCAATCCTTAATCAGACTGAAAATACAGAGCTTTCAAAAGCAATAACACCTCAACGAAACCCTGTGCATTCTTACCTTTTTTATCTGATTTATTTGATTATTTCAGGGGTGACAGCAGTGACAATAAGAGCCAGAGTAGCAGCGAAGACATTAAAGAAGACCGAAGAAAGTCTACTGAAAGTCTCCCAGCTAAGGATTTCAGCAGCCAACCAGGAGTGGAAGCTATAGATAAATCAGCCTCCCAGCCCAATATAAGTCTTCTAGCTAAAACTGGTCGACATAGCAGTAGCCCTGTGGAATCTAAACGACCGAGTGTCTCGTCAGTAGACTCTGACCCAGGTTTGGGAAATCAAAATCAGTCCCCCGCAAAAACGTTAACAACATTGAGTAATAAAAATCGGCAAGGTAGTGATCGGTCGAATAGTGATTCAAGTGACGCAACTGAGAGAAGTACTGAGGATTTATCGTATGACATCGAAAATGCATTAGCTGAAGTGATGTCAGGTTTACAGTCGTTGGAGCTGCAACAAAATTCTGACCGTAAAGGCAAAGTATTAGTACAAAGTAAATTAAAGCCTTCAACTCCACAGAGAGACTCGTCAGAGACTAGCATTAAAAAACAGGAGTATCACCCAAAGCATACACCTGATTTAGTTATGGATCTACCAATAGCAATCCAGCACCAGCCTAGTTCCCCTAAGGAATCCAGCAACCCAGAACCTGAATCTGACTCTGAGGCTAGGGACTCTGAGGCTCGCGATTCCCACCCCCAGGACTCAGTTATTCTCTCAACAGCTGAGAGGTTTGCTAGCAATAATCAGTCTACTATGAAGAAGGGAAGCTCTATGCCACGTAGCTACACAAGTAGCGCTATGCAAGGGGAGCCAGGTAGCCCACTAATGGAGCGTCAGGTAAAGCGAAGCTTAAGTACTAGTGCTACAATGACTGCTAGGGATACCCCTGAGAAAGACAGCTCGGATATGAAACACATGGCTTCTCCAATGACTATAGCCCCACGAGTGGCAAATATAAAGCCTGTAACTATGACTCAAACACAAGTGCTACCCCTTCCCAAGCCATTTCAAAGTCCCCCTCAACTTCTCCCATCAGTGGGGGCTAAACCCATGGTACGACCCAAACCACAGGTCATGAGGAAACCTGTCGCCTCCCCTGAACTCTTGATGAAATTACGCGCCAATGGGACCCCCTCCCCTAGAAGTACACCCACACGGGATACCCCGCCACCATCTGACAATTGATTTCCATGGTAACCTTAGAAAGGCCCTGCTTCCAGAGACACATCTCCAATGAAAGCTCAACTTCCTTCCGAAACCAACATTTGTTCATCTGACTTTACTCAGGCCAGTGTGATATGATAACGAATTATCAACCATTGAATCCTAATCATCTGGCCAGTGTGATATGACAAAGAACTATCAACCATTGACTTGTTATAATATCATAGAGTATTTAAAGTACAGTCTAGCCTACAGAACCAAGAAAACATGGCCGACTGCCCGTGTAAATGAATGGTAAGGGTGTAATATTTGGGGCTGTGAATTGGACTAAGTAATGAATGGGAGATTATTCTTGGATACTGGGGACTATAGTTGTTACATTTCCATTGTTCTAGGGACCCATGTGTTACACTGAGGTTTATTTGTGTAGTTCTTTACATATGATACCACGATGCATGTCATCTCAAAAGGGCTATTTCTCAAACATATGGTCTTGTGAAAAGCAGGAATTTTCACTTTGGTATGAAATGCAACTGTCTTGACACAGTAATTTTCACTTTGGTATGAAATCCACAGTAATTTTCACATTAGTATGAAATCCACAGTAATTTTCACATTGGTATAAAATGCAACTATCTTCAGTTTGTAGATCAATATAGGTAATAAAAAATTGAGAATGTCTTTTGAGGATAGTCTTGCTTCAAGACCCTGGACCCCCCCCCCCCCCCTTATTTACTTTACACCCGTTTTGTGTTATTTGTTGGAGAAGTAGATAAGGGAGTCCACAGTCGTGAAGCAAGACTTTTTTGAGGAAAATACATTCAGAACCATCATATCATGTGATCTAGCCAACCTGTAGAGGTCTTGTATATGGTCAGGTGTTGCATTCTGGTATCATTTACCTCCTGTGGTATCATTATCCTCATGTGCACAGTCTTCATTTAGATCTGCAAAATGATGTATTATGTAAAATAGTTTTATATTTTAATATTCAGAGAAGTACAGAAAAAATATATTCAAATCATGTGCATAAATATCTTATGTGTGTACATTTCAGAAGCTACACATTCTTGGTGTATGTGTAATTGTGTATATTTACCATATCAGTACCTTCACTTCTGTATGTAGTTCTAGTCTTGCACCAAGCCCCCATGTTAGCTAACCATTTTGTACATTGGAGAAATAGATACATTGGGATGACGAGGGACTTGATGCGGGACTATTGTATGTGGTTTATCCAAATTCCAATTCTTTCTCACCACAATGCCAAAGCAGTATACAGATAAGCACATAAACAGAAAACAGTAAGCACCATCAGATTTAGTTAGATCACAGAAAGTAATGACTTAATTATATGGAATATATACAAGACAATGTATACTGCTTATTATCTAATGGCTTGTATTCTGTATTCTATCACCCCTTATATGAGCAAGTTAGACAAGTTGGACTCTTCTCATTTAAGAGTCACAGAATCATTGCCAATATGAATTGTAAATATGCATTACCAGGTATTAAAATGAAAAAGGGGTGATAGATCAAGAAATTTTGATTAAAAGTTGCAATATTTAGGTTTTGATTATTTAAAGGGGTTGTATCAGTAATTCCTACCTTCAATAAATCCACTATGTTTTTAATTTATAATAACATGTTACACCTTCAGTAGACTTATGTAAAAATCTCACGGTGTAATGTAGTGGTCACATTTGCTCCGATTTTTACTTCGGCGCCCATCCGATTAAGTATTTTGCTCAGAATTTAATACAATATTGAACGAAACACTCAATCGGCTGGGCGCCGGCCGATGGATCGGAGCAAATGTGACCACAGCATAAGCCTTGGTGAGTGTGTCAGGTTCAAATATAATATTATTCAATCTTCAATAATTTTATAATTATTATTACTGAAGATAAGATTTCTGTCAGTCTAATGATTGTGTGAGAAAGTGAGATGTCATTAATGAATTAAAAATAATTTGGAGTTGTTTATAGTGAGAATTACTGCTATGAGGCCTTTAATGTTTGATTTGAATGTGTATTGAGCAAAACAAGAATGAACAGGCCTAGTTTGAATTCAGTTTGTTCAACTTCAAATGATTGTTTAATGTAGTTGAATATGGATGGGAATGATAACTTTTGTTTACATGTAAATGTTGAGCATGAATGAGAGTCATTTACTGGCTTGTTATCTCAGTAATATTGTTTTTATTAGCAAGTAAAATGTCCATATCATTTGAGAAAATGAGTAACATCACTCACTGTGAGAATACAATGCAATATGTAGGGATAGATGAATAAGTATTGTTAATAATTATGAATTTTTTCTTTTTGCAAACTGCATATTTCTATAAAAATTGTGATGATAAAAAGTACATATGTGCCAATCTGCTAAGGTAATACAGGGTGACACAAAAATGAAATGTTACCATCATGTAATCTTTGTGATTTTTTGTAATAAATAAATGGGAAGATATGAAATACTTTCGATAATATGAATGAAAGCAATTCAGAAATGGCTCACATAATGACTAAGGCAGAAATCCCAATTTCAGAAAATTCGATGATTTCATGTTAGAGCTTACCTGGACAGAAAACGTGATTTTTTCTTTAAAAATCAAAATCAAAGATGCAATTTAAGTAAAACCACTGTTTTATCAATTCACCACTCTATCTACACAGAAACAACCACAAAGATTACATCATTCGTGAGAAAGTTATTCCAAAATTAGAGGGTAAAATTTTTGTGTCACCCTGTGCATAACCTTTAGGTCAAGCAACTTGACTTATATGTCTGATTTTGGGATTAAATGATAGTAATTGTAAGTCTGATCCTCAGTTACCCTGTTATTAGTTCAACCGATTTTCTGTAACATGTAATAAATAGAGGTTATTTAATGGGAGGTTTTTGATACAGGGTATATCTGAGGGAAATACAATATATGTACCTGAGGGATCGAAGGTTGATACATTGTATTACCCTCAGATATATCCTGTATCAAAATCGAGCATTTAATATCACCTGCTCACCTCAGATATCAATTATATTCCCACATGTTATTTACCTACAACCCTAGTAAGTATGGGATAAACCTTTTCCTCTAGGCGAAGTATCAAAGTTTGAAAAAATTGGAATTGAATCAATTGTCCTTAGAATCAGAGTTACAGTAATTTCTCAAACCTCTCTTTTCAAGGAATTTCCCAATCTATTGTTCTATTTCATTTGGCATCATCGTTTCCATGGATATAACAATAAATTTAGAAATAACCGAGATCTTTTCTTTTTAATATACTAAGCTCGGAGGAAATGTAGAATGTCACTTGACTTTTTGGTGATTTTGAAGCCATGGCTGCTCTTCATTGTCTGATATATTTCACTGAATTCTATAGTCTTGCTTCAAAACTGTATACCCCTTATAATCTGCTTCACCAGCACATCATGTGTGGAGGTATCGAGGGTCACAAAGGCTTGTAGCTAGACTAACATTTTTAGTAAATGTGAAGTTAAAACACGAGGTATCAACTTGCAGTTAAATGTAAAAGTTTCAACATTAAATCATTTGGTTGACATTATTACAGAAATACATGATGCTGACTGATTTTGTCTGCAGTTGCCAATAGTTCTATAACTAAAGGTGACATTACCAGTGAATGTAAGTAAATGATGTTCATCATAAATGGATATAGACATCCATTAGTATTATCAGTTGAGCTCAGAAGTACTCTATATGTATATGTATATTGAGAAACAATGCTTTGTATATGTATTTGAAATAAATAATATACTGTTAATTATAAAATGCCTATAAATATGTTTTGGTGTTTTTGATTAGGAAGTGGTTAGTACCCTCCCATCCTGTTACTTTGGTCTAGACTACAATGTATTTCTTCACAAACAATTTGCTTGTGGCTTCCAATCTTGTGTTTATCCCCCCCCTTTCCCGCCCCTCCGCTATTTCCAAAAAATGCCAAAAGTAATGTATGAATAACAGCGCCAATGTGCTTTATTTCGATGGTAGAACATTATTAACTGTACAATGAGTATTAAGACACTTTGATTGATTGTTGTTCCAAAGAAATTTTGTCAAGTGCTTTATTAAACATGCAGTTAGTGAAAATCTAATTGAAGCGACGGATATGTCCGCCATATCTGACTTAACCTAGTACTTTGGATTTAACATTGTTTTGAGTTTAAATATACTTACAATAGCATATTACATTTGTTTGTATATAGAATAAATTGCCTTGGCCCTTAAACTACATTACCTTCTCCCATTTTAAAAAAGACACAAAATAGCTCTTTCAACAATTCTAATAGCTGCAGAATATTCTAAATTGTTCCAAAGTTTCAATATCACCGGAATTACAATAAGTCATTTTTGTTGCCCTATTTATTGTTTCCATTTATGTATTTGGCGAGGTCCTCTTTTCATCACACCGTCCCAGTCCGCTCCCCACTGCGAAAATGCTGGAAATCACACCTAGCTCTTTATCACTGGTGGATATCAAGCGAAGGTAACTGCCGTCACCTTCATTCAAGATGGCGGACGAAAATTGTCGATTTCGAACTTTTTAGTTTTCGTCGAATTAAACCACTTTATATTTAACATTATGCTTTGATATTTGAACCAAATCGGGCTTACAAGAAAACTCTGGAGTATGATCATTTGTTCATATGTCGTGCGTGGGTGCCATATTTCAACGATATCTTCCACCGCTTAAGGGAAAGTTATTGGAAATGTATGATACGGTAACGGTCGTGTTTGTTTTCATGATGCGGTTACGGGGTCCGCGCATTATACCGAAACCTATTATACCGACGCGCATTATACCGAAACCCATTTTACCGACGCGCATTGTACCGAAATGCCACTAATAGATACTAGATATAGTAGATGCCTTCACTGGGCTATTCTCTGTACTTGTGTCCGTGTCTCATTTTGAGTAGCGAGTGTAAATTATTTTCGGAAACATGATTATGTTTTCCCTGTAATATGAATTGGGGATATCTGACAAAATATGGATAGCCTAATATAAATGTTGTGTTTTTGAACATGCGGAAACATCTTGAACACTTTGTAACTGAGGTAAAGTTCCTTAATAGGTCGTTCAGTTTTCTTGATTTTGTTCTACAAAACACTTGTGATTAATAGTCACTCGTAATTCTTCATAAGCGTAATCAGATTATTTCAAGCGTCAAAATAGCTTATTTTCCTCGACGTATCTACACAAACCTATTCACTTACTGTTATATTGGGTGATCTAACTGGGTCAATTATAATTGTTTTCACTCATCGGTTTAAGTGGCCCGCAAAACCTTTTATTTCATTTATTTGAGACGCAATAGATATATTGGCAACAAATCAAATAATCTAAATGATTCTTCTTCATTTTGAAATGTTTCTCCTACCCGATATTCAAAGATGTGTCTTAAATAGTATACTTTGTACTTTCTGTCTTTACGACTCCCGTACCGTTCACATTTGCAAGAGTTGTTGATTACATTGCATTGATCTTTCGTCGAACTCCGATTCCAACTAAATCAGATTAATCAATTTGAAATGTAATATCAAGTTTATCCAAGCAAATAATTGTAACAACTACATAATGTTTTAGCAGTTTTGACACCTAAGCAGGGTAGCCTAGTGGCGTAGACTGAGGCTACTTTGCGGTTGAACGTCGTGGGATACGGAGGTCCCGCGTTCGAGCCCCAGGTACGGAGTTGTTGATCATTGTCACTACGGACACCCGGTCCGAAGGTCCAACCGTTTACCGGCCCTTGGCATGGGTTGGTTCTCTGGCCGCTCTTGCCGGAGACAGATTGTGAGACTGTGGTTGGTTCCTCCACTAACGTGCTTTAGTAAACTCCGGAAGTCATATAGTATGGTAGCGGGCCCCCACCAAGGGCAGTAGTGGAACGACGCGAATCGGTCCCAGTATGGTTGCCTTGCAACTGAAGAGACTCGAGGAAATCATGCCATTCGCAGTGACCCAGAAAAGACTTTTGCTTCTTAATTTGACGTTTATTCATTTTATTAATTTTACTGCAATCTACTATTCTCAGTAGTTGCAGTTTAATTTTTGAGCGTAGCAATGTGCAAATCATCCCAGAGAATACCTCTTTCTACTCCTTGTATCACCAGGCTATCAGACAGCTCTTGCTCAACCTGAATGCTGTCCTTTTCAGCATCAGGCCATCCTTTGTCTGTTCCTGCAACAGAGAGGTACGTGATCCTACTTCCAGGCTTTCCACGTTTAATGGCTCTAGTAACCCATTGGTCGTGTTCTCCTTTGCTGTACGCATCTCCTACATTTGATAGAACAAAGCCATCAAACTTCTCAGATGTACGTTCGAAGTATTCATTTGCATCAACGTGGATTAGCTCAAACCTATCAAGTCGATCACGAATTGGGGCGAAATATTCTCGTTTCCAGAAATCTGGTAAACTGTATTTTCCCGAGATTTTGTTAGTTAGGAATATCTCAATGTGGGGATTGTCCATATTTGGAACACTCGTGCAAATTTCTCGGAAGCGATTCAACCACCTTGGGGCAAGATCTGGCAATAGATCCATAAATGGGCGAAATATAGTTGGTGAAATATTCAGATGTGCTAAAATGAAGGCTCTTCGCCAACGCCATGTATCCCATTGTTCCTCATAGAAAACACGCTGCTGGCCAATATCCGCAAAACTTAAAAACTTGTCCAAAGTTTCTTGGCTATGAGCTATGGGTGCAAATTTTTCCAAACCCCAAAGACGCAGGCAGGTTGCAAACAAGTACATTCCCGACTTACTCATTGTCTCACGATGGAAGTCCCAGTAGACTAATGCTTTACTCGGCAGTGAACCTCTCAGACTGTCATAAATTCTCCCCCTTTCATCGGAGGTGGTTGTGCCCCCTTTACCGAATCCAATAAGACTTCGAAACTCTTCATACGTAAGATTCTTGATGGCGCTGAAGTAAAGCATACACCAGGCAATCTGGCTCGGGTTGTTATCAACCATGACAATCTTGGCTGGGTTTTCTAGAAGCAGCATTGAAGGGTTGTAACCTGAAGATGCTATGCTGAATATTGTTGACCCCTCCTTGATTTCAAGTGCCTTTTTCAATGGCCTGTGGTCTTCACCTTGCTGTAAAAGAAAATGTTTTACGGCACTGAAAACTCATAAAGGGTAATATACAAGGAAATCGTGATAATTTTACAATATTTTTTTATCGTTTCATGTTGTACCTTTTCTACTTGTTCTAAAAGTTCATCTTTACATGTATATCATTCATACAGGATGGTCCAAAAATGGGACACTCGTACTTCAAAAATAAATATTGATTTTCTTGATGAAAACATGTCATATCATATACCAGTGGATATAGGGATTATCTTATCTTTAATTTTCAAGTAATAAACAATTTTCAAAGGTTTCAGGTTTAAAATTACATTTGGGGAAAACTACGGGAATTTTGTTAGGAAATCTTAAAAAACAGGAAAACAGTAAAATACACGGAGTACAATTTACAAACGACCCTATAAAATGTTTAGGAGTATACATAGGTCATAACGAGAAGCTTTGTGAAGAATTAAACTGGAAACCAAAAATAAAAGACATGGAAAAACTTTTTGAATCCTGGAAAAAAAGAAAATTGAGTTTATTTGGAAAAGTTCACATTATAAATTCACTAGCCATTTCCAAATTTATCTTTAATTTTACAATTCTAGATGTTCCAGAATGGGTGAAAAAAGAATTAAGAAAAATGATCTTTGCATTTTTATGGAAAAGGGAATGTGTAAAAAGAGATGTTATAATTGGAAAAACTATAGATGGGGGTCTTAATTTAGTTGATATAGACACTAAAATTGCCAGTCTAAGATGTGCCTGGGTACCCAGATTGATAAATAGCACAAGTGCATGGAAAAGCATTCCTACATATTATATAAATCAAATGGGGTTTCAAGTTAAAGATTTTTTGAAAACAAACACTACTGATAATATCTTTAAAGAATCTTTGTTTTACAGGAACATTTTTATAGATTTTAACATGTGCAAAGATAAAAAGAAAATTAATAATAACAGCATTTTTAATGAAGTGCTTTGGCTTAACTTTAACTTTAAATGGAAAGATAAGGTCATTATTTTTAAAAACTGGGTAAAAGTAGGCTTCATATATGTGAAAGATTTCTTTGATGAAAATGGAAATATTTTATCAGAACACTATGTATTTAACCGTCTTAAAGACAAAAAAAATTGGTTTTATGAATATTCAGTCATTCGAAATATAATGAGAAGTATAACAAATACTGTTGATACACTGTATGCAAACTTTACAAATATACAATATAAATATAACATCCTTGCTAACAATAAGTACCATTATATAATTAACAAAAAGTCAAAGTTGTTTTATAATATTTTAATTAACAAAATAAGAAAACGAAATTATACTGAAGCTTTTTGGAGTAGGCAATTTAAAACACCTAGTGATTGTGAATCTTATAAAGATGTATATAATCAGAAGATTTTGAAAATGCCATGTAAATATTTAGCAGAACTGAATTTTAAAATTGTAAATAATTGTCTTCCTTGTGGTTATATTGTTAATAAATGGAACAGACAAGTTATTTCAAAATGTGTACACTGTAATAAAAATCACACCATGGAACATATGCTGTATGAGTGCAAGAAATCTGTCGACATATGGAATACTATAGGAACCAGTTTAAATTTGAACATAAAATGGAAACATATTGTTTTAGGATTTAGTGAAAATAATAATGTATCTGTAATAAAAAATTTAATCATAGCAATTACTGCAAAAACAATCCATTCGGAATGGTCAAAAAACTCTGAAGATGAACAATCACTTTTAAATTGTAATTTACAGTTAAAAGTTAAATCAAGTATCATATTTTATAAAGGATTATTGGATCATAATTATGTCAACAGGTATTTTTAACCATGCAATTGATAATATTATTTCAAAACTAAATACTTGATATGTTTTGTAAATATGTTTGTTTTATTTTTGTGAATAAATATTTTAATAAAAAAATCAAAAAAAATCTTATCTTTAATTTGGTATATCAAAAGTTCAAATTTAATATAATGCCTGTCAACAAGCGTCCATGATATAAATGACGTCATTTTCGTTTCAAAACAGGTTTTCCAAAACTTGCAAAAAGCAAATTTTTGATCTACTTTATTTACATAAACAGACATTTAATTTGTCAACCATTTTGAACAATCGTAGCCCTCAATTTTGGCTAGAACTGGTTTAAAGCACCATTGACATGCTGTTGAGACAATTAATTCCACTTCTCAACAATTCTGTCCTTAAGGAACTGAATAGATGTAAGGTGTTCATGGTACACCAATTTTGTTAGTTCTCCCAATACGTGGTAGTCGCAGACGTTGACATCGGATGATCCAATTATGTTGTTTTTGGACCATGCTGGTATGAGCTCATTTTCGAATCTACATTTTCCAACAAGGGGCTCCACGCAATATAGATCCCACATGAGTGTCAAATGTTTAAAAGAGAATGTGCCTATAGATTCATCCCCCTTAATCACTGCCTCCTCAGATCACCAAATCACCCAAAGTATGTGACACCATGTACATGTATATGGAGTTCTAACATAATTGGTGTAGCATAAGTCCTTTACATCTATTCAGTCTCTCGAGGACAGAATTATTGAGAATTGAAATCCAATGTCTCAACAACATACCAATGATGCTATAATTAACCGGTTTAGGCTAAAATTGAGGGCTACGATTGATCAAAATGATGAACATATTGAACGTCTGTTTATGTAAATAAAGTTGATAAAAACTTGGGTTTTGCAAGTTTTGGAAAATCCGTTTTGAAACGTACAAGTATTATGGACGCTGGTTGACAGACATTATAATAAATTTGAACTTATGATATACCAAATTAAAGCTGAGTCAATTCCCCATCCACTGGTAAGCCTATATGATATGACATGATTTCATCAAGTAAATCAATATTTTTTGAAATACGAATGTCCCAATTTTTTGGACCACCCTGTATAATTCTTCGACGTCGTAATGTTATCTTGCAAAAGTTTTGAAAGAAGACGATTTTTTCAATGCTTTCAACATTTTACATCCTCTATCATGTCTATCCTTAATTTTACAGCATCAAAGTTTTTTGTTGTTCCACATTTACCTGTTTTTGGTCTTGTCTCCAGATTCCCCCAGAGATACCATAAAAGGCATCCACATCCCATTTGTAGAAAAAAGGAAGTGCTATTTATTCTTACCCATGCGAACACAACTGTCTCATTTTTCCAGTCTTCCACATCTGTCTTTAAGATGTCTTCCGATAGTATAGAGAGTCCACTAACATGTGAAGTTAACATTTCACGTTTCATTGCTCTTCTACCAATCTTTCCGATTTTAGACAATATTCTGGACATCTTGGTGTTATATAGCAACTTCTTGTTATATTGAGTGTTTTTATTTTCTGCTTTTGTAATATGCGATTTGAAAAAACTACATGAAAATGATGCCTGGATTTTGTGCAGTTTGCCAATGACGGAGTGTGTGATTTATTCCTCGTTCAAAACCCCTGACAGTTTTTTTTGGGTCGGTAGGTCTAAGATCAGTTGGAGATAGGCCAAATACTTACTCCCGTCGAGAGCTACTTAGATTTTGAAAGTATACTTTCAAAATCTAATATGGTAGCTCTCGACGTGAGTAACCAAATACGGGTAATCCACCTTAGTCACTTATATCAAAAAGAACCAAATAATGAAATTTAATGGGTATTAGCATAAACATTAGAGAATTTTTGACATGATTCTTAAAATATAGGTCACTTGTAAACTGGTAAATGAGGCTATAAGTGAGGCAAAAAGAGGCAATGGAAGTAACTTGAGTATTCGCAAATGTAGTGCTATGTTATTCGAACGACGTGCAAATGTCTAAGTCGGTTCCACCACTCTAACTCCAACAAATATACTTGTAACCTCGATATCATTGTTTATTTAATACTGTTTAATATTGCCATGATGTTACAGATCTAAATACACTTATGAGAAACGTATACCCTTTGCATTCGTTTGACTTCACTTCTTAAAAGAGTGCTTCGTCTTCTGTAGTTTAACTAGACTCTGCACGCAGGGTAAGAAACGTATGGATATGGTTTACTTTATTTGCACATAGCCATCATTTAGATTGATCTCTAATGAGATAGCTTTGTGCAAACTAAGTAAGTTATGGTATGAATAAATTCACAACCCTCCTAAAACACACCCCTGGTATTATTTTGCAATCATAATCCCCCTCCAAATGTTTACCCCGTACACTTTCCTAATGGAATGACCCAATTTATATGCCAGTACTTGGAATAAAATCACCAGACCAGTATTACTGACATTGTAAACAAAGTGATTTCGACTGGAATCGTGTAAAATTTTGGTATCTTCACTTCGGTCCGTCGTCATTATAACCCCTCGCAAGCTCGTCAGACCTCGGGCATATATTCAATGATAGGGACATAATGGCTATACATATCATCAATTGACTTTTCTACAATTTTATGCTTATTTTATAACAGATGTGCATATATTTTTTATTAAAAATACAAGTACACTTCTGAGTACTCTTTATTCTACTCGTGGTTGTGAAGTTCCGATAAATCACATTAGCATACGAACAGCAAGTTTCAACAGTCTGTCACTGCAAGTAAATTACAAACGCTATTCTATCCGTAAAAACGTAATGCTTTACGAATACACGAAAGCTAAAAATATAAGGAATCTTATAAGAGAGCCCATTACGCGGTCGTAAATGAATTCACAAAGCTCGATTAAAAGTTGCGTTTTGCGTTCAGCGTCTGTAACAAATGACAGGTAGTGTCATTTTGCATGTCAGTGCATGCCTTGTTTGTTATATTTTCTTTTTTAAATACTGTAACAAATAAGTTAAATATACGTTCAACTTCAGTGTTTATCTATGCTCAGAATGATACGTTTGAAGTTACACCTTAAAATATAACGTGTGGTTCTATTGAATTGTATGCGCGCTTGAACGTAGAGATAGTCTTGGCGGACCCCAACCTAGGTGTATACGGGAACGATTTAAACTCACGTGTATTAAATACTACGTTAGGATTTTGCGTTCTATTTACGTGTTTCTTTGAATACATTTCATCACATACGTTCTACACTGGCGGATCTGCCCCCCCCCCCCTTGGAAGGGCGTAAATTTTGATGAGGATGTTACTTATGAATATGATTCATCAGATTCATATCAGAGAGACGAGTTGTTGTTATGTTCATGCATGAACTTCTAATCACTAGACTGCAAACGTCATTTGAAGTCCATGATTCATGATTTTAAGCACGGACTTTAAGGTCCGTGTTTTAAACAACAAAATTGAACACATTCCCGGGTAGATCAACGATACAATTTGATTTTCGTTTAGTGTAATTTGATTAGTCTCGATCACCAATCACATTTGAAACATTTCTACAGAAACACATGTAAATAATCCCAAGCAGACCCTGTAATTATACTCATAAATAAAATCATATTGTTTTTTTTATCAACGGGTATTATATAGATTTTCTAATATTGGAAAAAAGCTCAAATAATAGTTGGGGTTTGAGACTGGAAATAAACAATATGGCGGCTCCTCCTTAGAAACGCAAATTTTTATAAAAATTGCGAAAAACTTCAATTTTTCAAATATGGAGTCCATAAGCCCAAAACAACCAACATCAAATGCGAAATAAGAATGCAAAGAGTTATCTGGCATTCAGTTTTTCGCCTCAAATCAGCCCGTCAAGCCGAAAACTTGCTGCCAACAGAGAACCTCAAAATCCCGAAAATAGCGTACCACGATTTATGCAGAATACTATCAGTACAAAATGTAGAGATGTACACATACAGAATAAAAATTCACCATACCACACAAACCTCAAGAAAGATACACAGGGAGGACCTCCAACTGTGACAAGGCCTGTTATGTCGATTGCAGTACAAGATTTGCAGAATCACAATACTGCTATGGCAGCAAAAGTTGAAGATCAAAACCATAATGATTTCACTTTTAAACCTAAAGTTAGTGCTCAAAGTACCAAGCTAATGGAGAATAAAGAATCAGATTTTATGACACGTCAGCAACAGCATTTAGTGAATCAAAAGAAATATGTGAGTCCCAACTTTCTATATACTTCACTCTAAAGAAAGATTACTAACAATTTCCCATGTATTCACACGGCTATACATTAGGTGTTCATAAAGTAGGTACCTGAAAGAGAAGATACGTAAAACAGATTGATTTTATTGCCATATTTATTTAAAAATTATTAATATATTATATATAAATTATATTATCAATCTGAAATGGGTTTGTTTAAAAAAAACGGGTGACCAGGAACCTAACGTTCATATGGGTTAGGAATTTGTTTTTTTTCATTTGATACCTCAAAATGCCCAACTGACCTCCAACTCAACCAACCAGTCATGCAACCAAAACAAGCAACCAAACAATCAACTAATCTACCAATAAACCACCTGACAAAACAAACATTGATATTCTGTCAATCACTCAGGCAATAAATCAAGCAACTAACGTCATTGTACGTGTTAACTGTGATATAAAATGTAAACTACCTTGGACTTCCGAATTCAGTCTGGTTCATGTTTATTCAGAGGATATCATGTGTAACCAGGTAACCATTTATTTTTACTGACATTGATAAAGTAGCCAATTATTTTAAATTAAAAAAGTGCTTTTACAGGTTCTTGGTAAAAATGGTAACGTTTATAGATATCAAACGGTAGTCTAAACTTGGGAGGCTACAAAATTCATGTATATTTTGTGCTTGGCAGGTCAATTGGCTACTATATTAGGTGAAAATGTGCAAATTTGAAAGTTGGTAACCCTGCTAGGAACTTTAGGTACCTGGTCACCCAGCCATCCAGTTACCCGGTCACCCAGCTTTTTACTCAAACCCATCTGAAATTGTATTCCTCTTTACAGATGGACCAGGCAACATCACAGTTTAAAAGTCCAATCTTCTCATTAAAACCTGGAACAGCCAGTAAAACTAAGAAAACAAAGCAGGATGAGGGAGACAAGGAGGTAAGTGTGACAGCCTAATATTTCAAATGTTTATTGGTTAAGTGTCCTAACTTAAAAGTTCTGATTAGTTATATTTTGTCGTAAAGTTTATCAACTTAATTATCAATGTTTTATATTATTTGCTTGGAATTGTTACAACTCAGTTTTCTCCAATACCATACTAACGGTTACTGATCATACAGCTGAGTTGGCTTATATATATATGTCAGGAGCATATCCAGCTTTCAGTCAGGGGGGTGCGATCGCCAATTTTTTTGAGGGTTTCAGCCAGGGGGGGGGGGGGGGGTTGCGATCATGGCATAAACAAGGCAAAACAATTTTTAAAGATTTGTCTTGAATTTTACAAAAATTGATGGAACTCAGTTCAACTGTCAACTTCCTTCAAAATTTAAGAAGCAGCTAGCTTAAAATAAAAAGCATTTTAATTAAGTAATTTAATATAAAGCTATTTTCTTCTTCTATCTAATTGTTCTATTTGTATTGATTATGGTGCGATCGCACCCATCACACCCCCTAGATACGCCTATGTATGTTCATGTACATACTTACCCATGACTTACATGTAGCTGTAATACAGTCAACCAAACTCACAGTATCATGAGTAGTAGTTAGTGCATGTGTATACATTTGGTATTAAACCCATCTATCAAATCTGTTTGGTTGTAAATCTAATTTTAGACTAGAGTTGTCTAAAACTGTCCCATTATGTGGTATTAAGCTTTGATATTGGAACTTGCACTTTCGAAATAAAACAGGAAACATCAGTTTCAGCACATGTCCCCCTGTGAGATAGTATACATGCTGATTCTGTCCAAAAATGAAAAGATACTCTTAAATATTTAAGTTGTTAATATTAACATTAAAGTTATTGTTCTTACTAACTAAATAAATTCTATTATGTGCAAAAAATATTTCAGACTGATGGCCTGTATCATGTGTATAGCATTCTGTTCCATTCTGAAATTTTATTGTACCAGCCATCCCAAATATGTAGACATAAAAAAGTCTTTGATTGAATAAAGAAGTGTGTATGTACTTGTTACGTTAGCCTTGCCCAAGTCGGTCTCTTTTACTTATCTTGATTTCTATAATGGTAATAATTGACGTCAGATTAGTTAAAAAAATACCGACTTGGGCAAGGCTATTGTTACGTTAATTACCATGTATTTCTTAATATAGGCTATTGAAGAGATTGATACCAGTAAAGATGCAGTAGAGGGAGGGGGAATGAGTACTTCACAGTCCAATCCAGCTATGATCAAAGACAAAGACAATAAACCCATTCCATTGAAAACAAAGTCTTCCATAGATCTTTCCAATGTTTTAGAACAAAGTAAGTACTGTTTACTAAAAATTTACTTTTTGATTAAAAATTTACTATCACCATGCAGGCAGTTTGCTATCTAGAATCAAATGTCACTATTCATTTCTAGTCGTTTTTAAACATGTTCACATTTTAGTGTGTTGCATTTAGCATTTAGAGAGAGGTGTTTACATATTTAAGTTTTATTGTACTTTAGACTAAAAATATTGCCTGACATTTTTAAGGTCCATACGGGTCAGTGAATGGCAATCTAGGTGTCCAGAGACAGAAAAGTCGAATCCAGAATGAGGCTGGGCACAGAAGACAGCAGACGGAGCCTGTCAAAGTTGGTAATGCTATCAAACAAGAATCGCCGACAAAGGGTGAGTGAGCAATTAGTAAATAAATTGAGGATTTACTCATGTAGATTACTTATCAGATTGAAACAATCAATTAATTAGTTAATTGCATGTTAAGATATTCATTATTGATCATCTGAAGGAATCCGATTTTGACTAGCTGTATGTATTATGATTTATTTTAATGTGCATTCCTTATCGAAACATTTAATTAAAGTGTTGCGATTAGGTTGTTTACTTACTACATTTCACTCTCTCATTTGGTTTCCCAACCCATTAACTGTGTAGTGTAAACATCTAATTCTTTTTCTTTCGTAACTTCAGGTTTAACTTAGTTAAAGTTTAAGTTAAAAATTTCAATTTGCAGAGTCATCAGATTTCAATTTATTTACCCAAAATGATAACATATGAAGATGGAAGTCTGTTGGTCAAGTCAAATCATTCATCCATTTCAAGAGATTGTTGGATTTCATGATAAAACAAACACATTTATCTCTTACTTATAATTTATCCCATACTTGGACATGTTTTAGGCACAAACATTGTATTTTCAACTCTGGACAGGATAAACATAGTGTTACCTCCTAGGATAAGTCAAATTAAAACATTGGATAAAATTCATTTTGGGTTGATAAGTTTTTGTGAAAATATGAGAATTATTGTATTCAAACTCTATGTACTAAGTAAATTAGATCCTTTTTATAAAGACTCAATTTGAATTAAAACATTATTTGAGTATTTTCAAACACCCCCAGAAAATATCTGGAAGTGTATATACTATAAGAACACATATTAAAAAATAAACATATCTATACAGTCTGTTAAGAATATTTGGATTAACCCTTGGGACCTCAAGCTCAAGTGTAGATATATGATTTTTTTTATTATTTCCTCAATCTCAATATCCTGAACTTCATATAGGATAACCTCTATATACATGGACATATCTTTATATCCATAGATGCTGAATCAGGCCACACAAGGAGTAAGACGGATGACACCTGCAATAAGAGTACAGTGAAACAGTTATCTCATAATACCAAACTCAGCTTTGAGCGTATAAACAAGGCAAAATCTCTGGCAGAAAGAGCCATAAAGGTACATAATTACAGCTATATCTTTTCATATAAGTTGATTCTTTTAAATATTAATCAAAGTCACAAACCTTATGCAGTCACTGGTAGCAGGCTCGTAGCCAGCTTTTGCCAAGTGGGTGCTCACTTTTCAAAAAAAAAATTCTGGAAGGGTTTTACATTTGACAACTTTGGTTCAAAATCACTTTAAAAAGTTCTCAGAATGATGAAAAACTGCATGTTTTTGAATGAATTTTTGACCAAGGAGGGTTCACTCTAAACTTTTCGGTAGGTTGAGAGCACACACACATTCTTGATGTTTTTTTGATCAAACTTAGTTTAAATATCTAATTCACTTGATTCCAAATCTCAAATAAAGCATTCCTATTTCAATTTAAAACAACACTTCTCATATTAAAGCAAGTGTTTTAAAATTTTGTGAATAATAGAATCGTGGTAACTTTTTATATTATATCCCTTTTTTAGCAAAAGAAGATATTTACAATACATGGTACATATCGGGAAGTTAGAAAATCATTACGAAGCAGAGGATGGGTAGAAAAGTTTTACAAAATGGAAAAAAAAGCAAAAACAGGGCAAAAACAAGAACAAACTGAAAAGTCGAATGGAAAAGGATGATGAGAATGATGATGATAATGACTCAAATGATGATGCAGATAAAAATGATGACTCATCAAGTGATGACGGTGACATGGATGATGATGATGACGATGATGTCGCTGACACTAAAGAGAAGCCTTGGGAAGAAGAGAATGGCATATATGGGATAATGTCCCGTATTGTACGTACTGCTGATCCAACTTTAATTTGGTCTGTGAGGCGTGATTCTGTCAATTATAAATACCTGAGAAACAATCAGATTGTTAACCACTATGCCAGGGCTGGTTCTTTTACAACTAAGGTAAGGAAATATATTGGCATATCATACTTAAAAGTCGCCATGCATTCATTATATAAAAGACTCAAATAGATTTCTCTGCAGACAAGCAGAAAACATCAAAATATAAAAGGATTTTGATCTGCTACAAACCAGTTACAATATTATTTCATTCTGCTGGGCCTGATCGAGGCCTCTGGGTTAGTTTCAATGTCACAATCCTGCATACAAGTGGCCCATGTCATAAATTGAGATTGATTTAAATGTAATTGATGAGTTTGATATGTGCTATATTCACAGGTTGGTTTATGTACCAATTTACGTAATGTGCCATGGTTTGACCAGAGTGACCCTGACGCATTCTTTCCCAGATGTTATAGACTAAGTCATGAAGAAGAAAAAGGTGCATTTATAGGTGAGTTATTTGTGTTACTTGGTTCACCCCTATCTAAAATGTCAGTGCTCCCCTAGGATTTTTTGTTTGGAGGATTTTGTTTTGCACAGAGATTTCAATGTGGGGAGAGCACTGCATGTGTAATCTCACATTTATTTAAGAGGGTAGTAGTGTGGGCAGTATATAGTATAGTGTGAGCAGAGGATAACATACGCCTGAACACCTAAATACAGGATGGATCAAAATGTTTCCCTTTTTGTATTTTTGTCATTTCAGAATGTGTGACATTTTTGGCCCACTCTATAATTCAGTAACATTTTTTATTGCAGATGACTACAGGTTAACAGCCTGCATGAATATCATACGGATTATCATCAGCCGTGGTAATAATACTGAGTCCAGTGAGACAACTGACACCACCACAACTTCCAGTCCTACCCTGAAACCTATTATACAGAGGAAGGGCAGCATCTCACCTAGGAGAAGTAAAGGTACACCCCCTCCCTTTATACAAAATGAATTCTTCATTTAGTAAAGAAAAAAATTTTGGGGTATAAAGAAAGTGCATCATGTATCATGTAGACTTACTGATTAGTAATTATTTTTATGTTTAGAACATATCACGGCTCGCACCAGGAAGCGTAAAGGTGGCACTGTGCCGCAAGAGTGTGCAGAGCTAGCATTGATGCAATGTGAGAAATTCTTACGTTCAAAGGATCACGATGATCTAGATGATGAAACTGAGGTAAATCATCATGGCAACACATTGTCTTATAAAAGTTTAATAGTTAGGAATTGTTTAGCTAATAGTATGAAAATATTCTGTATTATTTGTTGAATAGTTCAATATTTTTTACAATAGCTGAATGGTCAGTGTCTGTAACAAATGGCGGATAGTGACATTTTGCATGTTCATGCCTTGTTAATGCATGTAATCCTGGTTGTAGCCTCATGTACTTAGTGAAGCTGAGTGGAATGAGTTCATAGAGTGGTACTACAAAGTTGTCCAGTAAGTTGTACATAACAATACACTTTACATACTGTCATTTTTATTATTTAAATGATATGGTTACTGTTAAAGCAACAGTATATTTAATGAATACAATAATAAAAATCCTTTAAACTGAAACTTCAAAGTCAATATAATTTTAGTCTGATATACTGTATACGGTTGTTCACTTTTGTTCTCAACAAACTTTGACTTTAAATCATCAAATAATCTGACAAGTCGATTATTTTCAGTCATGACGCAGAGATAGAGGGTGGGTCTTTTTATGCGGCACGCAGCGAAAACCTGGCCAATAGGCTGAGGGCACACTGGCCTCAGTTTGAAATGGATGGCACTAAGAATGTATGGATCGTCAAGCCAGGTGCAAAATCTAGAGGCAGAGGTCAGTTATTTTTAGTATTCTCTCATGTAATGAATAACAGGGCTAATTTTCATGTCAGAATGGTCAAAGTTTGAAATAAATTTTTAAATCATCAGCAGTGGTTGATAAAATATGAATAATAAACTAGTAACTCATTCTACACACATAGTACTAGCTACCATTTGATATATACATATACCAGTATGTATAGAGATTATTTACTTAGTGGGATTGAAAATGGGTTTTATACCAAGATCCAATATGATAAAATTTTGTTGACAATGAAAACTTTAAAATTACCATTTAACTTTTAGAAGATTATAAAACCATCAAATAATAAGATACATGGATAACCTGATGAATGTGATTTTTGGAGGAGGGATTTTTTCAATATCAACTGTGTATGCCTTGGTGTTATTCACTTGGGATTTAAGTATTAGTTTCATAAAAATCACTTCATTTAGTGTTAATTCAAGGTCTGTGTCATCTAACCTTGTCCAACCGGCTTTGGGTCAAGGCTCAGGTAGTCGTCCATTATTCCTATCTAAGTGTCTCGTATAAACATATTTTCATCTTTTTCAGGTATTCACTGCCATGATAGGCTTGAGGAGATGTTACGTCTAGTCAATAGTCAAGTTGTCAGGAAAGATAGCAAGTTTGTTGTGCAAAAATATATAGGTAAGAATCTCAAAGCTCAAATCACATAGCTTTATTTTTATGTCAACACCAGAAGTTGTAGCTTATTACATGTAGTATAGTCTCCAACTTTTTTGTGGACGATGTTCAGCATTTGGCAGTTGGTGTTCAGCCTATGGCGGTCGGCTTTCTGCATCTGTAACAAATGGCAGGTGGTGACATTTTGCATATTAATGCCTTGTTTGAGAGTGTATTTTAATCCCAGTGCTTTTGTGAAAATATTGAGAAAACATACTTTTATCAATATTTTATTTGTTTCCTCACATTAACCAAAGCAGCACATATTCATTACAAAAACATGTAAAAAATATTTTGATATAAACATGTTTTATCTTATTTATTTCAGAACGGCCAATGTTAGTATACAACACAAAGTTTGATATACGCCAGTGGTTCATAGTAACAGACTGGAACCCATTGACTCTATGGTTTTATAAGGACTGTTATCTTAGGTTTTGTTCTCAAGAGTTCACGCTTGATGACTTCCATGAGTAAGTTGATAACCATTTAGATGTTGGATACACTGATTAATATCAAAATTAAAAATGTATTGTTACACTCAAACATTTTGTCTGTCAACATATTTCTGCTTATAGCTTATGATATAATTGAAGTGCTAGATTAGAAAAGATTGAGTATCTGTATAAGATTCTAAAAGATCATACTAAGCTTGGGAATCATACTAAGCTTGGAATTCCTCACATTGTAAGCACTAAGCAGAGTGACAAGTTCCAATTTGAAAAACTGCTTCCATCTTTTTCACAATTAATTCATTTTATGTCCAACTTTATTGATTGTGTACCTTATATATCATTGTAAATGAAAAAATATTTTTAAAATTATAAAGGATGAGAATTTATTTTATTTTTTTTTATTTATTCATGTAATATAATTATGACAAGTATTACATTTACACACTAGATACCCATAGGGGGTATATTAGTGCATTATCAAAATTTGAAAAACCATAAATATAACTTTAACTTGGTACTTTCAGAGCCATCCATTTGTCAAACAATGCTATACAGAAGAACTATGACAATGGAATTAGGTCCGATAAACTGCCTGATGAAAACATGTGGTTCCATACAGAATTTAAAGAACACCTCAGGTAAAGTAATTTCTAAATATCACATTCATATTTATCATCCACCTTATATGTATTCTAGATGCTCATTGGCTTATTCATGGTCATGTGATATGAAATAGAGGGACCAATTCCTTGGAAAGTCCTAAATCCCTGCTTGTAGGGAAGATGAAAAGTACTAATGACCAGTTACGTCATGTGACCAATCAATAGTACTTTTTATCTTCCCTGCTAACATGGATTATAGGAGTTTGAATGGGAAAATGCCTTTAAATGCCAAAAAGAAGCCATCAGCATTAAATCTCGAAACTAAAATACTCCTTCTTTTGTTTTTCTTTACAGAAAACATATGGGTATAAAACAGATAGTGACTGCCATATTTTCAAAAATAGTGCAAAAATTATTGCACTGATTTAGTGTTGGGGTTGTGTGTGTATGTTTAGTACATCAACAAATGTATGGTCTAAAATGAATTTACACAGTATATTAAACATACCAGATATTGCTTGTGTAATCACCTACTAACAAAAGTCCCTCTTTGTCCACTACAACAGCAGTGGGGTTTTGTAGTCCATCTGATGCTGTTAGGAGATGTTTTATGAATTTGCCTCCTGGTGTTAGCAGTTGAACCCTTTGATTGTTGAAATCAGCCACAATAATATTGTCTGCTCTGTCTGTGCAGAGACCCCATGGATAGTCTAGCTCATTCTGTCCACTACCTTTGGTGCCATATCTGAATATCTCATTACCGTCTCTGTCCATAGCAATTACACACTGTGCAATGTAGTCAGACACGATCACCACATTTTTGCTGTTGATGGCTACACCCATAGCTCCCTTGAACATGCCGAGAGGAGACCCTCGCAAGATTCTACCAGATGTGCTTTCTATATGGTACACAGACTTAGTACCTGGGTCACATATCACAAATTCACCTCTTGAATTCACAGCAATGCCTCGACATTGTTTCGCTTGGGGTATCTGCATGATTCTCTTGTCTTCACCAGATTGATTGTAAATGCAAACAGTATTATTACTACAAGTGAATAGCAGAGCTTTGTTTGTGGTTGTAACATTGAAATATGTTTCGTAAAAGAATGTGTCAAAGTCATACATAACTGTGCCAGAACCTTGACCAACAGCTACGAGTATATCATTCTTAGTGAAAGCCAAAACACATTTTTTACATCTCCAATTTTGACCTTTTTCTGAAGCTTAGGATAAGTCAGTGTTCCACCAGTCTTATGAACTGGTGGTGTCATAGTGTTTATATCTACTTTACCAAACTCCATTTTATCATCCAATACTGTGCCCGTGTGTATTTTGAATGTTATGTTAGCATCAAATGCAGTGTTTGGAGGGTTTGTCCATTCTTTGTTTTTGACAGCAATGTCCTGTGCCATGTATGCGATTTGTGTGTCGTGTCCATGTTGTTTTATTGCATTAAGCTGGGTAATTGTACTCTCTATTGTTGCCTTCTGTATAATGAGATGTTCTTGATGAGCCACTGCTTGCTTAGCGCATGTTGCTCTTTTCTCAGCTACATCATCAATGGTTTTGGTGTATTTATCACGTATGGCTTGGAGAGCCATATTCATATCATTGTTTAGTTCATGCATCACATCATCCGCCTCTTGTTCCATCCTTTCTATATCGGTTGCAGTGTTCTGTATTGATTGCTTGTAGCATGCAATTAACTTTTCACCTTTCTTGATGAGGTCATCAATATGCTTGACATTGTCCACTGCAGCTTGATGGATGTCGACACACTCGTGGCCAGAATGCTTGATCACGTAACATGTAGCGCAAACGGCACACCTGTCCACCTTACAGTATATCTCAAGTGGGTTTGTCTTGTGTGTTGAACAATACACAACACGCTTTTTGATGGCATCTAGATTGGCTTGCGAGTCTTGAGCACTATCACTTGTGACATCGATAACAGTGTGACCTTGGACATAATGAGCATGATAATCAGAGCAATTCTTACAGTGATGTTCATTACACTGTATGCATTTAGATATTGCATTAACATCCTTTTGATTTCTTTCCCTACATATTGTACATTGTGGTTTGTCCTCAATCTTCATAGATTGAAATATATCCACGAGTGAGCTAGTTGTAAAGTTCACTTTAAACTTTGTAACTCCTCCTTCGGGTATCGTGTGAACTTGTCTACATTCTGGGCAGCTTAGACTCTGTCCTTGTTCATTTCTTTCTAACTTATCCAGGCATTTGCAGCAATATGTGTGCATACATGGTAGAGCCCTCTGGTCTTTTAATATCTCATAACACACTTTACATTTCAAAGTTTCCCTTACTTGTGCTTCTATCCCTGATGCCATTATAATTGTTGAAATCAGTGATACTTATTTTGATTAATAAATGATTTAAACACATCTGCATTATCATCAAATGTTTAACACTAGCCTTGTATATTATTTGTAAATTGAAGTAGGCTGTGTACTATTTTACCTGTGTAAGATTAACCTTCTCCTGATAACCTATGTACATGCTGATGTGTACTTTAGCAATAACCTGCAATGCCTTTTTGCAATAAGTAATATAGCCTACATCAGGTTAGCTTAACCCTCAAGCTCTTTACAGCAACAGTGCAAACAGTTTAACATAGCATACATGCTCATTTACGAAAAAATGATATGCTGAGTGTGGTGAAATACTGGCTCATGGGTATTGGGTTGATAGAGAGATGGCAGTGTGGTTTGTCTCATAGATCGGTTTAAAAGATAACTCTTTATTAGACAATTATATAAGGATTTAAACACTGAACTCAATGCTATGTAAAATATATCATGGGCATGGGGCCTTTAGTGTGCTCAGAAAAAATGTTTAGTTTTTGAGCCCCAAAATTTTGTAGTGCCTTAAAAAATGGGCCTTTCTTTTTTGGGCCAATTTATCAAAAACGGGCCTTAATTTTTCAAAGTAATTTTTTTCCTCGCAAGCGCGGTTATTTTTTTCCAGACTCAAAATTTGGGCCCCCCTTTGTTAATTTCTGGATCCACCTCTGAATTGGATTGTTCTTTCCTTAAACAAGACTGAAATCACATATATAATGCTTGGACTGAGCTAGTTGCCTCACTAAAATTTGTCCAAAAATTCTAGATGATTTTTCATGTTTAATCTAAAACAAAAAACTCTCCCAAATAAGTATTTCAATATTATTATCACCTATATAACCTATCACCTATTAAATTATGAATATTCAAAGAGGACATTTAAATCTACAAGATGTAAAAATACCACTATCGTACGAAGCAGGCATAACATGAAATAGATTGATTCAATAAAAGACAAGTCTCAATTTGGAGAAAGAAGTCCATCAGTGTACTGCGCTAATATTTTTTCATGAAAAATCTAAGAAGACATTCAAATCTATATTATGTAAAAAAAATCAAAATTGTCCGAAGCAGGGGTAACGCTCAATTAGAATGATGAACTTTGTTTTCCAAACCGAGAATAGTCCTTTGCCTTATTCGGATCCTGGCTACGGACTAGAAAAGGATCCTAAATATATGGTATAAATTTTGTATCCTTTGCTAGCCCCTACCTTTAATAAAGTATAATATGTACTTTATTTAGTGATGGGTAATTTAATACTTATTTCTCAAAAATATTTTAATTTGCAATTTATGTCATATTGTTATTGTCTCCAACTTTTTTGAGGATGGTGCTTGGCAGTTGGTGTTTGGCATTTTGCACCTGTGATGAATGGCAGGTGGTGACATTTTGCAACCTTGTTTAAATGTTGATGTTATGTATTTTATAGTAAGATTGGTAGGCCCACAGTTTGGGATGATGTCATTTACCCAGGGATGAAGAAAGCAATACTTTGTTCCCTTCTCACAGCCCAAGATGTTGTTGAGTGTAGAAAGGTACATGAATCTATATTTTCAAACTTTTACACACATTTTTAGAACTGCATTAATGTACCTCTAGACAAAGGAACAATGACGCTGTATAATGTTACAAATCTAAGACAACACATATCAAAAACAGCTCGGTCCATAAGGGAACATTCTAAAAACATTTTATATCACATTCTTAGGCCTCGAGATATAATAAGGTGTGACACCTTCCCTGACCTTTACTATTCCTTAAAAGACACCATATCTCCCCTCCCCTATTTTTATTGGATAACTCCCATCGGATAACTTACATATATAATGCCTTGTTGTCAACATTCTAGGCAGCATTTGAGTTGTATGGGGCAGACTTTATGATCACTGAAGACTTCCAGCCATGGCTTATAGAGATCAACTGTAGTCCTAGTATGGACACCAGCACCAAAGTGACTGAAGTACTCTGTGCTAATGTGCTTGATGACACTATTAAGGGTAAGTCAGAATTAGACCCTGTATGATTACCTGCACTATATTTATAGGCATCGTCGACTGAATAATGATTTTTTTGTTTAATTTTTTTCATTTCAGTGAATATTTTGTAGAAATTTGAGACTATTTTATGCATGAGGTTGTTCTTTAAAGAAAGCATGTTATGCACTCTTTTAGTTGATGAATGCACTTGAAAAGTTTTGTGACATAAATCTTAAATTAAGTCATATTGCATGTTGCTATTAAAACTCTACAAATCTTGATCTATATTCAACTTGTTAAATGCTAGTTTTGCATTAAATCCCACATTTCCCCTCCTACTCATTGTTTCTCATATCTGGTTTGAGAATATAGGGAGGAGAGAAACTTGGTGCGAAACTAGTTGTTTGCATGTTAAATGATAACATATATCTGGTGTCACAAAAAAGTGAATCACATTTTGACAAATACCTGTATTTTCTCAGTAATAGATAAGCCGAATAATTTGAAAGATTTTATTGAGGAACTATAGGGTATCAGTAGCAAGTGTTATAAAGAAAGAAATCGGTGACATATTATGCAAATATTCTCAAATTAAAAACAGCATGCTAAAATATTCAATATCTATGTAAATATCATTTATGTAGTCTGAAAGAAGCTGTTTTTCCAAGCAGATATGCTTTTGTGTATTTCTTCCAACGATATTGCCACAACATAATTATTCCATCCTTAAATGCATGGGCAGGTGGATGTAGTGCATATTTGTTCAAAAGTCTTTACAATTACATGACTTACAGCTCTTGCCCTTAAGTCCTTTACAATCCTTTTCACCTTGAAATAGTTTTCAATAGTAGCCTTGTTGCTTTAACTGAAACGTATTGTTAATCCTTCCAAACTGAAATTTTGGACTGAGCGGATTTTGGATACAAACAAAAATTAAACAAGTCACACCTTACACCCAGACAAGCTATTTCCATACTAACACTGATTGACAGATGCCAACACCTGACATTAAACATGATGAAGGTCTCATTGAGCAGCTCTGATATTGGATTTTTTGAATTTGTTAATACTCACATAATATGTAGCCGATCTCTTTTATATTTATATGACATGGTGGTAATACCTTTGGGTTATTGTGTACAAATTTTCAATGACTTCAATCAATCCGTTGCTGAGAAAATACCTTTTTGGGGACACCCGCTATATGCATCGTGAACTGTCTCCTATTAGAGTGGGTGATCTGATCATTTCTCTCTGCATGTTTACTAACACTATCTCCTGGCTGTTTCTGCAGTTGTGATAGATAGGCGATCAGACAAGAACTGTGATGTAGGACAGTTTGAGTTATGTTACAAACAACCTGCCGTCAGTGTACCCCCTTACTGCGGCTCTAACTTCTCTGTGGAGGGACAGACAATTAAACCCCCCAGGGGATTTAAAAGACTCCAAGCCCTGCAGAATCTTGAAGCAGAGGCTGAGAAGCTTAAAGAGAAGCTTTCACCCCCAGTGTCACCTGATGATGAGAACACTTATGAAAAAATGCATGATAGACCATATTTAAGGACATCTAGATTTGGAATAGGTAAAACGACACCTGCACCTAATCCCAAAGAAACTGGAAGTTTAATGATGAGCAAACCAGGGAAAATCATACATCAGTTACATCAGAAACCTAAGGAAAAACCAATCATAAAAGTGCAGTCAACGAGTGTGCATCAGTTCCGTCCAGAACCATCCTCTAAAAGTCCCATCCCAGTGCCAGCTGGTGGGCTCAGTATTGAGCGCAAAACTGTACCCCTGAAACGCTCGAATAGAAAATCAGTGCAGTCGACAGAGATCACTCAACAGCAACAATTTGAAACGGATCCATCGAAACAAGGTAGTATTAAGGAGTTCAATATGGACCCCTTAATTGTACGTAATAAAATTAGACGACCTCAACAGGTAGAACGGCAGAGAATCAGGGACGTCAAGTGGCAACCGAGGGGATCAGTGGGGGTTAGGTTACCAAAATCATTACTAGACAATGTCCGCATTACCTACAAGACTCTTGATTTTCATGTGCCCAAAATAAAATATATCAAAAGTGGAAGCCCTATGCATGGAACTCCATTTGGAGACAACCTCGCCACAACATCCCCTCCTTTGCCACTACCCCTTGATGCAGATGCCTAGTCTACAACAATAACATTTCTAGTCTTTGACAAATTATGGAAATATGTCTGAATGTCTCTGTGGCAAATGATTGAATTGAAGATTCACTTATACTCAGTTTTTTATGTCGCCACCAAAATGGTGACATATTGCTATTGCTTTAGTATCCAACTTTTAGTGGGCGGTGTTCAGCAGTTTGTGTTTGGTGTCTGTACCAGTATTAGGCATCTGTTTCAGCTGTTGGCACGGCATCTAAAACAAATGGCAGGTGGTGACATTTTGCATGTTAATGCCTTGTTATTTGCAAAATACAACTGCCACAGAGACATCAGAGTATGAACTCATTGCTTAAATAGGTGATGGTAAAAATATTATTGCTTGAAATTAGTTAAAACAAGACAAATAACTTAACAAGTAGCGACTGTAATTAATTTTATTTTATTTTCTAGATGTTATATTTCTTACTTATCTTCAATTTATTAAAATATTTTACTACTAATTAGATATTATTTTACCAAACAGTATTACTTTTAGAGATGCATTGTTGCGCCTCAGTTGCGCCTAATTTGCCTCACATAATGTTCTTATGTAAATGGTACATGTTTATGCATGGGTTCTTGTAACAATAGTTTCTAGGTCTCAAACACCCTGCAATGTACAAGCATGACATTTACATTAGAGCACCCTGCTTTAAGGCCAAATAAAGTGTGCCAAATAGTTAATGTATATAAGAATAGATAGGTTTAGTTAGAGGACTTCAATTTCCTGTCTGTAACATCACATGTTACATCCAGACCCCATCCTATTGTGTGCTTGCCCATAGTATCATGAGGGGCTACATGTATATGCTTTCGGGGCCCCTCCTTGGCTTAAGGATCCCACAAGCAAACTTACAGTAGAATGGAGTCTGGATAATACCTGTGAACATCTTCCTATCTGAAACAATCTGTATCTATACAGTAAAACCTGTCTATGTGAACACCTTTCTGAAATTAACACCTCATAATGCAAACACTTTTTCAATTCCAATTTTGGATATCCCATTGAATCTCAAGAGAGAACCTTACACAATAATCACTTAAGAGTAGACAGATTTTACTGTATATGTATAGTAGTATATTCAAAATTGCTTCTTTCGCTTTCTGGTCACTGTCTTATAGGGATCCCTGCAGGTTGTATGTTTTTTGATTCATTTCATATCTCGATATTAATATAATTATTTGAGACAGATGATTTTATAAATCTTTGCAAAATTATTGTCAATATTAATTTTATGATTCAATTTAGGAAAAAAAGTATTCTACTCATATAAGGGTTAATTGGTTTGAAAAAAAGATGATATAAAAATAAACCTTCAATATTTACAAATCAAATTTTAGGTGATTTCAAGCAATCATACCTGGGCATCAAGCAATCATGGGATCCCTAGTGTCTCATGTGTCTATATATTATGCTAAATAAATATTCTGCATTCTGGAAATGAGAAACATTTTTATTAATTTCATTGTTTCATGACTTTGTAACTTATTTCAATTCTTACAACTCATGAGAAAATGAAATATCTTTAAAATTAAAATAATTTCTGAAATGTCCTATGATTAGTTATTCTGCTTCACTGTAATTCTCATCTTCAAAACAAACAAGATTATTATCGCACTTTGAAGAAGTGCTATATATATTGTCATTGTCTTGGGTTACTGGGAAAACGTGCGAGTGGGCAGTGGACAATAGCAGACTATTGCCAAGATCCAGTTAGGTTTTGAGCATGCTGGGTAAATTACATAGCAGCCATTTTGCTCTTCAAAGTGCGATATTTATCACTATAGTCTTGCAGTAAGTCCCAGATCTTACCCTCTTTGTAAAAGTGAGGTGTGTGGGGATTATAAGGGACTGAAGCAAGACTATGTACCTTATTGCCAATATTTCTACTCATTAGTTTTACTGTACTGTTAATTATGTTAGATATTTTAAGGTGGCAATTTTTCTGTATGCCTTCAGTAATATTGAGATATTCCATTGATGTGATTTAAAATCAACATTTTCCTTCCTTCAAAAGTGTTCCTTACATGTTTTAAGGGATGACAATTTCGGCATGATATCTTGAATTTATGACTGAATCAAATGTGCAAAAAAGTTGTTCAGAAAAAATTCCCAATGAAACATTATTCATGTAGATATGTGTCTTAGGATAATTTCAGTTAGTCATCTACATAGAAATATAAATGTATGTCAAACTTTTGCACAAATGATTCATTAATAAATGATGTCACGATATCATACTGAATTTGAACTGTCGTTTTCACACTTGAATGCCAATAAATCATGTCAGGAACAAGAGAATTATGTTGATAAAGAATCTATGGCAGGCTAAATATTGTAATATTAGTGTGTGCCTAGAGGAACAAATTGCCCCATTTATAGTTTAGTCTTAGTTTAAGGAATAAAATCTTGCTTAGAATAAATACACTTGCTTTCACTTTCTAGCTATTTTCTTTTATTATAAGGTGACACCTTCAACTTGCTATGGTTGTGTATATTCATACAGTATATGTATATAAGATGTATATACACAAATTATATTTGCATCAGGTCCTAAAGTACATCCTTATAGTAGTACACATCCTCTAAGTACTTGCATCCTTATTGTACACTTATCCTTATAGGAGTACACAGCACTACACACATCCTTTAAGTACATCAGAGACATATAAAACATGTTTTATATGTCTCTGAGTACTTACATCATTATAGTTCATATATTCTTATTATTTACACTTCTTTTATATACATCCTTAAACATATTAGGAACATCAACATAGTATACACATCCTTAAAGTACTTACATACTTACTACTTATGCATCAATACTTTTCTTACACACATCCTTAAAGCATGATACAACCTTATAGTTCTGGTTTAAGTGAATGTCTTATATTTCATACTACAATGTACAATGTACACACACTATATAGTAACTAGTTATCCTGCATCTTCATCCCTGTGCACTTTCTTTGGCCAAACAAATTTCAGCAATTCAAGATCCTGGAATTTTATCTTGTGATCCCCAGCTTAGTTATCCTCTTCTGCAGCTTACAATCAATAATTGTGTGTGAGCTTATGCTTTACTGATGTTTTCCCTTAAAGGTCTATATCACTATCAACGGCAAGGCCTATTTAAGAACGGCCTCATCTATGGGAAAGGAGTGCAATACTCACACGTAGTACGTCTACGTGTCCCCCAGAAAGTTCCCTACGGAGCATATGGTGGAGGCAATAAAATTGCTGTCGTTAAATCGCACATTCGCACCTTCTGTCAGAAATGAGATATAGAGGGCAGCACGTGTGTGGTGGAGCTTCGCTAACGTAATTATCTTTATTTCTCACAGATATGTCATACTGGTCACGTTATTCTGAGGTAACAATGATTGGCATTGAATTGATATACAGAAAGTTGATCTATTGAGAGACCTGGATGGTTTAATTGGTTGTAAACTAATTAACAAATGCAATTTAAAATACATTTGGAATGATCATTAGGCAAATTGCATCAACAAAAGGAGATACCATTATTTTGACCACAGGTACCAAGAATTGGAATAGCTTTACGAGTATGACATTGAATGTGGGGCTCTTTATTTTTCATGTTTCTGTCATTTATTTTTATGGTGTCCTTTTTTATTATCCTAGAACTAACATAATTTAACAAAAAAATTTTTTTTATGTTACTAACATTATGTTTAAACATATAACATATAATAATTAAAAGGATATGTCAAAGTATGGAAATCAAGATATGGTTTTGGTTTAAGATTATAATGAAAAACATCATCCACTCTGTTCCTCCCTTCTTCTAGAATGCTAGAAGGGGGTATGAGTTCTGACGGTCTATGCCAGCCATTGTGAATAAAGCCAACTTTGACCTATCCCAAAATCTGTTACTAACAAACATATTGAATGCATGTAACTGTCATAGTATTAATATTGTTTTATTGTTGATCAATTGTAGCGTATTTGTCTATGTATGTTTCTCTTGTCATTTTTTATACAACTGTAGCTGTGCAGTGATGTATTCCAATGTCAGAGTTTTGACTAGAATAAGATGTTAACATACATTGGTCCACATTAGGATGATAGTTAGTATCATTCAAGATGGTGGACAAAATTTGTTCAGTATTGATAAACCTTCGTTTTTAACTAAACCATGGGCTTTCAAGAGACTGGATTCTTAAAGGCCCACTTCGCTTATTTTCAATGTTTTTGGGCAAAATTAAGACTTTTATTTGAATTCTATAGAATGTCCTATGTATTGCTAAGAACCCTATCTTTCATTTGACACCAACTACAGCTCAAACGGACCACATCAAAGCTTACAATGAATAATCAAAAGATATTTTCGATCCGTCAAGCTTTATATATTAAGTTTTTATCAATATCATTAAAAGATGGCAAAGTTGTTTGTATTACATGATACATTCATTTTTATAGATGTGTCGCCATCTTTTAAATCAAAAGTAATTAAAAACATGCACTTTGTTTAGCATGTGCATGCATGTCTAATGATCTCTGAACTTCAAATGCTTTTTTCTATGTGAGTTATTTTTTCTTTGTCCAACATTAAAGCAAATCAAACTTTGTTTCATATTTGAGCGAGTGTGTGAGTAATATGTTTCAATAATAATTTTTTTTCTTTTTTCTTCTAAATTAAGTATAGTGGGCCTTTAAGTTTCTGTTCATGCAAACTAAGAACTTTTTTTCATATTTAAGCAATTGCAAAGAAATGTTTAAAGATCAGAGAAGTTAAAAGAAAATTTCTACTCTACACTTATAAATTAGGAATACAGGCCTGTCAACTGTCCCGCAATTTGCGTATTTGTCACGCATTTGCTGAAGAATTTGAAGTCACGCCAGAAAATGTCACGCAAATACGCATTTTACCTGGTAATTGTCAAGCAAAAATCTTTCTGTAGAAAATTTTCTAAAAAAGATCGTCTACACAGCAAAAATACGAACGACAGGAAAAAAGTACTCAGTTCGTTCGGACTTTTCACGCGAATTACGGATATGTTACGCATTCCGTTCGAAATTTTTTGTACCTACCCCCCCCCCCCCCCCCCCCCCCCGTTGATGGATGTTAGATACGCGAGCGTAGCGAGCGGGAAAATTTGAGGTGTTCAAAATTTGGCAAGATGTAATAAAATTTAAACCAAGGTGTTCAAAATTTGGATCAAGGTGTTCAGATTTGGACCAAGGTGTCCACATTTTGAGGGGAGGTGTTCAACATTTCCAAGTCACTCATGTTAGGTGTTCCCAAGTTGACAGGCCTGGGAATAGGATAATCATACTAAACTAATCATCTCCCAGGATATCTATAGTTGTTTGTAACTGGAACTTTATTAGTTAGCATGAGGAAATATTTGGAATCTAGATTTTACTTGATGTAGGCTAGCTTAAATCGAAGGTTTCACGAAATTGAATGGATTGTGCCTACCTCCTTGAATAATACTAACTCCATTTAGTAGTATACGTATTATCATCCATGAGACTCCCAGCTGAGACATTGATGTGTTTTAGTATAAATTACGATTCATGTTGTTTGCATGTTGAAAACTCTCATAAATTGTTTTTGTTGGATTTATGTTTTATTAACTCATCGTGACTTTAATTTATATTTAATGATATGATTGTGTAATTAATATATTTATTTAATGTATCTTGCATTACATAATAATATAGATATATCATTTGTTTTTGCACTTTGCTGATTTTTTTTTTATTCAGTGTTGAAGCAATGTAAAACAATTTAATAGTATGATTGCACAGATTTGCTGAGTTTTTATTAAAGTTTGTGTATTTCCTAATGATTTGACATTTTGATGATTTTTACACTTCAGATATGCACCTGATGGCTAACAGTAACAGTAACAATCTATTTGTTGGTGTGAACTTGATAGCTAACCCACTGGTGGATGGGTTCTGGGCCCGCGTGTGTCCACAGTGTGGTAAGGGGATGAACTCGCGTTTCTCGGGTGAATCTCCTCCATGTAAGTGCCGTGTAGATAGCATCAAGCTTGGTGTCACACGCTCAGATACAATGAAATCTAGGTCATCATCTCATGATCAAATTTCCCCTGTTCCGAAGACACCCAGAAGGAGGGCAATTGGACAATTACGGAGACAATCTGACACAACTTCAACAGCAGATTCGTCACCTGAGTTGTTTACATCACGCCAGGGAACAATTCTCAACGACCTTGACCAACTGAAGAATAAAATCGTCCTCAGGTATACCGATGCAGGGATTCAACGACCAAAAACACCCATCCATAAATTCATGGGGCCAGGCTTCCCAAATATGTATAAGAAGTATTCCAGTAGAAAAAGTACAGATAATGGCTACCCGGTTTATACAGACACTAATCGGCCAATACCAAAAGGTCCACTGTCTATGGTGTGTGTCACTACACCTAACTCAAATAGCACATGTTGATTCGTAAGGTTTTTCTAGGCATTTCGTTTGAATCATGTTAGATGTTCATTTGTTATTATTTATTAGACTTTATTTTGGACCCTTCGCTTTTCTAAAAGAGAGCTTCATCAGCCTCAAGCCTCGGGGTAGTTATTGCGTTAAAGTATGAGAATATTGGTCAGTCCTCGTGATTGCACAGATGCAGTTTAACCGATATTTAAGAATGAAAAAGATATGCAGCTATGGTCAGCCATGTAGGCCCCCAAATTAACTGTTTCCCCCGTCTCAAGCATGAAAAAAGAAATTTGCCCCTCATGCACTTGTCCAATTAAGCAAAAAGTGACTTGGCATTATTTTATATCTCAATTGAATTTGATACATACTCTCAAAGTATGAGAATGCAGGCATAATAGAAACATTAAACATTGTAAAACATAATGGAAACACCAAACTTTGTAAAACACATACCACTGCCACATCATAGCAACTGAGGGGATGAAACATAAATGAATTATATACGTTTTATTCTCATTTCATTTAAGACACCATATTTGCAATTGTAAAAGTAATTTTAAACAAACATGTGTGGCATATGCATATGCATATAGATATATTTTCTGTTATTCAAATAATAAGAGAAGCATGTTCACCTAATCTATTTTAAAAGATGGTGATAATTGCAATATTTACAGAAAAGAATAGTTTCGTAAGTCTTCCTATGGTGAAAATTATTGGTTGTATTGAATTTTGTTTAACATTGAGCCCTAACAAAATTATTTACGGACAACTCAATAAAACATAAGATTATACTTGCCCCTTTAAGGTGCACATTCTTGTGATCAGCCACACCACAAATCACAAAATGCAGTGTCAGGATAGAGAATGATGTTCTTAATTTAGTCATGAATTTATATACATTTTCCACTTTCCGGAAATTGCATGGGCAAAGTAAGCTATGGGGCAGACGATGCAACATGCAACATTAGAAGTCTTTTGGACTGATACTGTGGAAATTATGTCACATAGTAGGCCTAGTAGTATTATCTTGGCAGTATTTTAGACAAGAAAGACGTGAATTAAATGTCACTTCTGCACATAATACAAATAATTTGCATGTGTTTATACATCTTAAACACTGGTACATGTTACACAGCATGATTAAATTGCTTCATTATGAAGCATTTTGACAGAAAGCTTTGTAACTAAGGATTTTGTGCTTGTTTAACTCCTCAAAAATTGTCATTACGAAGCGTTTTATGTCACCACCAAAAGTAGATTATTGTTATGGACTCCAACTTTTTTGTAACAGCGGTTGGTGTCTGTAACAAATTCTTAAAACTTCCAATAACTTAACAAATACTGTTTAGACTTACTTCAATTTTTTCCAAATTATCTACAAGTTTTCAAAAGTTCAAATCTGACTTTAGATTTAAGATTTGACTTTCAATGACCTTTTCAAGGTAAAAAAAAGTTAAAAAAGGTCAAAACAGTTTTTCAACTTTCTTCAAATTGAACAATTGTTTTTCAAATCATCTACAAGTTATCAGAAGTTCAAATCTGACTTTAGATTTAAGATTTGACCTTCAATGACCTTCTCAAGGTCAAAGAAAGGTCAAAAAGGTATTTTTCAACTTGCTTCAAATTGACCAATTTTTCCAAAATCATCAGTTCTCAGAAATTCAAATCTGACTTAAGATTGAACAAAAAATATTTTGAGCAACTAGGTGGTGACATTTTTCAAAATCATGTACAAGTTCTCAAAAGTTCAAATCTGGCTATAGATTTGACTTTCAATGACATTCTCAAGGTCAAAAAAGATTTGACCTTCAATGACCTTCTCAAAGTCAAACTTTCGATGACCTTCTCAGGGTCGAAAAAGAGTATTTTTTCAACTTGCTTCAAATTGACCAATTTTTCCAAAATCATCAGTTCTCAGAAATTCAAATCTGACTTAAGATTGAACAAAAAATATTTTGAGCAACTAGGTGGTGACATTTTGTCATGTTAATGTCTTGTTTGTCAAAATGGTTCATAACGAAGCATGTCAATCAAACTTGCTGTGTAACTCAAACTACCAATGCATGGAGTTCAGCTAGCAGTAGGAATTTTTAGCTCAACAATTCAAAATGCTTTTATATTTTGCATAATGATCAAGTTTGTTTACTTTGATAATAAACAATAGTTTGTTATGAATGATTGTTTTCATAGGTTTATTTAACTGAACAGAACTTTTATAGTTATGTTGTTTAATATAGATATTTATAATATGAATATAGAAATTGCTTATTATATTATTTTATAACCCATTGAGTTCTGTTTTGTTCTGCTCTGATGAGTAGTGTAATATCACACCATTATCCACCAAAGCAACGTATCCTATCATTTGCAATTTCCCGATGAAAAAATTATCAAACAAAACTTGTGAAGGGGATGTACTTATGGTTTTGTAAAATACACAAATCACTAGTAAATGTTTCACTTTAAGGCTGTTTTATTAGATGAACATGCAAATTATTTACATTGGAAATCTTATTATTGCGGCAAGAGTGTATGTATCAAGGAACACTGATAATCCATGCAATTTACCCCATCCATATTTATCCGAGTATACTGTCCACATCAGGGCAGATATGTTATCCTTCACAATATAAGGGAAGATTTGGTAGATTGTAAACACCTCAGGCTCTTTACTGAATCCACATTCTTTGTCTACGTCAAGCACCATCAGAGCAAGCCATAGGTTGGCACCTTTTGGAATTGTTCCTTCCCATTTTCCTGTATTAACAATGTGTTCAGATTTTCTTAACATATGTGTTGATATTTAAGGATATAAGCCCCGGACTCGGTGCATTGTGTGCTGATTCATTCCATTGAATGCGTTGTTCCCAAATCTTTGCATGACAGCGCAGTGGGAATGCAAAAGATAACAATGCCTGAGTGGAATGAAGCAGCCACAATGCATTGAGTCTTGGACTTAAATTCTTTTCACACATTGCAAAATATATATTTTCTACAGATCACCTAAAAGATACAAAATTTCTAAAAGAACATATTTTCAATGAATTTTTTGCAAGGGTCAAGTTTGCTAAGTATCAATTTCAATCTGGCGAGTCAAGCTGTCACCTTGATAACAAGTTTTGTTTAACAAGTGACCTTGAATGCGGTGATTATTATAAGTGATATAATGCACTGCAGTTGTTTGAAATACTGTGTTTGGATTGGCTGGAATCAGACACACCTTTCGTACCTATGTGTAAATAAACAGTAGCACCTTTGTGTGTTTGTACTAATGAAGGGACCAAAAAGCTGATGATCCATAAACAATTTGCTTAAAATCTACTCAAATTGTGTATGGTACATACAGTATGACTATTTTGGTAATGATAAAAAGTAGAAAGTTAAATGATTTTATTATTTGAATTAATTACTGACTTACCACCAGATAATGTCATTGACTTTTTTGATCTCAGAATGTACCCTCCCATTTGAAACCTGCTGTTCCTATAATATTTAACCAGAGTTGATGTTGTCTCAGTAATGACTCGCGCATCATTATCAGCTGCACCACCATAAAAGGTGAAGCCCCCTATATCACCCTATGCAGACAGAGCCTGTGGGAAATATTGGGTGCGGCGCAAATGAGCGGAGGGTGCGGAGCTAACCCATGGTACGTTTATGGAGCTCCTCCGCACCCAATATTTAGAGGGGCTCATATCTGAAAAACATTTCCGAATTTTTATAAAATCACACAGATACTGCCTGGCTTCCAAGATGCAAAAATAATTTGTATAGAAAGTGTACCTTGAACACCATTTTTTATGAATGCTGGGGACTCAGTATTAAAAGGATAATTTCAAAATATATAGGTCTGGGAAAGGTTTAAGGCACACTGCGTCACTATAGAATGAATTGCGCTACTATTTTCACAATTGTATTGATATTTGGTGTCAAATACACATATCTTGGTATATTTGAAGTCCCAAAACGGCTTAGTTTCAGAAATATCCCAAGTTTAAATTCAAAAATGACCGTTAGCTCCGCACCCTCCGCTCATTTGCTCCGCACCCAATATTTCCCACAGGCTCTGTCTGCATAGGGTGCTATATCAACGGTCTCACCAAGGTAAAGTTGTGTATCTGTTAAACCGCTCACATCCACTCCATATGTCTCCTTCATATTGGTTATAAATACTTTGCCTGAAATAACACTAAGTCCTATCAAAGAAAATTTAAAATCAATCTTCAAAGAGTGCCCATGTAAAATTCGTTTAAAAAGTATTTTGATCTATGGGATGGTGTCATGGCATAATCTTATGACCATAGACTACATCCTCCGATCATAGGGCTTCAAATTCCAGAATATGTTCTCTCTTTTTAAAGGAAGTGCGCATTCTGGATGCATGTCATGTGAATTCCTGAAAAACTGATTTTAAAAATACCTGCCGGTTTCAAAATGGCCACCAATTTTACTGTATTTTAGGCACAACATATAAAGCTGTAAAGTTAATAATTTTAAATGCAACCCTATACAAAAAATGACTAAATTAAAAATCTAATTATCTAAAAAATGGCAGCCATCTTGAAAAACGATGGTCGATTTTACGATTTTTGTTGTATCTGAAAAAGTACTGGAGCGATTTTGTTAATAGGGTATGCCATGATACCGTGCCAGGTCTTTTACTAACCATGGGCAGTTTTAAGCCCATGTACTAACTCAAGAAAATTGGAATATACTGTTTGAGAAAATTGAAAATATCAATGTATAGTATCTGGAAAATGCACTCATAATATTAATTTTTCAAAAGAAGAATATGTCCAAATACCATTTGCGAAATTCATTGCTTTCAAATATACAGGGTGAACCAAAAAGGTAACCGAAACACATGTACGTTTTAACTCAGTCATTCATCACGGGTTTGATGTGATATTTGGCACACTTGTTCGATGTTCTTTCATTCTACCAAGTTTCAATGCATCCATAAAATTGTGACCATTTGGGATAGACCAATCCATAAATCAGGCATGTCTTTTGATGCCATGTAACTTCTGCTAGATTTAAGACATCCTTCTTCAAAGGACTTCATTTATGCTTAAATTCATATATACTTGTAAAATACCCTTGCAGCAAGGATGGATTTAAGACTGAGTGACTTTTAAGGTACTCCTCGCTAAATTGTTTCTGGATCTTCAGATACGTAGAGCAACCTTAAATGCAGCATAAGATAACAAAGGATACTTTGTAAAATTTGTGATTGTAAATTTGAAATGCTTGGACCCTCATATCATAAATCACGTTCGATTCCCTGATAGTGAAACATGTATTATACTGTAGTTGTAACAAATAAAAAAATTAAGGGGAAAAATAAAAAAGATCTTTAAGGTACCCAAAAAGCTTGTTGCAAGGGTTCACCTTTATATTTCATAAATATTTACCGAACGCGATGATATCGGAACGAGAAATGATTTTTCCTTGTTTTAAGAACTCATGAAAGTCTTCTGTTGTGTTCAAGTAAATCGGTAATTTTTCTCCACCAGCTATAAGCGAGAATGTTTTTTCATATACAGTGAAGTTAGTGGGTGTCGTGTTCCTTAGTGGTTTCCTGGTTGAGCATGAAGCTGGTTGCTTTGATTCTCCATATTTAGAAAAAATCAAGAAAATACTGACAATGATGATGAATTTTGAACCCTTCATATTCATAACTTTCCTTTGAAATGATGTAGAAATCAATCACATATCTAATTAATGTTACTGTTGCTCAAATACAATCATATCTGATCGTACGTACAACTGCGAACCCATATTGCCATAAAGACTGATATATAGTAGATTCGCATGTTTTACTTCCACGTACATATATAGGGTGTCTCAAAAAATGTACCCAAAAGTATATCAACAGCATAGACAAACCAATCAATATTTTCAGACATTTTTGCATGTTCTTGTAGTCGAAACATGTAAGCTTTTTCCCCTTTACTCAGTTTTTAATTCAATTTTGCCTTTTTGATACTTTAACCCTTTACCTTTTACACCACATAATCAATGTAACCTCATATTTCGATGACAGTCTGCATCCTTACTAATACATTGTTCATCACATTTGATATTTCTGGTGGAATGTTTTGATTTCTGTTTGGATGCTGGTCTTAAGTTGTTCTAGGTCTCTTAGCTTGGGTTTAGCATAAAAATGGTCCTTGAATTAGCCCCAGAGAAAAAAGTATGTGCCGTCAAAGCTGGTGAATAGGGAGGCCCTCACAATTTATTATAGCCCCCTTATACAAAGAGGTCAGATGTTCAAGAAACTACATTGGTTGGGATTCTAGTGTAGCCTTTGTTGAATGTAGAGGGGCTCAATCAATTTGAGACCACTGTGTTTTCATTTGGATTTCACTTGGTCTCCAGGCTACCCTACGTAACTCTGGAAGGTAACTCCTGAATCATTTGCCGATAATTGACCTGATTCTCCGTGTTTGTTCTGCCATCGTCATCCTCAACCATCTTTCTTTGTGGCTTTTTGAAAGAGTGTTTTAATGCTCATTCGAAACAAAAAGACCTAGAACAATTTAAGGGCAACATCCAAGGAGAAAAACAAAACATTCCACCTGAATTATTATCAAATGTGATGAACAATGAAGCAGTGAGGATACAGGCTGTCATCTAAATATGGGGTTACATCGATTATGTGGTGTAAAAGGTAAAGGGTTGAAGCATCAAAAAGGTAAGACTGAAATAAAAATGGTGTATTGGGGAGAAAACTTTCATGTTTTGACTACATGACCATGCAAAAAATGTCTGAAAGTATTGATTTGTTTATCTGTGATGTTGATATACTTTGGGTACATTTTTTGAGAGACCCGATATTAGTAGTAATGAGACAAATGCAGCTTTGAAACTAATTGAGTTAGATTGGTATTAACCTTCCAAAAAATTGAACATACGTTTTAGCCTGACATTTTAAGCACAAGCAAGGATGTGGATCCTTCTAATTGTCAAAGGCCATTTTGAAATATGCATAATGATGTATGCATTCTAAAAAATAAGATACATATACACTCCCCTTCATAAGTTTGGCAACCTTAGTTCCCCATTGAACTACGTGTTAAAGCCTCTTTACCTTTGAATTTTTATTTACTTAACCTGCGATGAAAATACTTATACTATTGATGGAAACGTAATTTGACTTAATTCCAATACCTCCAAATTTTCTCAATTTTTTCCTCAATTACAATAGGTCGAAAATTGATGATAAATTTGATGAATTTTTGAAAATCGACATTCCCATGTTAAATGGTAGGTTTGCCGCGCAAGTCATATGACATAATATCCATCAGTCAGATTTTTTTGCTAAAAAATTTTTGTTGCTAAAAGATTTTTAACAAAAATGTGATACCTTTCTTCAGGATCAACAAAGTTATTGCTCTTTCATGTCTATAAAGTCAAAATTATTTTTCAAAAAACCTCTCCCATTGAAATAACACAGGAGGCGAAAAGTGATTTTCAAAAATGACTTTGAAGCTCTGTAACTTTAGTATTCATCAAGTAAGCTAAACACTTAGTGTAGAAAAAGTTAAACAATTCAATTTTCTACATAAAAATATTTTTTGCTGAATCTTTCACTGAATAGATATCCTGATTTCTCATTTGCCCCGAACCCACCATTTCCCATTGGTTTACATGAGAATGTCGATGTTCAAAAATTCATCAAATTTATCATCAATTTTCGACCTATTGTAATCGAGGAAAAAAATTGGGAAAATTTGGAGGTATAGGAAATAAAGTTAAGTTATTTCATCGCAGGTTAAGTAAATAAAAATTCAAATGTAAAGAGGCTTTAATATAACACGTAGTTCAATGGGGGAGCTACAGTAAGTTTGCCAAACTTATGGAGGGGAGTGTACCTTATAAGATGAAGTCAAAAATTACTTTGCCCACATTCTTATTTGACATGACCTAGAGTTTTTAAGTTTATGATATTTTTGTCTATGTCTGTTACCGTTGCATTGAATCAATTCACGTACATGTACCATTTTGAAACAATGCATTATTTCTAGGACTAATAAGTTACAATTTATGAAAAATTCAATGTTAGGTTGACTTGTACAATAAAATTAAATACATATGGAGATGAATCATGTAATCATGTAGGCCTAATGACGCATTAGTAAAGTATGATAACCTGAAATGTCATCGTCAACTTAACTCAAAATGATTAAAATTCAATGATCACATATGTTCATGTTACAATGGCTACCATGGCAATAAAATAACAGGTTTACAATAGACCTGACAAAAGACGAGATGCAAGTAAAAATAATTTTGATTTACAGCATTAAAAATTCAAAATTCAGACGCTGACCAGTCAAACTGTCAAAGCGATATCATTGAAATCTACATGTAAAATTACGTCGAGAAAAATGTGGATTTAAAGATGGTTTATCAACTATGAAAATTCAATTTTCTTTGAAAATGTGACTTCTAGGTAAGGGAGATTGCCCATAGACAGATAGACCCCATATTATAAAATTGCAAAAAGTGAAATATCTTTTCTTGTATTGGGCAAATAATATTTCTTTAACTGAGCACATTTAAATTTGTAGAACTATCAGATACATAAGGGTAATATGATTCAACCACTAGAACTGATGAACATTCAAGTGTAAGGGGAGTTTCTAACATACCTGCCATATTATCTGACCCAGATAAGCGACCTAGTGGTGGAACAGGTAAGTACATACTTGCCCGTAGCCAGCTTTTACCAGGAGGCAGAGAGGGGGAGCTTTTTTCCAGGGGGGGGGAGCTTTTTCACAATTTTGGCTAAAAATCATGCGAAAAACTCTCAGAATGGTGAAAAACTGCATGATTTTGAAAGAAATTCTGGCCAGGGGGTGGGGGAGCTTATCTTGAACACTTTGAAGTACAGTTCCTTAATACATGTAGGTCGTTCAGTTTTCTTGTTTTTGTTCTACACAACACTTGCGTTTAATAGCCATGCGTAATTATTAATAAGCGTAATCAGATTATTTCAAGTGTCGAAATAGCTTATTTTCCTCGACGTATCAACACAAAGCTAGATTCACTTACCGTTATATTGAGCGATCTAGATCCGTCAATTATAATTGTTTTCACTCATCGGCTTTAGTGGGCCGCGATACCTTTTATTTCATTCATTTGACACGCAATTGATATATAGGCAACAAATCAAATGATTCTTCTTCATTTTGGAATGTTTCTCCTACCCGATATTCAAAGATGTGTCTTAAATATTATACTTTACATTGATCACGATTCTTGTACTTTCTGTCTTTACGACTCTCGTTCACATTTGCAAGAGTTGTTGATTGCATTGCCTTGATCGTTGGTCGAACTTCGATTCCAACTTAATCAGATTAATCAATTAAGAAATGTAATTTCATGTTTATCCAAGCAAATAATTGTAACAACTACATTATTTTTTAGCAGTTTTGACACCTAAGCAGGGTAGCCTAGTGGCGTAGACTGAGGCTACTTTGCGGTTGAACGTCGTGGGATACGGAGGTCCCGCGTTCGAGCCCCAGGTACGGAGTTGTTGATCATTGTCACTACGGACACCCGGTCCGAAGGTCCAACCGTTTACCGGCCCTTGGCATGGGTTGGTTCTCTGGCCGCTCTTGCCGGAGACAGATTGTGAGACTGTGGTTGGTTCCTCCACTAACGTGCTTTAGTAAACTCCGGAAGTCATATAGTATGGTAGCGGGCCCCCACCAAGGGCAGTAGTGGAACGACGCGAATCGGTCCCAGTATGGTTGCCTTGCAACTGAAGAGACTCGAGGAAATCATGCCATTCGCAGTGACCCAGAAAAGACTTTTGCTTCTTAATTTGACGTTTTGATTCAATTTTTTACATACTGTACTTTATTCATATTACTTTCCAGGCAGTTATGATTTTTAATAGTCAAATGAATGAACGAGACATCTAGATACTATTAAATACATCTAGATAGTATCAAAACCATAATTCCATATATAAAACCATATATGAAATAACACTTGAAAACACAACACACATAGCTGCAATATCCGTAGCATTTGGCACAGTCGGTTCCCACGCTCTATCATTTTGTGCGGCCATCATAAGATAAGGAGGTACGGTTGATTGGACCATGGGCTTTCAACAGAGTCAAGAAATTGGCATGGATACTTTGAGAAATGAGGTAGCAACAAATGGAAACACCGGAATTATGACATTATGACAAGGCCCCAGAGGAAAAACAGCATTCGTGGGTAGCTTAATTTTTGTACCAATTAGAGCCATGACTTAAACTCAACCAAGAACGGTGGGGCAAAGTCCCTATGGGTCCCAATTGAGAATCAATTCAAATCAAAATCAAATTGAGAATCAGATGACCTGCTAACACCCCAGTCACATTTCCTACGGCGACCTTGCGGTCTATCGTTTCTGCGGCCAGTAACATTTCTACGCTCGCCGTGGAATTTCTGCGCTCTCATACTTTTGCAGTCACATTTCCCACGGCAGCCGCACGGTGAATTTTAAATTTCTGTTGATAGATAATCCTTTTTTCATTTTATTTACATCGGGACAATTTATAAATGTTATTCACATGGCTTAAAGTCTTCAGGAATTTCAGGGAATTTCAGGAAAAAATGAGCCAAAATCTGACCCCATTGATTTCAATACAAATCTGGATATATTTCTATGGGGGAGTAGGGGGCCAAACAAGGGTTTCATATTTGTCTACTTTTTCCTGTGAAAATACTTTTTCCTATTTTTAATGTATATGTAATGGGTCTACATTAATCTTAAAAAGCACTCAATCAATACTCCTTCATTCAAAATTTCTTAGAGGGAGGACCTGCCCAAACCCACCGATATCTCGGCCCGCGTGTTTCGCCATTTAATTTTCAGGAAATTTGAAATTTGATGCTTTAAGCCATGTATTCATAGTGCTAGGATGTAATATCAAATGTAAAGTGACCGTGAAACATTGTTTTCCTACGCTCGCCGCAGAAATACACTGATTTAATTGATCTGCGGTCGACGCACGGCCTCCGTACGGCAAATGTGACTGGGGTGTTAGGCTCGATCTTCTACACAAAGATGAATTTTGAAAAAGAAAAAACTTAAGAACCGCGTGAACAGATATTTAAAATTCATCGTGCGGCTGCCGTGGGAAATGTGTCTGCAAAAGTATGAAGGCGCAGAAATTCTACGGCGAGCGTACTAAAGCTACTGGCCGCAGAAATGATAGACCACACGGCGGCCGTGGGAAATGTGACTGGGGTGTAATTTTCTTGCTAGAGCACTGACCTTCATTTTGATAAGATATAATACAGGGTGGTCCAAAAAAGTGAACCCCTGCAACTGGCCATATTTCCCTTATTACTTGCAGGAATTCTTTTTTATTTTCACATGTTGTAGAGGAAGGTCTAAAATTTATGTTGGTACCATACATTTTTCTTAGTCTTGAAATTTGCAGAAATTATAAGTCCTAACCAAACATTACTGAAAATGGACAAATTGTGATTTTCAATATCCGCGATTCTTCAACCCTTAAACACCTTTCCTCTGAGAATTTTTTAAGCTGCAGTCTTAAAGAACTAATATTTTCTGACTTTGTTCAATTTTAAATCCTGCACATTATGGCTTAAAACTAGCATCCTACATTTGTTAGTTGCAAAGTTATTGTGATCCAAAGAGATGTGCTAAGCTTCCACAGACGAAAACATTTTCCAGTGAAATCATGAGCATACCCCTATATGATCTTGAAATGTCAATAACTTCATAAATCATGGACCAATTCTAATGATATATGGCTCAAAACATTGAATATTGGATTTTCTTTTGATTTTTAAAGTCCCCATCTAAAGTTTAAACCACTTTGGCTTATATTGTAGTCTTATCCAATGTTATCAAAGTGTGATATGTGAAACTTTTTTTTTAAATTTCAAAAAGTGGTTTTTGATAGACTTTTTGTTCCAAAATTTGTGAATTTATTTAAAACTAACTTTTAGAGGTCACACATATCTTTGAATTAGCAACAACTCATACCAATGCATAGCATTCATCCTCACATGTTTTTTGCCGAAAAAATTAAGAAAATCGGTTCATAAATAAGCGAGAAATGAACTTATCAGTGCATGAAAATGGTTCCGAGAAAAATGCATTTAAAAATTCTAGTTCTCGTAGAAACCAATGGTACAATGATATCTAAAACATAATATATTCTTCCTTTTAACCTGGTTAGACAATCAACATTGGTATATTATTGAAGTCTAGCATAATCAGAAAAGATTGACGTCGAAAAAAAAATTTCAATTTTTTTCAAAATGTTTTTGGTACCTTAGTGACATCACTAATGGTGCAAAATATTTGCTAAAATGCTAAAACATTGAAGTGGCCCATTAAATATGGCATTTTATTATTGAAATAGTGTGTCCTTTGATCAATCTTTGCATTGGTGTTAAAAAGATAATCTTTTTCGAAATGCATTAAGAAATATTTGATGATTAAAAAATTTCAACTTTTTTTGAAAAATGGCGGGAAATTTGAATATTTGAGAAATGAAATGCTCACAACTTTTTTTTCCAAAAATTTTTTTCTTTCAAAAATCTCCAGAATAACTTTTTAAGTCATGACAAATAGTAAATGAATGATAAAAAAATATTTTCAAACTTTAGACGGGGACTTTAAAGATATTTGATGAAGGGGTTATCAGATTCCTGGTCACAGGGGGCAACTTCCTTCCATAAGAGGCCCCCCTCTAACTGTTGGTGTAGGTAACATACTCCTGAACTGTTGAACAGTTAAAAATGCTTCAAAATGATCAATGAAAGTGTGAAATGCGTTTTCTGCTTGAATAGTGTCCCTTTTGTCATATGGTATGGTTTTAAACTTGTATCTCTAACTGAAAGCTGTTTAAGATCATCCAATGTGTTTCAACAATTTCCATGAATCATATTTGTAAAATTTTGTACAATATCTAATTTCCAGGCATGTTTGTTAAACGCTTGTAATTTCTTCAAAAATTGAAGACTGAGAATAAATTATGGCATCAACCAAAATTTTAGACCTTTCTCTACAACATGTGATAATATGAGCCAATTCATGCATGTATTAAGAAAAATGTAGCCTGTTGCAGGGGTTCACTTTTTTTGGACCACCCTGTATATATAGTTAATATGGAACAGGGAGGCACATTTATTTACTTCATGTTTGTGTGAAGTTATTATTGTCTTTGACTTCAAAACTGACAAAGTGATTTAAGCATATTCTGGTTTAGCAAGAATTCACCAACTTATTTTGACGGGACTTAATACATGTATGAAATGGTTTTTATTTACATATTCAGGCAGTTGTCCTATAAGTTCTCAATTAGTAAGTTATATTTTTGTCAATTGCAATATTGAAATTTATTCTGAACACACAGCTTGTTTACATCGGAAATCTTAATATAATGGCAAGTGCATATGCATTACTATCTCGGAATGCTGATATTCCATGCACTTTCCCCCATCCATATTTATCTTCAGGAGGATATATCTGACACTATGGGATATAAACCATCTACAATAACGTCAGGAGCAGCTTGAAAAACTGTAAATACTTCAGGCTTTGTACTGAATCCACCGGGGAATCCACAATCTTCGTCCGTTTCTAACACCATCCAAGAAACCCAAAGGGCAGAATCCTGCGAAATTGTCCCCTCCCATGATCCTGTATACAAATATAAAACATATTTCTTATTGGAGTATCATTTTTATGTCACCACCAGAAGTGATGACATTGTTATAGTCTACAACATTTTTGTGGATGGTGTTCTGCTGTTGGTGTTCCGCGTATGTAACAAATGACAGGTGGAGCCTATAAAGCTCCTCGCATATGAACGACCCCCCCCCGAAGTCAGTTTATAGGTTATAACAATAGAGTTTCAACCAAAAAGCAAAAACTTTGCCTCGAATTTTGGAGTTTTTGTAAAACTTAACATCGTTTTTCAAACCTTATTTCTTTAAACATAAAGTATATGATATTTAATCACGCGTACTGTATTTATGTAAATGTTAACTCAATGATATTAATTTCTGCGTGTAGTTGTATTTTGAATATAGTATTCACTTACCACCAGACAATGTCATAGACATCTTTGGGTGAAGTCTATACCCTGCCATTTGCCCCTTAGCATTTCTGTAATATTTGGCCTGTGTCGGCGTTGTTTCAGTTATAACTCGCATACTGTTTTCTATTACAGCCGTAAGGAATATGAAGTCACCCAAATCAACAGTCTCACCAAGATATAGTTGCGTATCTGTTAAACCACTCACATCCACACCGTATTTCGTCATCATATTGGCGACAAATTCTCTGCCTTGAAACAAAACATGTAACATATGAATATGTACCAACAAGTTCAGTCAGTTTTTGGTATGTCATACATCCAGATTTTATCAGCCATGTCCCTTGGAGAAAGTTGAAAATGATGAACACTAACTTCTAGTTTTTCGAAATGAAGAATATACCATAACTAAATGTTTCCACGAAAAGGACCAGGTATGATATGGCAAGGAATTTCAGTCAATTATTGAGTCATATCTTTGATCATTAGTATTCTCTCAACACATTTCGAATCTCGTTTTTCTCATTTTTATTGCATGAATAAATCATACAAAAAAAAGTTATTCAAACTGGCAAAGGTAGAATGGCGTTGAAAGTCTAATTTGGAAGATATAAAATTTAGACCAAAATTAGGCTGAAAATGATAGTAGCATGAGATTTCCAAATGAGAAAATATGATGAGATATGTTCTTTACAACTATTATTAATATGGTATTATAAATTTTGTAAATACCTTTTGCGACGATTTCTGATTGTGAAGTGATTCCTGCACGGGCGAAAAAATCGTGAAAGAGATCTGTCCTATTGAAATGGCCTGTGGCTGGCCCTTCAGCTATGATAGAGAATGTCTTCTCGTAAACGGTGAAGTTTGTTGGTATCGTGTTCTTGCATGGTTTCCTTGCGCATGGAAATTGTCCTGTTGCTGCCGCATATTGAGATAGCAAGAAAATACTGACTATGATAAGTTTTGAACCCTTCATGTTCCTATCTTACCTTAGAACGATGTAGAAAACAAGTGCTGACTGCTCAGATACAATCTACGTGTAACTTCGAACTGATGGTTGCATATGCTTTTTATTCCATGAATAGTACTTTTACTTATAATTTATGTATTTTGCTCTGACGTCATTATGTCATCATATGATAAACTATGAAAAATATTGATAAATCAAGTTAGGTTAAAAGTGCAAATAGACTAAAATATGTATATGTATTTGTACAGGGTGATAAAAACTCGGAAACCCTGCATTTTCCATATCTTTGTCATTTTAAGAAACTTCTCCCTGATATTTTAAAAAGTACATCATTCAATTTCCTATCAGCCTACCATATTTCACGACCATCAGACTAATGTTACAGCATTTTGAACAACATGCTTAAGGTTTGGCCACAGGCAAAACCGGGAGGCAAACCTGCACAGTCAATGACCCGAATGCATTAAACAGTAGGTATGGCCTGAATGACACGGATGATCTCACTTTCGAGGTCTGCAATTGTACTGAGGTAATTTTTATACATTCTATCTTTGCCGATTCTCCACAGGCTAAAGTCAGGTTTGCCGATTCTCCACAGGCTAAAGTCAGGTAGGGACATCTTTGAGGATGTGTGCAGGTTTGCTTACAGCGCAATAGTGGCCATCAGTGGCCACTGGAGCATGTTATTTAAGTGCTGTAACATTGTGACTATCAGTCTGATGATTATGCTATATATTTAGCTGGTAGAAAATTGAATGATAATGTGTAAAATATCAGGGAGTTATTTCCTCAAATGTGACAACATACCGCAAAGCAAGACTCCCTTAAGGTGCCATGATACTAAACAGGAAATGGCAAAACAGGAAGTGACAAAAAAAATTGCATTTTTAGACATTTTTTGAAAGATGAGTGAATTCCCTATCCATTGGTATATAATATGACATGTTTTCGTCAAGAAAATCAATATTCATTTTTGAAATACGAGTGTCCCATTTTTTGGACCACCCTGTATATAGAAACAATGTCATGGAAAAATTAATGCATACGGTGCATGCATATTGTCACGTTTTGTATAATGTTAGAGATTTTGAATTTGATAGTTGGAGACAATCTTTATCAATGAGTATTCAGCTTCAAGATTTTAGAACTGTACAGTTGCATCTTGACATTCCTTCTATCTGGTATTACTTGGGACTCAAGCATCCCGAACTCACATTCATCATGTTTAGGGTCATTCTGACCATGCACATTGTGATCCTGGTCATGTAAATAATATGTGGAAATAGTTAAATTGACTGGAGGTCAAAACAGAACTCTGTTATCTTTGTTCAAAAAATGTCTGAAAATGCAGAATTTGTTGTTGTTTCCTGTTTCGCCATTTCCTGTTAAGTATCATGGCACCTTAAATACCATTACATCGTTTTATCGATAATTAAAACTCGCTTTATCAATGTTTATATTAGGTTGCAACAAATTGACTCCATGGAGCAACTCCACAAGAAGTTTCAGCTGACTATCTCAACGAGATGAACTTTTAAATAATCATGATTCATGATCATGATATCTCCATGTTAAGTCAATAATGACTTAACATGGAAATATCATCATATACCCATCCTATCATCATCGGACATCATGGAATCCTCATTTTTCAGAAGAACACGGCTCTGGCTGGTAAGCCTGAATCAGTAGAAATATGTTACTGAACATATCTTAAATCAATCCGAACTGGTTAAAAAACTGTTCTAAATTAGAATTTTTACTAGTCTAGCTACAAGCCCTACTTGTGTCGTATAGATAGTTCACACTCTTAAGATTTCACTTGGTTTTCAAAGATACTACGTATCCCCTGTTTCGGCTGATGTCTGACCCATTCATTAGCCAATTAAAAAACCTTGACCAGTGCCCAGACACTTTAAAATATATAAATATGCAAGCACAAATGGAGAAAGACGTGTAACCAGTCATAGGGAAAATGAATCACCAATCACGATCTAGCATTATTTTATCTATTCTATTTATCTCTTTCTCATATCACCGCTAATACACGCCTAACCATCGCGTAAGCAGGCGTCACCGTACAGCGTCAAAAAATCCAGTAGTACAGTTTTCTGTACGGTGACGGTAATTAACTGAGTTGAAGCAAAAACTATAATGAGGGTTTTAAAAAAATTAATTAGATGAAAATAAATACGATTTCGGGTGTAATGAAAACAGCATTCTCTTAGGAATGGTTTTAACTTTCTAATTATGATAAAAGTTTTTCGAGCACTGCTCGGATTTTTTCTGACTGGATCGGCCCACATAATCGACTCGAGAGAAAAATGGTGTTTTTTTCACTTTTCGTTTGGTTATTATTTTCCCTGTCGTCTGAGAATATGGATTATTTTTATGAGAATATGTATTTGTTATCTACACATTTTAGAACAGATGAATATTCGGCAAATAATCATTCAGTGTATTTATTTAAAAAAGATCAGAACTGTACGGTGACGCATCAGCTGTACGGTGACGCTTCCTTAGATTTTATGAAGTGCTCTAGGCTTACTGTTCGAACAAGAGATAAAGAAGCGTCAGATCTACATGTATATTATCACTGGTGAGTATCAAGCGAATGTTACAGCCGTCACCTTCGCATTTAAGATGGCGGACAGGAAGTATTAATTTCGATATTTTTAGTTTTCATGGAATTAACTATTTGAAAGTTGACGTAATGCTTTGGTATCATTTGAACTAAACCAGGCTTTTCTCATATGACTAACAAAGATAGCCTACACAGCCGTCTTCACCCCATGCAAGATATTGCATCTTTCATCCTAAAAAGTCACACGTGCAAGATGAGATTTACTTGTGACATCCCTTGTTTTAAAACATCAATAACATATAGCAACAAGAGAGTTTTTGGTTTCATGATCTTTAGGCTTACCGTATCATACATTTCCAGTAACCTTCCATTAAGCTGTGGAAGATATCGTTGACCTGTAGCGCCCATGCACTATATATGAACAAATGATCATACTCCAGAGTTTCCATTTCATACAATCTTAGTCTCATTTAGTTCATCAAAGCATAGCGTCACCGTACAGCTGGTGCGTCACCGTACAAATTTGATCTTTTTTGAATATACATAATAAATGGTTGTTTGCTGAATCTTCGCCCGTTCTAAAATGTGTAAGTAACAAATACATATTCTCATAAAAATAATCCATACTCTCAGACGGTAGGGAAAATAATAACCAAACAAAATGTAAAAAAAATCCTTTTTTCACTCTGGTCGATTATGTGGGCCGATTCACTCAGAAAAAATCCGAACAGTGCTCGTAAAACGTTTATCATAATCAGAAAGTTAAAACCATTTCTAAGAGAATGCTGTTTTTATTTCACATGAAATCGTATTAGTTTTCATCAAATTAATTTTTTTAAACCCTTGTCATAGTTTTTGCTTCAAAGCAGTTAATTTGCGTTACCGTACAGAAAACTGTACTCCGCTATTTTTTGACGCTGTACGGTGACGCCTGCTTACGCGATGGTAAGGTGTGTAATAGGGTATGTAGAGTATACAAAAAGTAACTAATTCATAGAAACAATGTCATGGAAAAATTAATGCATACGGTGCATGCATATAGTCACGTTTTGGTATACTAAATAGACCGTTTGAACTAGATATCAATTGTAAAATATGGAGAGCGAGATGATTTCAATTTTTCTGTGTCTGTAAAGAATATTTAAAGGATTTATTGGCAAATACAAATATAATATATTAGAATTGAAGTTTGGAGTTTCATTGCTTAATACGGGGTTGATCATAAAGTTCTGATAATATCTCTTTAATTTCCTGATTTTTCAATATAATGTATTGTTATGGAATTTTCACAAAATGTGCAATAAAGAAGGACCTATTAATCCAGGTAAAAATAATTAGAGTAATATATATGTTTTAGTGAAATTTCTTACGGAAATTGTTTTCTCCCAAGTTTCATTCATTATGTCCAATTTACAGCCGAGATCATAACACAGTGCAATATTGTTTTAGAGCTTATTTGAGTATGTGTAATTAAACATGCTAAATGGGGCTCATTCCTTCAATTTTTTTTATTTTCCCCGGGTCCTCTTATTTTAGGTAACTAAAGTAACCATTTCTAAATAAATATAACTGTTACACTAAACATTTTTTGCTTTGACATATCATAGTATGCTTCATATTCTGTGAAAAGACCGTATGGCAAGTGATTTTAGACAGTCATATCTTTCACCATTAGTACTTTCTTGGCATAAATATAGTGGTTTTTATTAAAACAATATGTTTTCTTTCAAGTGAAGTATCCATGATGATAAAAATATCAATCGAACAATTCGAAAAATTATGAATAGGGACCCCATGTCAATTTTTTTCAAAATATTGAACCTATTAACTCAAAAGAGGATCTCCTTTTTCTAATTTTTATTGCATGAAAAGATTATTCAACAAGGGGTCTAAAACATCTTCAAAAATATAATGGTATTGAAAGTCTAGTTTTGAAGATATCAATATTTGATGACCAAAATGATGCTGAAAACAATGGATAGCACGAGTTTTCCCTATGGGAAAATAACATGGGATATGTGTTTTTTAACTTTAACGCATTTCAATACGCATCCCCTTTTCAGAAATTGTTAATATAGTGTAGAAGATACTTTTGATACATTTAAATTGAGAAAAACAAGATCCTCTTTTTAGAAAATAAGCCTAATATTTTTTAAAAAGTGCCAAGGGGGGGGGGGCTAATCCATGATTTTTCAGAGTTGGATTAATATTTTACTATCATGGGGACTTCACTTGAAAGAAAACGTATTGATTTAATAAAAACCATTGTATTTATGGCCAGAAAGTACTCTTGGTGAAAGATATGACTGGCTAAAATCACTTGCCATACTGCACATGGACCTTTCATTAGAATATATTGGAAAAGAATTCAGGGATATTATGAGAACTTTAAGATCAATCCTCGGATACTATAAGGAGGTTTGCTTTTTAAATAGAACGATGTGGTTTACTTCATCAACCAGAACAACGGCAACGCCAAAGCGTAGCGAATCCCATCGAACAGCCATGGATGGCATTTTTACTAACAAAGTATATAGCAAAAATGGCAGGCATTTTTCAAAATGGCCGCCTTCTACCAAAAGTGTCATTAGACCATTTGCCATACTTATAGTATTCACATACCAAATAAAAACAAAATCGCTCCACTACTTTTCAAGTTATAGTTAAAATGGCGGCCATTTTTCAAAATGGCCACCTTCTACCAAAAAGCCATTAGACAGTGTGCCGTGCTTATAGTATTCACATACCAAATATAAACAAAATCGTTCCACTACTTTTCGAGTTATAGTAAAATACGTTAAAATGGCGGCCATTTTTCAAATTTTTTTCAAAATGGCCACCTTCTACTAAAAGTGTCATAGGACAGTGTGTCATGCTTTCAGTATTCGCATGACAAATATGAACAAAATCGCTCCACTACTTTTTGAGTTATAGTAGAATACGTTAAAATGGCAGCCATTTTGAAAAATCTCTTCACTACTATCCGAGTTATAGTAAAATAGGTTAAAATGGCGGCCATTTTTTAAAATGGCGGCCATTTTTTAAAATGGCCACCTTCTACCAAAAGTGTCTTTAGACAGTACGCAATTTTTATAGTATTCACATACCAAATATGAACAAAATCGCTCCACTACTTTTCGCAAAAATCGTAAAATAACGAGTAAAGGCCGCCATTTTTCAAGATGGCTGCCATGTGCTTCTCTAATATCTACATTTCTAGCTTTATTAATGTTCTATATAATTTTTTTACATCTAAAACATATTGCTATTACAGTTTTACATAGTGCACCTAAATTACTGTAAATTCGGCACTAAAATGGCCGCCATTTTGAAAATCAGCTTTCGAGCAGAACATCTACACCCATAGGGTATATGTGTACAAAATATGAACAAAATCGGGCCAACGGTATTTGAGTTACTGCCCGGACGGACGTACGTACGTACGGATGGACGGACAGACGGACGAAGGCGTTCCCTATATCCCTCCGAACTTCGTTCGATGGGATAATTAATGAATTGATATGTTATGTAATGCAGTGGTTTTAAGGTTAGATTAACTTTAAAATCATTCGAGAGAACATAGTCATGATTTTTTAAATATTCCTTCATTTGTGTAAACATGAATTATGATGCATCGCCACACTCATCGAGTCAAAGTGGATGTCGGGAAGGGACATTACCTTTGGACTGATGAGTGGGATTGGCGGGTGGTGCCTTTGCATCGTCAGCAGGCAGCCTGTGTGTCAGACAAGTGTTTATTGCTTGGACACATAGCACATATGGGTCGACGAGGTTCATTAATTCCCCATCCCTTCCAAAATTAGAGAGAATAATTTAATATTTTGATTGTGCAGTACCTGAACACATAACTATAGCAGGTTGTCTTTGAGAGACCAGCTTTATTATTACATATAGTATTATTGTCTGCGTTACAAACATCATCACGTTACTACACTGAAACATTATCCACAGCAATATGAAATACATGGAGATTTCAGTCAGCAATATTCAACAAGCATTTCTCTTGTACAACATAGCCTTTGATAGCAGGGGTCATACTATTTCCCTCTATTATAAAATATGAGGAATATTTTTTAAAAAAGGAATAAACATCCAACAAGCACAATTTGATGTTCATCTATTATATTCCTTGTAAAATTGACACTGTCAAGAGAGAACCAACACGACCCCTGCCACCATATTAACAAGGTCTTTATGTAATATATGAAACACTCAACGACACATGGGACTTTATTTAATTATGCAGTCTCAAAATTGTACTCATTTTTAGGCTGGTAGGATCACACCAAATATTAACCCTTTAAATGCTACATTTGTACACATAAAGTACATTTAATTTAAATATCTATGCTTTTTACATCTTATCTTTATACAAGTTCATGCAGAACATATGAGGCAAAGCCTACACATCTCATTGGACATTAGGCCTAAGTGCCTCCTCAGAAATACCAATGAAAAGTGCCTCCTCAAAAATACCAATGAAAAGTGCTTCCTCAGAAATACAGATGAAAAGTGCTTCCTCAGAAATACCAATGAAAAGTGCTTCCTCAGAAATACCAATGAAAAGTGCCTCCTCAAAAATACCAATAAAAAGTCATCAAAAATGGATTTATAGATTATATTATAAAATGGATTTCTTTGTCATAAATGGGTTACCGTATTTATAATACACATTTTTTTTCTAAAAAATGGGGTTGTCTTAGGTTGAAATGGAATTTCAATTAAATAGGTATCCCATTCAATGTTAGTCCAATGGGATAATAAACGCCGTCATCGGTTCATAATATCTAAAAATAAAATATTCATTTTTTTGTTCACAATTAAATTATTGACTTACTTTTACAATAATAACATTTTACAATTTTAATCTTTATACATGCACAACACAGTATTGTATCGAAGTCAGTACAGTTTCTAAATATTCAACAAAAATACATATCCAGTTCAGATTAATATCGTTACCTAGACTATAGCTGTACAATAAGGCTTGAAGATACTAAAATACATGATAGGATTTGAAAGTTGCCCCAGATAGCAACACAATTGGCTGTCTATTGATTGTTTCGATTAATAATTTATCATGTCTGACACAAATACGTCACACAAGCCAAAACAAATATAGCCACTTATGTAACCCATTTGTCAGCTAAGATGTAAACAATCATCACAAAATCAATTGAAAAATCATGATATCTTGCACGTTGATGGAATATAACATCACAATTTGCCTGGTTAAGTGTGGTAATTGTGACAAGATGTTACAACTAACCACACCAGCTGCGCCCCCACGTGCAGCCCGGGACAAATTGATCATTCTCATCGAACAACCACGACGTAATAATTTCTAAATATGATAATCTTGGACATCTCCATAATGATGTCAACTTCGAGATTTCTCTCAATAAATGAGATTTTAATCTTTTGAATTGTGATCTTAGGAGATGACCTGTTATTTCATATTCAGTAACTTTTAGTAAAAGTCCTTGAAATATCCTCGTGGTCATAAAAATCTAGCAAAATACCATGAATATTGAAAAAGTGGCATTAGGCCTAAATTTTAAATTCAAATATTCAATGAGATAAACACCATCACATCCATAAAATGCTCCAGTAAAATTAGAGCATTGTGATAGTCTAAATGACAAAAAACTTGACAACGTGACCCACTGGAGATCATATAAATCATAATATCAGATTAAAAATCATTTGATTGCCTAGATTTTTTCTCACCAATCTTTAGAGCACATAGCTTGTAACTTGTACATATTGAGACACAGCTTCTGTCCCAGGTGAAGGGTCTATTAAATAGATTTAAGTTTAGATATAAGGCAATATGATTAGAACTAGACCACTTGTACATCACACATCCATCCTGGCATTATGCTTTCCAGTATCTACTTCAACCTCCTTGACATAAAGATCTCCGTTTCATACACATCTTTGTTATCCAAGTAAAGAAGAAGCAGATTTTAGTCACATTCATACGATTGACACACAGAAATGTATATTTTGAATTGTTATTCCAAGGTTTGTAGAACTTCAAGATTAGTTCAATTGGTAATAATAATACAAGTATTGTATAATAAAACAAGTATTGTATAATAAGTATTGTACATGCTGCTTGTAGTTATATGTGTAGGAGTATTGCAGTTGAGGTTCACACTCAAATCTTCTACACAAGATGATCAGTCTCTTGGTCTTTAACAATGATCGATTCCTCTAAACATGCTTTAATCCCAAATTTATGATAATGTCTCGCTGATGATACCCTGGCTATGACTGCCATGGATTCATCTAGTATAATTTATAATTTGTTGTTGGCTCCTACAGAGTCTTTATCTATGCCAATGTAGACTGATAAACGAGATATTCACAAAGTGTCCAAGCAGTCTGATAGACAAGGTATCCACAAAGTGTGTAGTAGAGAGATAGACATTCAGTACATGTGTGTGTATGTGTGTTATGGGTGGATTATCAGAGAGTACACATATAGATCAGTAGATTAACTTTAATCCATAGTGAGATTGGCAAAATCCATGCTGGATCATGATGTAGTGTTGTCCCACTATTGATGGTGGTATGTCTTAGTGTTGTGTTGAGTTCACCTTCAGTCTTTGTTCTTGAAATCTGGAAGAAGAAAGATATTTACAGAATTGATTTGATGTACATTGTGCATGGGATAGTGCCATTTCTTTTAATCACAGTCATTGATGGGATATTCAAACCATTTTTTCTTCACATCCTCAGAGGATTCGGTCATAATTGATATTATTTTAAAAAAGGTTGTATTTGTGTGTCAATCCGTACAATGAGACAAAATATTTTATTGCTTGATTATGTTGAATCGTTAGCTCAAAAAGTAGGATAGTAATTAGTATTTTAGTTACACATACTCAGCCTGTGCTAAAATTGCTTCTTATACATGTACTTCCCTTTTGCAAACATTCATTTAAAATTCATAAAGTTTACACAAAAGTGGCTAAAAATGCGAAAATTTGCTAATTCAAGTCCCCATGAATTCAACGAAAGCTGGATATAGGCATGTAAAAATGAGTGAATCAAAACATACCTGATTTAAAACAGCCCACAGTCCTTTAAGTTGTTCTTTATGATGACATCAGTCACTGCGTCAAACACAAACTGTACGTTGTTCGTGTCACAAGCACATGTGAAGTGAGTATAGATTTCTTTTGTATCTTTTCGTTTGTTTAAGTTTTCGAACTGCATCTGGATATAGGCAGCTGCTTCTTCATAAGTCTGGGATCCTGGAGAGGACAAAATACAAAGAATGAATACAAGTACATGTTACAAGGTATCAACATGATAAAATGTCACAACCAGGTTGCAAGGATAAATAAAAAAAAAAGTAACAATTCGTTACAGATGCTGAATGCTCGTCACTCGTCACTAAAAATGATGGCTATAACAATATGTCACCACTTCTTGGTGGTGGTGATATAAAAATGCTTTGATTCAAATAGTGTCTAGAAAGACCTGAGAAAATTTTTGAACTAATGGGTTTCACAAATGCTGACCTTTTCTATTCATACAACTACAAATAAACTGAATCATGTATATGAATGTATCATTAGTCTAACAATTCCTGACATGACATGGTCACCATTGATACAAACATGTATTTGTTATATAAGCATAATATTTACTCTTACTTTTGTGATTTGAAAGTAATACACATAATGTAAATCACTCACCAGCATATTCTGGGAAACAGATAGTAAGAGAGGATTTCTTAATTTTTTCTTCGAATAAATCTTTCTTGTTCAAAAAGAGGATGATTGACGTGTCTGTAAACCATTTATTGTTACAGATGGAGTCAAACAGTTTCATACTCTCCATCATTCGGTTCTGGAACAAAAAATATTCAAGTAAGTTTTTTTAGAAGTAAATGACATTTTAGCTACCTAAAGAATATCAAAAGATTTTATTCATAATCGTTCAATTGTTAGTTATTAAACATTAAAATAAATATCATTGTGACTACATGTATGTTGTTAGTATTGATCATGAAATATCTGATCGATATGCCATCTATAGATGTGCCAAGAATTTTTATGAACATCTAGTTACCAAGTTTTTCACAGTTATACACAGTGCCTTACCTATGCTTTATCAAGAAAGCGGATTATTTTATTTTTATTTTCTAGCTACAGTCTTGCATTAAGGCCTATAACACTCCCTTTTTGAGAGATTGATAAGAGTGATGACCAAAAATTTGATGCATGACTTCTTCAAGCTGTGACTTACCATTTCTTGATCTTCTGCTAGTGTTAAGTCATACTCGCTCATGGCCACAATAAAGATGATAGCTGTTACTCCCTCAAAACAATGGATCCATTTCTTTCTCTCAGATCTTTGTCCTCCCACATCAAACATTCTGAAATAGGTCAAGGTTTAGATCATGGGTCAAAAAAGTCCAGGTTTATACGCCGCTTTCTCACAGGACGATAACAATATGTCGCCACTTGTGTCAAATAATGAGCATTAGAGCAAGATATGTTACTGCTCGGAAAGAAACTATATTTACACGTCAATTTCAAAATTGGTTCAGCTTTATGGGAACAAAAGAAAAGGGTAGAAATGATGAACTACATATATTCTCTAAATCATTATAAAATTGTCAACATTATCAAATGTTGACTGTCAAGCAGCTGCCTTGGTTACACCATAAGTGTGTGGGACAGCGATGTGACTCTACCCCACATTTCTGGGGTTGCATATTTCTCTACCTTATTCCATGTCAGTATACAATATTTTCAAATAACTTGTGTAGTAGACATATTATTACAACTTATTAACTATGTCCAATAAGCATCCGAGTAATACTCTTGAAATTACTTTTATGTCATGTGAGAAACATGGACACATTTGCCCCAGTAGTGTCATAAAATAGAATATTACTCACTTAAAGTGTAGGTCTTTGAATGTGAAGTGTGTTTCTACAATACCAGTTGTTTTCACCCTGGTACGTAAGACATCTTGTTCTGTTGGGATGTATCCAGGTGTTGAGATACGATCTAATGAATTCAAATAGCTGAAAGACAAAGAGATATCATAGAAATATCATTCTATATAAATGTGGTTCATTCTTCCTTTTATTCATCACGACTCAGTTTGAATTATGTACTATTGCCAAGTACAGTATGTGGTTTATAAGGTTTATTAGGATTATTTGAAACAACTAACTTTATTTAGTGATTATTCACCCAATGAAGTGAAATATCACAAAATCAAATTCAACAATGACTTAATATCCGCACCTTGAGCACATGATATCCACACCACTTGATTTCGTATAGCACAGTCTGCTTAGAGTGAAAGAGCAATTGAAGGAATACCATTTCCTTGTTGGAATTTTGCACATATATCTGTGTGCATGCATAGCTAAGACTTTGTATGGGATCAAAGTAAAAGAGTGTATAGTCAGTACTTCATTTATTACCACAACAATTTTGTGTCACGTTTCATTTCGAGCAAGTTCTAATTGCACACAGATATGTATAACATCATTTTTTAGACGTAACCATGGTAATAAATGAATGTTATACATCAGTTACATAATCAGGATGTGAAACATGCGTTAGTTCTTGCCCAAATATAGGAAGTTCTGAGGTTAGCCAATATTGGCACAACTTAGGCATATTTCACAGCATAATTACATGACTTCGCAATAGTAAGAAGGCATACACCAACACCATAACACATATTTTAGCAGCAAGTGCAAAGAATATTGACTCCCGTGACTTACTATTCTGCAGAATCATTCAATTGGAATTCTCGAGATCTACCGAAGCATTCTTGGACACCAGAATCTTTCCATAACCTCTTCATAATATCTGCCAATTCTTTAGACATTTCACCATCCTCAGCCTGACTGGCCAAGGCAAACAGTTGCCTGGCATCATCCTGGAAAACAAAATATTTTTGTTGATAACATTCAGGTCAATTAAACAATCATAAAGAAACCGTGATCTTCCCAACATTGAAGAACTGTATGCTGAGCTCAGTTATGAAATAAAAAAATTACAACTTGGTAACTAATCCAGACATTAACATGCTGCACATAATTACATGAGTGTAGCAATATGTTACAGATGTTAACCATCACCAAATATTAATCACAAAAAGTGGTATCTTTAAATGTATGACACTCGATGGTTCCTTTTAACTTAAAAATTCATGAGAAAAACTGGGTTTGTAAATTAAGGAGGAATTAGAATATTTAAAAATCTAGTGTGCAATTTGAGAAAAGTAGAAAGCAAAATCTATTTAAGATCTAATTAACACCAGACATGGTCTTTAAACACTTGAATTTTGGTCAGTTCTATCTGAGAATGTACAGTGTACTTGTTTTCAAGTATGTACCAAATATGTACTAAAGTGACTACATCTTGTGGTCCAGGAGTCAGAACTGTAAACTTTTTCAAGGGCTTTCACCTGAACTATAATCTAAATAGTTCTCAACCAGAAGTCAATGAGAGATAAGCTAGGTGTAATGAGCTAACTTGTGCTGTGTATTTCCACATAGACTAACTAATACCAAACATTCCTGATAACCCATTCTACATGTTAACATGGACCTTTGTTAAACTAGCTTCTGGTCAATTCCAAATTGTGAGATTCAGGACTGAATTCTTACTTACTAATTTGAGAATCCAAAATTGCTTTAAGCCAAAATGATCACACGGTGCCATTAAGTCATCCATTAGTTTGAATTTTAGACCTACCAGGTGCTTCAAAATCAAGAATTGTGAGTCTCATACAACACCGTTTTACTTCAAACTTGTTCCATTAAAAGCAAAACAAAAAATGCCTTTCTGTTGGTACATTATACTGGTCTACAGAATCCCTTGTTTTAGCAGCGTTTGGATCTCCAGCTGTGAGAAGCGCTTCTCACAGCTTGGGACCCAAAAAGCCACTAAAACGAGGGACTCTGTGTACAATAAAGCAATGCACCATCAGTTGTTTTGGCACAAAGCAATGATAAGTATAAGAGCCACCTAGCCACCAAGTGTGCTGGTAGGGGAGGTAGTTGGGCCTCAACGCTCTTTCATATAATAGGTCATCAGATACATATTTCGGAAACACCCTGCATGCTTTATATGTATATAGCACTATTGTTATTATGTTTCATTGTTATTAGACTATATCTTTATTACATAATACTTACATCAACTGCACACGAACATGTACTATTGTTATGATACCATGTTTGTAAGATAACAATTTGCATTATCAAGTTTATTGGCGATATCTATAGCGATAATAATTAGTTGATACTAACAGACAAAAGTACATTAACAGATAATGTTCGGTAACATAATAGTGAATTTATATATACATATGGCAATATCCACCCTTTGTGATCCAAAGAATCAGTTCTCAAATAATATAGAATCTAGAGAATTTGATATCAAGGACTTACTGACTTCAAAACCAACCAACAACCAGACACAGATCAGACCTTTCCTGCTGTCTCAGCATCTAGGTTTTACTGAACAGTAACATTTATAGAGCCCCAAAAGCAAATGCAGAAACCTATGTTTATAATGAGCACATTAGCATTGAATACCATATTCAATCAAAACCAGAACAACGGCAACGCCAAAGCGTAGCGAATCCCATCGAACAGAAATGGCTGGCATTTTTACAAACGAAGCGCAAATATCATAAATCAACACACCAGAAAGGCCACCATTTTCAAAATGGTTGCTCACTAGCCAAGTTGTCATCAGAAGAAATAATATGCTTTTAAGTAGCCACCTCTTAAATTTTTGAAAAATCGCACACGTACTTGTAAAATAACACACATAAAAATGGTGGCCATTTTTCAAAATGGCCAACTACTCCCCAAAGTTTTATTAGACAATGTGCCATGCTTAAAGTATTCACATATCAAATATGAACAAATTCTCTCCACTACTTTTCGAGTTATAGTAAAATACGTTAAAATAGCACCATTTTTCAAAATTGCCACCTTCTACCAAAAGCGTCATTAGAAATAGACAGTGTGCCATGCTTATAGTATTCACATACCAAATATGAACAAAATCGCTCCACTACTTTTCGAGTTATAGTAAAATACGTTAAAATGGCGGCCATTTTTCAAAATGGCCGCCTTCTACCAAAAGTGTCTTTAGACAGTGTGCAATGCTTATAGTATTCACATTCCAAATATGAACAAAATCGCTCCACTATTTTTTGAGTTACAGCAAAATATCGTAAAATGACGAGTAAAGGCCGCAATTTTTCAAGATGGCTGCCATGTGCTTCTTTAATATCTACATTTGTAGCATTATAAATGTCCTTTATAATTTTTTTACATTTAAAACATATTACTATTACAGTTTTACATATTGCACCTAAATTACTGTAAAATCGTCACTAAAATGGTGGCCATTTTGAAATTAGCGGCCATTTTGAAAATCGGCTTTCGAGCAGAACTTCTACTCCCATAGGGTATATGTGTACAAAATATGAACAAAATCGGGCCAAAGGTATTTGAGTTATTGCCCGGACGGACGGACGGACAGACGGACGGACAGACGGACGTACGTACGGACGGACGGACGGAGGCGTTCCCTATATCCCTCCGAACTTCGTTCGATGGGATAACAACAGAGCAAAAGATGAGAGCATGTGTGTTAGCCTGAAGCCAGACACATTTTTTTAACAAATCTGTTTTTTTACCTGAATATTTTTTATCTTGCTAAAATCACTACATCTACATCATTCAAACAAGCAGTATCATATCTACATTTTTGCAAGAAAATAAAATTACACATTGGTTACATAGAACAAGCGAAAAGGAGAAATTATTCGAAAGCAAGTTAGAAATAACTTGCTTATTTGGCAAAAAAGAAAGATGACACAAACTTTAAAACTGACATTTCTGAAAAAAATTCTGCCAAGAAAGAATTAGGTTCTTACTCAACCTCAAAGTAGTAGATGCCATATTAGTATCATTAGTTCCTGGTTTTTTGAACATTCCACGATTTATTAACCATAAGCAAAATCAAGGATTCCTTCATATCATATCAAAAACAGAGGGTATCATTTTTTGTGCCACCCTGTATTATTTGTATATTTTTGTGCCACCTTGTATTATTTTGTATATTTTAAGGGCACCTGAATTATGTGCCCTCACTGCATTTGGCAAAGATATACCATACAAGAGAGGAAGTGCCTACTTTTAATTTGTTTACTAGTTTGCTAAGAGATACCACTAATAATAATTAATCACTTTAACCCTCAAAGATACTTGCAAATTAATCAATGATTTAAGATTCCACTTCTCCACAAATACATTTCATCAGCAAAACCATTACTATAGAAACCAATCAAACACCAACTCAATGGTTAACGTTCATGGTTACCTTTCTATGTTAGCAAACACGAGTTTTAATTATTGATAGCAGAGATAGCAGAAATTTTGACCAATTTGGAACAAGTGGATTTACATGACATACATCTTAGCTGACTCTTATTTGACATCTGAGGAGTTATTTACCCTCCTAGCTCTTTCACAATGCATGAATAAAATGCAGTAACCCCCTTGAAGGGATAATAAAATTTGAGACAATAATTATATATGTACTACTAACAGAAAAATAAACCCCCTAATCAAGAATGTAGAAGATAATCCCCCATGTTAAGTGCCTAATCATGTATTATTTTAGACTATGATTATTAAGTAAGTTGTGCTTCTATTTTCATCACTAAAACATCACCATACTCTTGTCTACAAGTCTTTCATGGCCTGTATTTTCTGGCTTAAAACTGTACAAGTAACCCTCAATGTGATCAGTAGAGTTCAGACACCTTTGATGTTGAGCTGTGGATTACATAGGACTTGGTGGTTTACTGAATTCCAAACTAATCTGACTCTTCTATACTAAAATACTACCACATCTTCTCATGTGATGTTTAATTCAATCGAGGACTTATCATCATTGAATGCAAGGGGAATCAACTAGGAGGCAGGGATCAATGCTATGAACTCATTTCTACTTCAGCTATGCTGCCTGATGGATTGTATAACTCGTGCCTTAGTTACACATTGATTACCAATCTACACAGATATAAACAGTTCAATAAATGTCTATACCACAGTTTACTATGTATATATGTACATAGATTCATATTACATGAATTTTAAGATAATTAATTCATGGTCAATGGTCAATCCAAGTTCAACTGCTATTGCAAGGTGAATCTTTAACCCAACTTAATCATCATATATTTTGGTGTACGGTTTGTGGTACAATAAGAACAGCCCTCACAATTCTTTCAACAGGGTTGCCACAATGTTTCCAAGTAAGATTTCCAGATTTTCCCTGATATAAGTGAACTTCCCTGGCCAAATATGTTTTTTATCAACAAAATACCATTCTCAAAATTCACCGACCATTTCAGCCATTATTTGAAGATATTCCGAAATTCCTGACTTTTCCAAGTCAGGGTGAACAATTTTTGTTTTCCTTATTGTGGCAACCCTACTATAAGCCTTAGACATTTCTCAAGGATGCTAAGATTGTTATTGATATTTACCGCTCTATCGGAGTGTCCAAAGTCTACTTTAAGTTGTCCCATGGCTCTAATGATGGCAATCATACTTTGCACTGTGTTGCTGTAAACCACTGGCCTGTACTGTAAGCATTCTTCCTGTGAGTAACCTTTCTCATGTATAATTCTGTAAATAAATGTAGACATTAAGAAACAAAGAAATAACATTAACAAAATGACATCTCATGGCAATGTCTCAGTCACATCTGATCTACAGCAACCATACTGTCTCCGTAGCTTCCCAAAATCAAGAGAAATCTGAAATATGCAGCATGAAATATAAGCATAAGTAGTACAATGTAGATTTCCTATATCAGTTTCGTGAAACTACAGTTCCGTAGAGCAAGTGTGACTGAGGCTTAAGTTAAATGCAAATTGTTACAAAAGTGAAACAATTTTTTGAAATGCTGAGAGCACTGACACCACCAAAAGCTGGGCATAAAAAATGGTGGGTAGAACACTTTTTAAGAATGATAAAAATAGATGTTCGAGACACTTGACATATTTGTACTTAGTAGAAGTAGAAATTCCATCCTGAAATGTTCTGATATAGATATAGGGAAACATATTGTCGACCTTTCAGATTTTGGGCTATAATTCTATACAGTCCATTCAAATTGTTCAAATATCTATTGTTAACTTAAATATTAAAATTATTTTATCTTTTCAATATTCTGCCAGTTTGCAAATAATACAAACAAGTTTGATTGAATACAAAAGCAAATAAATACGAGTTGAATAGAACGAAAAACATTATCATATTTCTGAACTAAAACTACCTGTAAGTAATAAGATCGCGACCTATCTCGAAGTTCTAGCATGAAAACAAATATTGCACATGTCTAATATTACTAATGGAAAACATTGACTTACTTCATCTGTTTCACAATGGTACTTTTTCCAGACTCACCAGCCCCTGCAAAAAATAATGTGAAATAAACTTAATGAATCGTAAAAAACAGGATTTGAATCTTAGAGCCACTTAGTAATTATACAAACAGCTTTAATTGAATAAGAACTGTACTTAAAAACATTTTATTTGTATTAAGGCCAAACCCTTGATATTGTAGTAAATATGAGGATAACAACTCTTGGAAAAGCCATGAAAGAAACTTTGTTCTGGACAGATTTAGGTGGGGATCTGGAGATATACCATCTCAAAACTTTGTGAGAATATTTCACCTTGTACACAATGCAGTTCAATCATTATACAATTTTTGAATTGTCCGTTCTTTTATTTTTGTCCATTTTTATACACTTTTGATTAATTACATTATATAGCAAAATGCAACAAAATTGCTGTAAGAATATTATTGGTTTTATGATTTTACTGTCAAGTTTCTCATTTTGTAAATGGTTGAAGATGCATCATAAACTCATCAAGATACACGATGAGATATCACATTCATTATATGCATGACATTTGTAAACCCAACACCTTGATTATGATACATAATAATGAAATATAACACAATATAATTAATTAATAGAATATGATCAATTGCCTGCTTAGGTTCAACATGAACCTGACATACTTTAACAGCCTAAGATAACTCGTAAGTTATAAGTGACATATGAGATGGGCCTACAGGTGTAATAACTACTACAAGAAATTACTTGAGTACCAACCTACTGTAAAACAGGTGTACAATTCTACAACTATGACCAACTATATTTTAAGCTACAATTCAAACATGTAACTCACAACATTAACTAAATAGCACTGTATATTATACCCTGTTTTTGATTTTATAATTTCTATCATACTGTACATTAAAAATTTGAAAAGCGACAGCTTTAAGTACTCATTCCGGGAGGTGTTTTCATGTTACCAAAAGTCATCGGAATAGATTTTTCAAAATGGCACCAAGATAGGTATTCTGATTTGAGATTTTCAATTGAGATTAGTGTCTCATCTTTTACTCTAGGACAGAGTTTAGATAGGATGAACAGATTTTGATGATATAATTTTCTAATTAACTTCAAATTATGAATGATCAAACTTCATCACCATCATCAATGAAAATTAATTTAAAGATTTCTTCAAATATCCTTATCCAAATAATGGCGATTTTGAGAGGCTGGAATGTTAAGCGAGTGGCAGCTCAGAAAATTTGTAGGGATTCCTGTAAACAATATATCGAGAGGAATCCAGCTACCTTTAAGAGTTTTCACCAGGTGTTTCTCAGCAAGGGCAAGTTACTCAATATCAAATACTGTATGTAGTAAGCCTTCTTCTGAAGCCTACAGTAACACCTCTCAGTTTTCTCTTGGGGATTTTTTTTCAAATGTTCTTTTCACTGTTTTGCCAAAAGCTGGTAAAGCAAATATGCCAGTTTTTTATAGTTCTGATTTTCATAGGAACAAATAAAAGTTGAGTATTTTTAACATGTTCTCTGCTGAAGAAGCCTACCATGTTATAGAACAATTAATTGGAACTATACAGAAAGTACTGGATAACCACCATTCTTAATTAGTCGATTTGTTAACATTAAAACGGAATAAAACTGAAATGAAAAATGATGACCTTATCCTATGGAAACGAAGATTATGTTTCACATCAAGTTCAGAGGGTGATACTGCAGGTGTTCTTTATATCTCAAAATGAAAGATTTCAACAATTTATTATCACCTCTCATTTTCGTCAATGTGAATATCACCATTCTGATTTCGATATTTAAAATTTGTTCTTTCAAAAATCAGTAAGAAGTAACTCAGGTTCTAGACTTCAGATTAGGAATTGGGACTTTAATTATACTGTATATATATAATATATTGTTGTTCCCATTGTCAGGGTTATTTAGTATTATGGTATCATCCATTGTTATAATCATCATTCCTCTATATTTCATTCAGGAAATAGGACAAGAGCTCTGCAAATGATGATCTGTGAGTTTTCTTATGGTGTATTACTTTGGTAATCAATAACACGTATAGCTTGATGCTATAGCAACACATGTTAGAGTATGCAAGTTAAAATGGCTATAGATCCATACTCATAGGGGCTGATACTCTAAAAGGCTAAATACAAAATTAATGTCAATGCTGTCGGCATATATGGTGTCTGTTTTACAACAGAAAATGATGACGTAAGAGTAAAAGTGTGTCAGTACTTGACGTCAGATTGCCATATCCCTTTATTAGTGTGATTGTCACAGACTTTATTACAATTTTTTTCTTCTTTTTTTTCAGATTGCCATATGATTTCTGTAAGTCTTCAAATTACAAATATATCATGGATAAGTATAACAAATTACAATAAGGTTACAGCTGACAATATATTGTAGCATGATATATACTGTGAATATCGTAATAGAATTCCTCCACTGTATCTATGTATCTGCATGCTAATATAGAGCATCTGGGGTTGTTTTTAATCAAAGATCAATGAAATGTGAGTTTGATATCTCATGAGACTACATATGATATATATTCACATTCCAAATAAGCAACAATGGTTATAGACTGTAGATAAAACATAAGGTTCGAGTTTAGTACCAATTTAATGGTAAGCAGCAAATAATTTTGCTAAGTAGAGCTCGGTAAAAAACATGATGTAAGAAAATGATGTTTTCATTACTTTTATATAAAAGTCAACAGTCTTGTAGAAGTAAAAACTTCTTGGAAGAATAGTCTTCTCAATTTGTAAACAAATTCACCCAGGCATGGTACTAGGCATCTGCAAAACAGTTTGATGCTCCAATAAGCAGCCCTGCCTCCAGTGCCAGTAGCCTGGTCATCACAGCCCAGGTCATAAATAAAATCAAACCCATCACACTGACATTATATTAACCAATAAGGGTTTTAACATTGGTCAATTCAGTCAATGATGACATCTGAGAAAATGACCATATATACGAGAAGATTTGTCCTCCTGGCGACAACAAGTTCAAGTCAAATGATTGCAAAGGGTAATAATTATATCAAAGAATCAACTCTAATTTAAAGAGTAAATAGGCAATCAAACATTTTTAAGGGTAACTGAGAAATGCTATCTTCACAAGATTTGTATGGGGCATTGTTGCATCGATATTTATTATAAATGCACTGCTCACACATATATGTAATTAGTTATTGCGTGTAAATTGTATGGTGACTCATCATATTAATCGTGAAAGGTCAAATTATCTGCTCTTACCTAAGAGTAATAATTTCACTTCTTTGGCTGCCTTTTCTTGATCTTGACGCAACATTTTATCCAGTTGCTTCGATCGCTGGTAGGCCGCCTGATCCTCGGAACTTGGGCCACAGCCCATCTTTGATGCGAAATGCTTCACTGTGGCAGAATATGTTTATCCTAATATCAACTTCCAAGCTCAAGCCAGAGGAGAGATGTTGTATGACTAGCTCTACTATATGATCACCATGAATAACACATGGGTTTTAATTAATAATATAAACCAATAACATGGTACATTGATAATGCAGTCATGAACAGATAATATCTGATAATATAATCATATCCTAGATGATGTACTGTGTCTTTATGTACGGCTATGTATCGTACAACAATAGATGAAAATGGCGGCTCTGCCTTTGATCATCAATTACGTACACATCTTCTTTCAGCTGATATCAAGCAGGCTCATGGCATAGAGCATCCAGATCATAAATATCACTGGGTTTTTAATATCAGACACGGATCGATATTAAAATTAGTGCTGCATCATTAGATTGTGTGTTACGCAGCATCAATGCATATTGATCTCACTGATAAGTTGTTATTACGCATATTCATACAATATTATTGTATGTTCAGGACCTATTATTGTATGTTCAGGACCTATTCCTTATTCTTCAGGCCCTATCATTTATACTCAGATGATGTTAATGTATGTTATGGCCAAGTTGTATTCAGTTTCAGGTCATATTATCGTCTTGTTATATATGGAATGTTTTGGACTAGTGAGTGTTGGTTTAGCCCTGTTTTTGTTTAAGCCCTGTCATATGTTCCTTCTATGTTATTCATAAACCAGCCCTGATATTGTATGTAAAGGTCAAGTTCAGGTCATGTTAGTAATACTAGCCCTGTTATTGTATGTAAAGGTCAAGTTCAGGTCATGTTAGTAATACTAGCCCTGTTATTGTATGTAAAGGTCAAGTTCAGGTCATGTTAGTAATACTAGCCCTGTTATTGTATGTAAAGGTCAAGTTCAGGTCATGTTAGTAATACTAGCCCTGATATTGTATGTAAAGGTCAAGTTCAGGTCATGTTAGTAATACTAGCCCTGTTATTGTATGTAAAGGTCAAGTTCAGGTCATGTTAGTAATACTAGCCCTGTTATTGTGAGTAAAGGTCAAGTTCAGGTCATATAAATCACATGGTATTGTATGTAGGTCAAGTTCAAACATGTTCCTTTTTTGTTATTATATAAATTCATTTTAATTGTTATTGTAAAAACTTTATCTTAAGATCTGACATAGAGGGGGGGGGCTAATACTCCTTTGTAAGCCTATGCAAGTAATGTTAATTATACTTGAGATTTGTTAAAAATAAATTACAGCATACACAGTAACCCATAAATAAAAAACTAAAACACTTGACATACAAGTCTGTATTGTTCTGTTTCATTCACTTTTAATATGTCTAGTGTTTTTTAACAATCTTGAAAAATCTATCAAAAACTATGTTTAAGACATGCATCTTTGAGTATATGGGACTGTTTCATTCAAACAAATTTTTGATTCTATTCAATTATATTAGGATTCTATAAATTTGAGGATGTGTTGAATTCAAATACAGCTCTGCAAGTATCTTGACACAAAGAGGCTAGGAGTATAAAATCTTGAAAGATTTGCTTGCAAAGTTGAGCTCTAACAAAGGGTACTTTGCAAGGATCTCATTTTCTCTGTATGTTTTCAAACACGACAGCTTCATCATAGTTTTAAATCAAAATGAGGTATGAAACATTCATGAGAGTCAGTTAAAATGTTCAGTTCTATCAATATTCAATCTATTTCTTATCTTAGGGCTAAGTACCTCACTCATAATGTATCTTCATTTTATTCTGAAACCAAAAGTTTAGATGAACTGAATAGTAGAAAACTATCCTGAGGCATTTAATCTAAATTTTGCATGACTGAAATTCAAATGTTTATTTTGAACTTTTTTATGCACTCATTATTGTGCCAAATATTAACAATAGGTCAAACTGATTTTAAATCAAAGTTTTGTTATTATTTATATGACATTGATAACCATCCAAATCACAATGTTTGTGGATTGAACCATTTTAATATGTCTATGATATGACCTAACTCTTCTACCACAAGTAGTTTATGATTATAGTATGGTGAATGAAACCTTACTTTACATTGATAGGTGACATTGTGAATATTTTTTATAAACTAATTGTACTTATGAGTCATTTAGAGTCATTTTTCCAAATATGTACTTGATAAAGTAATATTCTGATTTTCAGGAATTCGACACGAGACAGGAACACAAATACAAAGATATCGAAAAAGGCATAGAAGCCCTACATTTTTCGAGAAGATTTTTTCTTAACATTTACATGAGTGCTTCCAATGAATATCTGGTAGTCTATAGTCTAGATACAGACCGCAAACATATATTGAATATGGTAGCAGGTAATGTATTATTTTCCATCAGGGTTTAGCACCTGGCTGCTCTGATACTAGGAAGATTATTGTATTAGAAGGCACTGGCTTTCTCCCATGTCAACATGTGTTCCATGTTGACATCTTGGCAAAATATCATTTTCAGATTCTTCACTGAATTTATACTCCAGGAACAGTTGGCTAATGTTACCCTGTACAAAAGCACAATATTGTTCTTACTCTTAAAACAGTCAATCTAATCTAGCCTATATCTAGAAAATCATGATATTTTATTTTTGGCCCATTTTGATTATTTAACATTCATTTTACATTTGATTAAATTACCACAGCCCATGGGGCAGCTATATTTCAGAATGTTAAGATCAGTGAGTCAGTTGCAGTGTAAGAGAATAATGGCTTTGGGGTACTTTAATCTGATGCTTGGGATATCTGTTTAAGACTGTAGAAGAACATTAAAGTTCAATTTAGGTTTTGAGTTTGACTCAAAAACAGTAGGTAATAAATTCCTGTACCCCAATGCTAAAAGCTTTCTCTGGTCTTAGCAAGTTGCAACAGTGCATTTAGCATGCCTCCCATGTTCAGAAGCAAATACAGTCACTAAGACTTGGAGCAAATCCAGAATGTAATGGTATGCACTGCATTAACACAATGCATTCCATAATGTGGGATTATATGTTTCAATTGTAGAAAAGAAATTGAGCCTACACTTGAGTTTGTAGTGAATACTGACTTATTGGATTATGTGTTTTGTTGTACTTATTACTCTAAGAGGTTTTATCTTACCATGAACATATTGATGGATTCTGATAAAGCGTCTATAACTTCAGGCTGCATAAAATGGATGCAGATCAAATCAACGATAATAGGGACAATCGTGATAGAAAAACCAAAATATACAAACCCCAAAATATGTTACAAATGACAGTAAAAACCATATATTCTCAAATATTGGCTTTTCAACTTTACATGAGTTTTAAAACGGTCTAAAAATTTAAAACTTAATAGATGTATAGACCTATTTCATTTAAATCAAAATAAATAAGTAAAATCGAATAATTAAACACTGCACAGCTGCCAAATACTCATCATTTCATCTTAAATTTCATTGGCTGATGTTTAAAATGTTTATAGGTTGCCAAGTTAACGGTTAAAATTATAGTGTAACTTCAGTAGAAAAAGTTGTCAAGTTCACGTCTATTCATCTTTTTTAAGTTTTTAAACACGTTTTTTACACTATAATCCAAATGTTCTGCTAACCTTGTAAAGTTGCAATTAAATGTACAGAAAAACAGACTTAAGAAGCAATTAACCTCTGAACCAATGAGAGTAAAAATAAAATAGCTATAGCTGTCACTTTCATACTTAAAACAAATGATAAATGAGAGTTTGTTTAAACAAAAATTTCAACCGCCAATTTCGAATGAATGACATTTAAAAGCATGACTGTGCTGTCAAATAGGTTAAATTTAAAGAGAAAAATATGTGACAAATATACTTAAAAAATCATCTAAAAACAACAATTCTTCAAGATTGGAAAATATCAAGTTTCATTTTTTATTACAAATTAACCCAATAATGGAGCAGATAAATGACTCAACAGTTTTCTAGATATAATAGAACTACTAGATATATTGGAAGAATCAAGGTCTACTAATAGTTAACTATTTGTTATGAGTGCAACTGTTCACTGGCTGATAATCAATGTAATATCAACACAGTCCACAGTAACGAAGCATCCTCACACAGCAACTGTAATACATAATATTGGAATTTGTAGGATGTACGTTATCAACTACTACTTCTGCTAATACTTAGCAAGGAGCCATTCTTTCTCGGAATTCCAATCGAACAAATATTTTGCTATGAGATATTTTAACCATCCATGCTTTAGCTACGTGAAATTGATGCCGGGAGTTGATAAATATGGGGCACAGACTTCAATATCAAGTATTGGGATGTAGGTTTCAATTTAGACATCTTGGTGTTAATTCTGCGATTATATGTCTAGTGTCCATTACGTCACACTTACATCATTCATACCTAGGTATTTAGGCTAGACAAAGATCAAATATTTCTGCTTTGTTATTCCATAATTGAAATAACATCCTCAATTTCATATACTTGCGTTTATTGTCAATCTAATTTATTGCGGATTTAGAAGGTTAAGAAATAAAATAGTAAGTAAATTAGCATAATCAATTGTAAATCATTCACTGATTATACAACACCTATATATTTCATGTACATGTAACAAGATTGTCAGTTTGTAGACAGATATCATATAAGCTCGTCTGATACACTTCCAACAAAGGTATGTGATATTCCAAAACTGGAACTTATTCAAATTGTGTTTTGTGAATGTGTTATCATTTTGTTATTCAGGGGTGTCCATTTTAGGAACCAACTTAACTTACACTTTGATGGCAAGTCATTGTTCATCAAAAAGTGAACAAGGGTTTTCTCAAAATCGCAAGTAAAGATCGTAACAAAAAATGACCCCTTAGTTCAGACAAAAGGCCAATCTCAAGAGTTCTATAGGGAAGTAGCTACAAGAACCCATGGGACAATCCGATATGAGGTTTCTACAGGTTCTTCTATGTCAATTTGATCTTGTGAGACCCTGGAGGCCCTATCAAGTGTGAGAACAGAGAAAGAATCCAGATTTTCAGATCAACTTGTAAAATATTATTTTCCGTAGTTTAAAGTATATGACAGACTAAGATCTATAAGCTGTCTACTTTTCTCTGAGATGAGTTGTCAGAAAATTCAAATTTTTATCAAACAGCTTCCATTTCTAGACAAACCCAAATCACAGGGATTCATTATCCTTATCAAATATCTTGTTATAGATCTGGTTTTATAATAAAAAAATCTGTGGCCGTAGTCATGTCAGACTATGAAATACTGAACACCCAAATAATAAACCATGAAATTGTCCCTGGCCCCATTGTCATTGTCCAACAATGAATCAAAATTGCAAATATTTGGACCTCATGTCTTTTGACTGAAATTGACAGGGGGGTGAAGATAGGAAATGAAGATGCTTACCTAAAAGTAAAAGCTTGACTTCTCTTGATGCTTTTTCTCCATCTGCCCTTAAGCTTTTGTCGATCTGTTTTGATCGTTCTTGGGCAACTTTGTCTTCAGACGAAACTGCACACCCCATTTTTCAACGATTGTTTATTTCGATAGGCGTATATCTTACATAGAACGACTAAAATACAATATGATGTCGTGTGAAGTTGTCCTTTCGGAACTCCTCTTCAGTGTGATAATATTTAATACCTGAAGACTAGCGTACTACCACGGATATTCCGTTTTTCATGGAGAATTTTTAAAAATCCTGTCTATTTCTGCATCAAATTTCAAACTAAAGTCCCGGATGTAAAGTACAGGTGCGCTGTGGGTAGTTATCAGACTATGTAAGCAAACACGATTTGAAAATAATAAGATAGATTGTGATTTACAAAATATACATTTAGGCCTTCAGTGTATTTTGAATAATCAAAGAAATATAATAAAAAAGTTAAAAATATGAAGGGAAACAGAAATAAAGGTTGAAAACTTATGATTTGAATAATATTCAGAGACCACACAAGTATTACTTATTTTTGTGTTCTAGGCATGGGCTTTCAATTAGAAGGGTATGCAACTCTGTGTTATAACATGAGACCTTCAAAATGGGCAATACCATGCTTCCCTTTTATGGTAATATTTCCAAAAGTATTAGATAAATGTATATGTTTTAGTATTATTTTGAATAAAAATCAATTTTCAATATGATTAAAGCATAAATTATATTCAAGCTCATGTAAAAGTAAACAAAAAAGACCAATAAGAATATAAGAGATATCAAGATGTTCTCTTCGAGTATTGCATTGTCGGTAATTATTCAAGAACACATTCCAATAAAAATATAATTTATGGGAGAATGTTCATTTTCTGTATTGTCATAATTATTTCTTTAAATCATCCATAAAAAGGACAAAATAAGATTTTCTTGGAATGTGTACATTCTCCAATTTTGAAAACCCAAAGGCAATGCTTATGTATGAAATAATGGGAGTGGCCTACCCTTCTAGTTGAAAACCCATAGTTATAGGCTACAGCCTATGTAAGGGGGGGGGGCGTTTGTATGCTACCCGGTTAGGCTATTGGTGTCAGGATTATTTATCAAAGTCAGACAGAGACATATAAACCGATTTATATGTCTCTGAGTAATACAATGAAACTTGTATATCCAAACACATGGCTAATCCGAATACTCGGATTCAGAAAGCCTCTAACTCTCACTAAACTTGATGATGATCAATTGTATTTTGTGCTGCCACCTTTTTTATTTGTGCTCCATGTGGGACTTATTATTCATGAATACGTAGGACTTTCAAATCTTAAAATCATACTGAATTTGATTTCTGGAGGTCAGGCTCCCCATAAGATTTCTAGATATCCAGGAGTTCCATGTACTTATTTAAATTTGCTGGTTAAGAACATCTAATAAACATGGCTGACCTTCTGACCTTAGCCATAATGTGAACAGTGAACAATCCAAAATATTATATGACATTCTAATATTTAAGCTGCTATTAATGGAATAAAATCTCAAAATAAAATGAATGGATGGATGTTTTCAAGAGTATAAGACTGGGATTTAAAAAAAGTAAACAATTGACAGTATTTATCAATTTAGCAAATCAATTCATCATCATTTAGTTAAATTATTAATTAGGCTAAATCATTATTTTTATGAAAGCAATCCAGAAACAACTCAAATTATGGCAAAAACAGAAATAAAAATTCAGAAAATAAGAGGGTCTCATTTTTGGCTCCCCAATATCTAAAAACAGTGAGCAAGCACTAGCCTCAAAATAAGGACCATTTTATTTAAGTTACCAACAGTAAAGTGAACAAACAAACTTGATTCATTTTTATATCATATTTATTCGACAAACATCACTTACACATCAGATCTTGTTTGGTCTATATATGTAGATATTTGATGCAGAAATTACTTTATGAAATTCTTGTAAAACACCTTTAAAGCACGAAAGATTCATGAGATTGTTCAAAACAGTTCAAAAGATTCGGACCAATGTCTCAATCATTTCTTGTGAGTTTTGGAATTTTTCATTAAGAAAAAAGACCAAAATTCATGATTCAAATGTTAAAGTAAACAAAATGATGGCTGATTGAATTCAAATTTTGTATCACGACATGCCCATATATGGGACAGAATATTAATGTTGCACTCTGGGAGCCAATCCTCCTTGCCTTTAAAGGAGACTTTTGTTCCAAAACAATCCCAGGTATGAATTCCTATGTGGGTTTTAAAAAATTATCATAATACATGTACAGTGGAACCTGTTATCTGAACACCTCTATAATCCAAACAATTCTCATTGTGAACACTTTTTCTTGCTCCCCAATTTGTTATCTCTCATTGACTGTCCTACATGTTGAAAAAACCTTGTGACATGCTAATCCGAACACTTTTTCCTGGTCCAAGAGGTGTTCAGATTTGACAGGTTGTACTGTACAAGTTATAACCAATAATAGTAAGAATAACACCTCTGAAAATGTTCACTGTTGAAAAGTTCATTAACACAAGTTTTGATGGACATAATTTTGATTTGTAACCTGGAACAGTACTAGTGACCCCAACCTTTGAAGTTTCATTTTGGTCTATTTACCTGGGGAACTTGGCTCATGGCAGTGTGAATTTTTAGCCTAATTATATCAATGAAACATGAGTTGTATAGTGGTCTATAAGTACATGTACTATCTACATATCCCTGGCATATGAAGGGATCAATTAATGAAAGGATTCACAACAGTATATGCATCAAGGTGCCAAAATGAATTTCATAATACATTCACATGTTAACTGGGGAGGGGGATATCATTTAAATAGCTCACAAGAAGTGCAAAATATCAAAAATATGGTGTATGTTGACCATTTTCAGTAGATTGATTTTGCTTCTTTAAAAGGCCCCATGTAACATTTGAAAATATGTTTTATCATGAATTTACTATTTTCATAACTTCAAAAGTTATTTTAGAGATTTTTGAAAAAAGAAATTGTGAGAAATAGCCCCCCCCCAGGATAACGCAAACAATGTCAAAAATTGAAGGTTTCTCTAGATACTGAACTAATTAAGTTTAGGGGTTGGGGGTTTCAGTTTCCCATCCAACAAAAATAAATGTTTTATTATATTCCTGAAGCCTCCATACATTATTTGGTTTTGTTTTGGTTACGTTTTGGTAACAAGGCATCACATGGACAAAAACATGTACAACATGTCTCTACCAATGGGTGATCCTATACAGATTTTTCATCCTAATCACTTGAAGAGACAAGTTTACCCAGAATGCCAAAAAACTACCCAGTTCGAGATTTTCATTCAAAGAATCACCCCTGAAAATTTGGAATCAATTGATGCATGGCTAGGAGCTTGTACGTGTATATGATACTTTTGTCCTCTGTTATGCCAAAATGGAAAATATTTAAAGATATTTCTAAATCTGTCCCATTTCAAAGAACCATGTGATCATCTTGGCAAACAAAATGATACCCTGGATAATGTGAAGTATCTATCCCTGGGCATCTAACCAAGCTTGTACAATCCAATTACAGCATGATACTTACTCCATGGGGTACGCCATATACAGTCCTTATATACCTCCGTCATACCAATCACTTTGACTAAAGAAGATTTTCATGAAAATTCTATAGCACTTTCAACTTTCAACCCTATTGTCACATGGAAAATAAGTCACAATTTTTAATGTAACACTTTCTACCATTAAACAGATATAAAAACCAAACATGAACCAAATTGGTCCACTGATGTATGAGTTATTGCCTTGATGGATTCACAGATGGACTGGCTGCAGAATGGAGGGATTCACGGTATCTCTACTGAACTTGAATCATTAATTTGGATAATCAATGAAACATTGCTTTATGAAACATGTGCCTTTGTGAAAATGCCTAGACTGATTATATGTACAGAAGGATTACAAACGAAGAGTTTGATTGACAGTTGTTATTTATTGCCATGGCTACTCATCCTATTGGCTCAGTACATGACTAACATGTTCACTTATATAATTTTTAAATAGCAGTTATTGAGCCTGTCATGACTTCTTGTTCTAACATGAACTACATGTCCAAGTATATTATTATTAAAAATTGAGTCATATCAGGTTGTCATTTTCTCTAATGTTGCCAGTTCAAAAAGTTGAAGTAAAGAATTAAAAAGTTACTCTCATCCTGTACCAATACAGATCAATAAAATGAATTTGAGGCTGACCATAAATGAGGCCACTAATTACATAAATTCTGCATTGCCAACATGATAGTTTATACAGATACAAAGAAGGTTCAAACATATTGAATTTTGCGACATTGTTGAGGTTGAGGCCTTTATTAGAAATTAACCTTACATTGAGGAAGACATTAGGTGCAATGGGCATCATAATAACAAGATTTAAATTAAATACAAACATTGTCTGTGTATTATAATTACATTGGAAAGGCTTCAAATATCAAGACGCTCATACAATACTGCAACTAATCCAACCATGTTTGTTTTGTGAAAATCCTATTTGCATGTCATATTTTCAGATGACTCAGACACTGTCAATGTGAAGGTGGAAAACAAGTGTTCAAGCATCATTTATACATATGAGATGGGAGACATCATAACTGGTCAAGAAACTTGGACTGGTTCCATGCCAAAGTGTCTATATGTCGATCAAATTGTCCCAGTCTTCCTATGCAATCAATACTAGCCATATGCAATATTGTTTTCTGCCATCTATTAACAGGTCCTGAAAGTAAAAGCATAATTGCTGTTTCAATGTAAAGCGAATATAATTTACATACAATTTTCTTAGCCAAGATCTGGCAAAAGATTTTGCAACTTTTTGAAAAGGCTATGAAAGTAAGATTAAGGTATTGACATAAACTTTTATTTACAGAAACTTGAGGAGAGGCATATTATATTTAAAATATGCCTCTCCTCAAGTTTATTAATGTATTGACATAAAAATTTATTTACAGAAACTTAAATATGCCTCTCCTCAAGTTTCTGTAAATAAGTTTTTATGTCAATACCTTAATGTTATGATACTTTCCTAGCCTTTTCAAAAAGTTGCAACATTTTTTGACACACCCTGTATATATAGGCCATAGGATATACAGGGAGGCCCAAAAGCAGGATTGCAGTTACTCAACAATCTGTAAAGTAGCTGTCACATTAGCCGTGTGGGCTTATCATTTGTCACAATGTGGTCAATTTTGGGCATTGATTTTTAATTAACTCAGATCAATTAATTTTTGTATTTGGTGTGATGGGATGGGGGCTACCCTTTGCAATCGTTCGACTTCCCTACTAAAAGAGAGCCTCATCTTGACTCTTTCAGTTTACAATAAATCTCTGAACTCACAGAGTCATTCAGAGTTTGTCGTCCTCTGACATCATCGCATAGTTAGAGAGCACGCATTTAGCATGTATTCCTTTCAGCTTGCTGATTGGTTGGAAAATGATCAGCGTGGTAGGTTTGAAATGATATATGACCCGGGCCCCACTACAGGGATAGGTTGTGGAGGCGGGGCTATTAAACTGTAATATAGTCTATACTAGGCAGAGGGTATTTCTTAACTCGACTCTGCACGCAGGCAGATGGGGATATTATGCAGTGAGCCCACACTGCCTAAGTGTGACAGCTCCATAAACCAACTTTTGGGCCACCTAATATAATACTCTAATTTAACTTATTTTACAAAGTGTTAGCACAATGAGACTATTTTTGTGTGCCCGCAGTGCTAGTAAATTGCGTAATATTTTAATGAGATTGCTTGTAAAAATGTGTGAGCATGTAATTTGCAACGCATGGGCTCATTGTTCTTTTTCATGATACCTAGGAGGAAGGCTTACTAAATATTATGCAATATACTTGCGCCACAGTCAGTTCAAAAATGCAGTCTAAAAACTTCAGGTATTTAAATTTGTTTCTTTCACACCTTTCTGATTACAAGCATATCGGCAGCTGATTTTTGAGTGCATAGGTAAAGTGTCAATGTCCATATACTGTACTTCCGGTTTTTTTCGCGTGCGATTTAGTTTCGCACTTCGCACGTGATTGTGGATTGTGGTAAATTTGGGAAAATTAATCTTCGCGGAATTGTCAATTAAATCCCCGGGGATTTGTGAAATTTCTTGGGAGTCCTAAGTATGGGATACTAAGTAACAATGTCTGTTACAGTGGCTTATTAGATCAAATAAACCCAAAGATTACGATGTAATAGAGGTTAAGGTGCAGTGTGTTGTTGACCCAGATATTAGGTATTCCATTAGGTGTAATTTGTGAAATTCGCGAAATAAACCGGGAGTACAGTAAAACATGTCCTATACATATGAGATCATACCTGCACCAGGCTTGGAGAATAATGAAGGTTTAAGTGGCTTGCTGATAGGGATTCTCTTGATACAACCAATCTCCTCTAGTATCTGCAACAAAAAATAATATGGCTCATCTACCAGGTATAAATGAATAATCTTGTGAGGCGTAATATTTTGTATTTTTGGTCAGATTTATTGATTTCATGCATTTACATGTTTTTCCTCTCGTATGTTATACTAACAAGGCATTAACATGCAAAATGTCACTACCTGCCATTTGTTACAGATGCCAAGTAACAGACATCATGTTACAGATGCCAGACACTAACCGATGCCACAAAAAAGTCAGAGACTATAACAATATGTCGCCAATTGTGGTGGTGACATAATAACAGCAACTCCACAGAGTAGCAAATTTGAACCAAATCAATCAACTGGTATTTGAGTTAACAAACATTAAATTTTTCATATGAAAAATGATGGCTACTTTGAGACGAGCAGTCATGTTTAAAATGCCTCCTTGCGCAGAGTACCTTTGGTAAAATGGTTTGACAAAATTCCATAATTTGGTCCATTATGAATGTTATCAGAAACCAATTACATTATTTTTAGGAAAAATAGCAGCCATCTTGAAATTTTGCACACCATCTTTAAAATTTTTCATTTAGCAGAACTCCTTTGTCACTAGGCATCAGCGTGTAAAATTTGAACCAAATTCATCCACTGATATTTCAGCAATCAAAGATTACATTTTTATGAAAAAAGGTGGCCATTTTGAAATTCAGTATAAACACCTTGAAATTATTTTCTTCAGCATCATCATATAAAATGTCAACTAACATCCACTGATATTTGAGCTATCAAAGACTACTTTTTTTTACAAAAACTGACAGCCATTTTGAAATTCAGACACAGTTTTTTTCCTTGAAAAGAGCTCCTTTATCTGCAGGCATCAGTATATAAAATTTGAATCCGTCAACTGGTATTTGAGTTATCAGACTACTTTTTTACAAAAATGGCAGCCATTTTGAATTAAGTAGCCATCTTAAAAATTACTTCATTAGCAAACTTTCTATGAGCCTAGGATATCTGTCTACTGTTATTTATCAAATCATAAATGCAAAAGTGGATTATGTGTGTAAGATTGTTAACAAAATCAAAATGTGATCAATGACACTCCTCATACGTCTCTCATAAATCGGCATCAGGCCAGGCACTGCATTAATCATTTATGTAGCATTTTAATGCAATACTATTATGTACGCAGGGACTTTTTTAGTGTGTGAGACATAAATTAACAAATTCACTACTACTCCAACTATAAACTAGATAACAGGAACGCCAAGGCATAGCAAATCCCATCTAACAGCCATGGCTGCCACTTTTGGAAATGGCAGCCTATTAGCCATATTGGCATAAGACAGTGTAATGTGTTTCCAACAGAATCGCTCAAATACTTTTTCTGGCAATCATATAAAATAACATGCATAAAAGTGGCCACCATTTTTAAAATGGTTGCACACGAGCCAAATTGTCATAAAAAAAAAGAAATATGCTTTTAGTAGTTAAATATTAATAACACAGATAAAAATATTCACATATCAAATATGGAAAAATTCAAAACAGATTAATATTTCAATCTTTATGTTGTACCAAACATACAGTAAAATTGACATTAAAATGGTTAACACTTAGGAGCCAGTGGCCATTTTGAAAATCAGCTCTCAACCAGAAGTTGTGCTCACTTTGGACATAAAAGTATAAATATAAACAATATTGAGCCAACAGTATTTGAGTTATCGCCTGGACATGTTGATGGACTTATGAATGATGTACGGATGGACAGAGGCTCTCTATAACACCCCAAACTTCTTTCAATGGGATAATAAGGTAAATGAAAAGCCGATTTATTCTCACAACAACAGCAATGGAACAACCAAAGATGAACTGGATATACACTTGGATTTCTGTCATGCTTCTGGTGCATAGCCTAGCTGGATATCATTTATCAGGTTTGATATTTCTTAAATTTTGAGTGTTTCAGGACCATCAAATGTCAAAACTTTGGCATCAATTAAATGGATTACTTCAATTTAGAACAAGCATTCAATATAAAATGAGATTCACTAATATGATTCTAATTTTCTAAGTCTAACTCTATCTGTTATATAAAAAAAAATACTTCTGGCAAATTTCAGGATGTCAAAGACTGGAGTGTGAAGGAGACAATGTAACAACAACTTTAGAATGTCCAGAGAATTCTGTTATTCGGATTTTTAGAGTAAAGAACATAGCTGAGAGAAGGTGCAATGGTTTTAAATTATGTGAAAGTCGGATCCCACATCCAAATAACACAAAAAGATTATGCAATTATCGCACCAAGTGTACATTCCAAAATATGATTTATGAAGATGGCCAAGGTGAACGATGCAAGACACATGAAGATGGAAATGGCATTTCGCATAAGACAACATCACAAGAGATCTGCTATGTCTGTAGGAGTAATAAACATTGTAAGATGAACTTATGTCCCTTTATCATGGTACATCATGTTAAGTCATATTATTTGTAATGCTCTCTTTGTCAGATAAATGAATAACATGAAATGAATTGCTATTGAACACATGGGTTATTTTAAATGTCTATCTAGATATTCTATAATAGAAATAATATTTTCCTAAGTGTGAAATAACAATTAATAATTTCTATTACAGTGGAAGCAAAGCCAACATTTGAAACCCCAACCAATACTTCCCAACAAACCAACAGAGTAAGAGTGGCACATACAATAAGTGCACTGCAACATATAGCAGAGATCGTGTGTGGTCCTCTTATCATAATAATTGTCGTAGTTGTATGTTTGCGCGGCAGTGTGCGCACCTATAAAGGATTATTTTCTTGACTGAAACATTTATGTTGCTCAAAGAACTACTCAAATAATGTAACATAATACAAATGGTTACAAGGCTGTTTTTCAAACAAAAAAGAATTTAATTGATGTAAATAGAACATTTTAGGAGCTGAACAGAAATATTGTCATTATTTAGTCACCGACCCAGTTAAAATGAAACCGAAAATGCATAATGGAACTCTTATCTTAAATTACTTCATGTTAAGATACTAAATAATGCATTAATGTCACATATAAGTGCACAAAATGGGCTGTTGATAATCAAGAAGTATGGAGGTGTGAATGATCTATTCAATTGTTTTTCTGAATTTCCTCAATGTACTTGAAACTAAAATAAAATTAAACTCAACCGAGTAGCAAATCCTACTAACAAAACATTTTTTGATAAATAGCAGGCATCTAAAATCCTCTCTTGATTTCAATTGCATAGGACTATCTTTGGGTAATAGAAAAAGTTTGTTCAAAGACACAAGCTAGATGGTGCTTTATATTGGAAAGATAAACATTTTTCAAAATGGCCACCAAAAATCACTGACAATATCTTTGCTTCTGTGCTTGCTTCAATAATAAGATCTGTGTCAATATTTACATTAATGGGGTTGAAAAATTCAATTAATTAGGTTTCAAGTTTTTATTTCATAAAAGAAGTATGCATTCCTTGAAATGGTCACCGGAAGTATAATAAAGATGGTATTTTTGCTTCTGTGCAGACTAAGATGATAAAATTGGTGTCAAAATCTACATTTAGAAGTTTTGTAAAATCCATTTAAATTGATTTCAAGGATGAAAATGACAATAAATTTAATATGACAATATTCAGTCTTGAATGTGTAAACATAGGCATTTTTCAAAATGGCCGCCAATTAACAACACACTTCATAGTTTTGCTTCTGATAATTTAAGTGTAACATATATTTTCTTATGTTCTCACCATTTATCAACATTATCAATGCAGGTAGCATATAGAGATAAAATGCTATGGGTAGCGACAGAGTAAAACAAGGCATTAACATGCAAAATGTTAACACATGCCATTTGTTACAGACCAAACTCCTGACTGTAGTACTTTAAATGTGCAAATATTCATTTGCTCCAATCGATGCTACTGAAGTATAGTGTTTTAAATGTAAAGAACATTTAACATTACATATAGATGGAGTATTGGTATAACTTCACCATTAATATTTTGAACCATGAAACTATATACCATATAACTAAAAGAGGAATCAATTGGTTAAACAGTAACATCACTAAGTGAATTATATACAAGGGCAAAATAATACTGAAAGTGTACATTATATTATTATCTTGAGGGGGGGGGGTGCATGTAGCGATCATAATCATAATATTGGAAATGAGTCAAATCACAATTCACGTTCCGCTTTTTCAACAATCAGTCTAACTTCATATTTTGGAGCAAGACACATCACTCACTTTTTATGACTTCAGTAATATTTTGTGAAGACTTAAGTTTTATATATCATATGATTTCAAGTTTAGGCAACATTAATACAAAGTACAATGAACATCATATCTATAAACACGTACTGAGAAGTATTGTTTCAGAAAATTATCAAAATTAGAGAGTTGCATTTTTGTATTAGCCTGTAAAAGTACCTCAGTGAGTTCTGTAATTGCAATAGGTTGCAGACTAGGGTTGAACCTAGCGTTAATGGCATCACTTGTGCAGCCTGGAGATGTCATAATGAACAGTAGAACTGCCTCTATCATTATCTTGAATGTTGGTTTGTTTAGTGTTCCTTCTGGTTTAATCCAAGGCCGTGATACCAGCTGGATTGGGCGATACCTGTACAGAAATAAGACACAATTTAACTATGAATTTTATTTAAATTCATACTACAGTAAGACGTGTACATCCGAAAACCTGGCTAATCCAAACAACTCCCAATCCCAATTTTGTCCTGTTTTTTCCTCCTACTGACTCCCAAGCACGCTCCCAACTTAAAAACCTTGAAATGGGAACACATTCCAATTTGAACAGTGAATAGTCATACTTGAAAAATCAATCAAATGTTTCATACAAAATCGCTCAAATCTTTGAAAGTTAAAAACATTGACTTGTCATGCTATCAGAAAAAACGGGGTCAACCCAGTTGTCCGAAACCCAGTTGTCCGAAACCCAGTTGTCCGAAACCCAGTTGTCCGAAACCCAGTTGTCCGAAACCCAGTTGTCCGAAACCCAGTTCTCCGAAACCTAGTTCTCCGAAACCCAGTTCTCCGAAAATTAAAAAATTAAATGTCTTAGTAACGAATCTTGTCGCAACTTCGCGAATCAGGACAGCATTGGTATCACGTTGACATCGGTTAGCCCGGTCAATAATATGTCCGAAAGTTCACGATCATATTACTAGATTCTCGGCACATAGACTTATATGGACATTCTACAAATTTTGAACCGCATTGTCCAGCACGAATCGCACTCCTTCTTGGTGAAAATTCAAGACTGCCGCCAACATTTTAGACAATTATCACAGTCGAAGAGAATATTCTGGCGAAAGGAATATCTATCATTAGAATAACGTATGGACGTCCGTGACAATTATATATATTCATTTGATAATTTTTTTCATTCCCTTTTCTCAATAAAATATGGTTAATTATGTTTTCCAATATCAATTGATAATATTTCTACCCTGAAAAATATCTAAAAAGAAGATTTTGGTTGTTCAGTACCACCCATTGATTTCGTCCAAATTTTCGATAAATCAATAAAATATGCTCATTTCGTATAACTTATATATGTGGCATATATACATATCAGATGTCTATCCTTTTTTCATCATAATATAAGAGGTTTGTATGTTTTAGTAGAAACGTATTCCTTTCCAAACATTTAGATTTAAGAATTTCTCCCATTGGTGATATTGTTCAAAATCAAAACTGTGTTTTGCGATATATTGAACTGTTGACGTCCTTGGTTGAAGTATTAGTGTGTAATAGTTTGTAGTAGAGCCAAGATTTGATCTGTATCATGTTGTCACTCGATATAATAGTATAGTTTCCATATAGTTTTTGAAATCTCGCTAAATCTCGTTTTTCGTGAGATTTTAAGAGACTTGCATATTAGACCTCTAATGACTTACATTACCTTCTTTTAAATGGCATATTTGAATTCAGTGAAATGTTTTCTCCTTTAATAGCTTTGATTTACACAGTTATGTAATTTGAATAATTTTCTATGACAATTTAAAAAAACTTGGGCCAAATGTCCATAGATGCAATGCTAAAATTCTTTAAATCCGTGGATTATTTGTATGTCAATCAACATTTGCATGTTTAATCACATCATGTACATAAACAGGGTCATCATGTGGTATATCATTCAAGTTTTATACAGATTCAACAAACACATTTTGATAAATCATGAAATTAAGCCATTTTCCAAGATTTTAACATGTAAATGAATGGAGCTCTAGCCCAAGTTAAAAGCTGAATAAAAGATGGCAGCACGAGATTTCATTGATTTTTCTGCTATTTAGAAACTATCCTATTGCCACGCGGTCCTAACTTCGACCGTTAATTTGAATTTTTGACCTACCGGATATTTGAAAATCAATTACGAGTCTCATACTGCACCGTTTTTCTTCAAACTTGTTCCATTCAAAGCATGACAAAAATCGCTTTCTGATGGTACGTTATTATCTTAAACAGAGTTCCTACTTCCAGCGTAATTTTGGTCCCCAGCTGTAAGAAGGCCTTCTAACAGCTGGGGAGTGGGGACCAAAACGCTGCTAGAACGAGGGACTCTTTACAATAAAGTAATGCACTGACAGAAGTGCAATTTTGTTTTGCTTTTAATGGTATAATGGAAGAAAAACGGTGCAGTATGAGACTCGCAATCCTTGATTTTCAAGCATCTGGTAGGTTAAAAATTCCAATTAACAGCATTTGACTATTTTGAATTTCACAAAGATTAATTCAAAATGATTCCAAATATGTTTAGTTGCTATAAGTTCCAGCAAGATTGAATATATGTCTCTAGGACTTGCATGTTTATCCAAAAATCTATAATGCTTCAATTTACAGTCATAAAACCTTAAACTTACATTTGTATTAACATATACGTACATCTGCTTGCCTCACTAAATATTTTAACTATATATTGAAATGGCAAAGATTGCTTAACAGTTATATATTCTGCCATCCGTTTGACCCTAGATTTGAGCTTCAGACCCTATATTTAAGGGGTCAGTACCCGGTGTTTGTAACAAATGGCAGGCTGTAACAATGTAAATGTTAATGCCTTAATCGTTAATGGATGAAGTGGGATGGGAGGTATCCCACTTATAGAGGTCCATTTAACATTAATGAGTTGGTCTTGGCACTCTGAAATGTTCCACTTGACATATTTCACTCCAATCCATCTAGCTCTATGAACGAGCACTCTTTCATTGGTAAAGGGTGTATTTGAGAGTAAATATCAACTGAACGATTCCTCCATGGGCTAGTATTTAGCCTAATAAAAACTGTCGAAAGATGAAAATACAGGTGATACAGATCTTCAAATAAACAAAGTTAAATTATGCTATTCTCATTGCAAAGTGGCGTTTACATATTAACATACATAGGGGTCTACAATTTTTAAACCAATTTTCTTTATGCCCCATGGGGCTTTTTGAGAGGGAACAACATTTTTCCAATGTGTGATGGGCGTTCATAAAAGGGAAATAGTTTTCCCAAGCCAGTGGGCATTTATTTAGTAAAGTTGACGTCGTGTACATCTTTTGAAACCAAAAATTATTCTTCATTTAGGTACTCTGTTCGAGAAATAGAGATTAAATTCAAAAAGATGAAGTGAGTACATGGCGAAAATGAAATTTCTTGCGAATGGGAGAACATCCATTCTGATACGAGGACAGCCTGCATTCGTTTCCAGTTAATCCCAAGTGATTACGTTTAGAATGTTTTGTTCTTTTACATTTTACGATTTGATAAGAGACAGAGACTAAGAAATTAAATGCGACGAAACATTTTGACAACGTAATATGTGTACTGTTTATTCTTAAAGTTTTATGCGTTAACTTATTTTATCGGTTTCAAAATGTTTCATTTTATTTTGCCTATATAAAATGTATTGAATAAGATAAGATCAACTGTTCCGTAATATATATTGTGTTTTGATGACCTTTTTTAGAATCACAATGTAAAATAAATCCCCCGTTCCTGTCATTCTGGTAACGCCGTGTAATGGATGCAATTCAAAGTGAGAGAGAGATCTATACATCAGAATGCGTCCATGCCATTAATTTTGCCAAATACATGACATGAAACTGGCTTGAGGTGCGTCCCCCTTTATCTGGTAAATTATGACTACATTTTTCGGACAACTGGGTTTCGGACAATTGGGTTTCGGACAACTGGGTTTCGGAAAAATGGGTTTCGGAGAACTGGGTTTCGGACAACTGGGTTTCGGAGAACTGGGTTTCGGACAACTGGGTTTCGGACAACTGGGGTGCACCCAGAAAAAACGTTGAATAGTCTCAATCATAATGTGGCTTTCTAGCATAACTAAATTCATTTGCATCAAATTTTCAAATTACTGGAATGCCATGAAGCTACGTGGTCAAAATACTAGATATAGGAATATTTATTGAGAATGTGCTCACAATTTAAATGCTTTTAGCTTGTCAAATGGTGTTCAGATTAGACTGGTTTCACTGTACTGTACAATACAAAGAAAAACTTGAGAAATAGCCATAGCTTGAAATGAAATGTTTTGGGTTTACATGAGATTTGAAATTCTGGGTCCATCTGTTTTGGAAAAACTATTCAGTTTGAAGGTCAAGGGGTCCCCACGGCCTACTCTTCTATTTTCATGTTACGTCACATTTATATTCTAAATACCAAAGTGGGGTCAAAGTGGATGTGAATATTTCCCAAAAGACATCTGGTGAAAGACCAATTTATTAAAACATCTCATAAATGACATTTTAATGGAACAATATGAGAATGATAGAGAAAATAATGGAGATAACTCAGGTTGGGATCAAAACATGCGAGGCTGAAGTGGTTGAAGTAAGGACCATCATACGCAAATAAGCATAAGCCTAAACCAGAATTGGTAAAGGGAACTAAGCTATCTTGCATCTATATCCATGGCTGTTTACTTTTGATTTATCCGGATGTCTCTCTAAATGTCACTTAGCCATGTTTTTTTTTTCATTGCTTAAATTAATGAATACCTCAGTAATGGCACTCAGAGCATATCATTGTTATCATACAATTATTAAGCAAATGAAAAATCCATCCTTCCCAATTACAATATGTGAGAGGTACATCAATGTGGATATTTAGTTATATTCTACATACATACTTACCCTTGTAAAGAAGGATCATTATCAAACTCTGACTTTTCCATGAGATTGGGACTTTTGATGCCATCAGATACATTCAAAGAGGACCTAGTTCTTTTTCTTGATGGTCTACTTGGTGTCCCTTCATCAGTATTTGAGGCACTAGCTGATTCTGTGGCAGAATTCTCTGTGCCAGCCTTTTCTATGGCAGCATTCTCTATGCCAGCCTTTTCTATGGCAGCATTCTCTATGCCAGCCTTTTCTATGGCAGCATTCTCTGTGCTACTTCCAGAATTATCTTTTGATATATCAGGTTCACTAGATTGTACATTGTTTGATTCATTGTCATGTACCGCTGGCACATTGTTATCAGAGAATTTCTTTGGTGCATCTGTATCTTCTTTTTGATTTTTACATGTGGAGTCCTTGATACCAGCATCCACCATTGGAGCTTCAATGTCAATAGTTGGAACTGTATTACTGTCATCTGGTGTGGGAATAGTGGAGTCATCTTTACTTGTCTTTCCTCTGCCACGTCTGTCTTTGTAAGAGTGTATCAGCCAATCGCTAAGATGCTTGTAGCTTACATATCTGGCAACTGTCACTCCTACACGTGTTATCTAAAAATAGTAACACATGTACATTAGATTTTCAATACATATACACTCTTAGATAATTGTGTCATCTTTACTAGTCTTTCCCCTGCCACAACTGTCTTTGTAAGAATGGATCAGCCACTTGCTAAGATGCTTGTAGAGTAATCTAAAAAAGTAACAAATCATGTCTATACGATTTGTAATACATATTTACAATAAGATGCATAAAAGAAGTTACTGCAAGAAATATTTATCAATTCTAAAAATTGTGTTATCATAGCAATAAAACGAATTGAAAAAGCATGCAGCCCATCCATTTTCCTGGATCCTATTAAAATCAAAATTTTAATTTAGTAAAATCCTACTGTACAGTAAAGTCTGTTGTGAACCCTGTTGAGATCTAACTACAGGGTGTCCCGAAAGTATGGGCCCCCCCCCCTAGGCAGACATATACCAGTGTTGTTATAGTAAGTGTCATATATCATTTTAAAGCTTATCCAAAGTTACATTGATTCACCAAGTATCATGGTTCAACTCTCAAATGTGAAAAAATTACAGGCATTTCAAAATTAAGTGTTTGGTCAAAATTAAGTTCAATTTTACGCCAAATCACTAGTCAATGTGTCCTCCCGGGCCATATTAACAGCAGCAATTCTTTTCGTGTCAGATGGATATTGAGTTGGAAAAAGAGAACGGTGTGGGTAGAAACTCTAAGGAAACTCTTCTAAAGTCCTTTAACAGGTTTTAAGAGGGTTATAAAATTCCACACTCCTATCTGAAGGGCTTTTAAGGTCATATCGGAAAATAATTGCCGATGTTAACATGGCCAAGGGGGGACACATTGACTAGTAATGTGGTGTAAAATTGAACTTTATTTTGACAAAACACTAACTTTTAAAATGACTGTAACTTTTTCCCATTTGGGAGTTAAACCATGATACTTGGCAAATCAATGTAACTTTGGACAGGCTTTAAAATGATATATGACACATACTATGAGGACACTGGAATATGTCTGCCTAGGGGGCCCCATACTTTCGGGACACCCTGTACATGGGTCTCAATGGAATATCTAGAAATGGAATTTGGGAGAGAAAACTTGCTGTATTGTATATCATCTGATTTAGATATATGATAATGAAAAATTGTAGACTGAAAATAGATGATTTTCCAAAGCAAGGCATAAGTAGGGGTGGAACCAATGGTGTAAATTACAAGTATGGATCCCAATAAAATGGTGTAAATTACAAGTATCATATCCCAATAAAATGGCCTTTGGGAGAGAAACCTTCACAAACATAGGTTCACATCCATAGGTTTTTACTGTACATAAAATTATACTTTACATTAAATTAAACATTGAGATTACAGAGAGACCATGCAGGTACATTCCTTTTTAAAATGCATGAAGGTATACTTTTTAAAATCATCTCTTGACTTTCATCATTTTTCATCTGCAAAAGTATATGTGAGTCAAACTACAAAAGTAGGTCAAATTACAAATATATTAATGATAAGTTTAAACCATATAAAGCAACAGGATAACGGCTTTGTATAAAAAAACCTCCTACCTCATACCCACCTACCAACGTACGTGGGACATTATAGTCTTTGAAGGGTTCAATTTTAAAGATCTTAGTTTATTAAATCTTAGTTTATAATGAATTATAGATGCATTTGTAACGACCCTTGATAGCAAGTTGCTACTTCATCCAAGCTGGGTTCGATTCCCACTCGGGGCATCGAATTTAGCACACTTTCTTTCAATTTCTTTATCTGTCTTGTTGGACCTGTGCTCGCGGTCGTTAGTTATTTATTCCCCTGGGGCACCCTCGGGTCATTACACATCAAAATGCATCCATATGCCTTTATTTATGGATCTGTCATCTGTCTAGTCATAAAATAAAGCCGGAATTGTAGAAATGTTAATAATTTGAGCGATTTTGAGTTTTAATAATCTTTAAAATTGAACCCTTCAATGACTGTATCATGTTCAATGTAGGTGGGTAGTTAGGTATGAGGTAGGAGGTTTTTTATACAAAGCCCAGGATAACTCAATATGATCAATATGGTTTGCTCACCATGATAACATTGTGATATCATTGTGCGAGTCAAATTTCAAAATTTTCCAAAATTTTAAAAAGTTTGCCAAAAGAAAGTTTAAAACCTGGAAAACTGAAATCCACACAGGTTCTCCATTAACATAAACTGAAGCGTATATTATCTGATTTAGAAACCCATGAATGATGAAAAGTTGTTGACTGAAAATAGTTGAATCCACCAAACAAGTCAAAAGTAGTAGTTTGGACCAATGATGTAAATTACAAGTATGGATCCCAATAAAATGGTGTAAATCATACTTATGGATCCAAAAAAAAAAAAATTATGTAAATTACACTTATGGATCCCTATAAAATGGTGTAATTTACAAGTATAAATCCCAATAAAATGGCGTAAAATACAAGTATGGATCAATAAAATGACCTTTGGGAGAGAAACCTTCACAAACATAGGTTCACATCCACAGGTTTTTACTGTACATAAAATTATACTTTACATTAAATTAAACATTGAGATTACAGAGAGACTATGCAGGTACATTCCTTTTTAAAATGCATGAAGGTATACTTTTTAAAATCATCTCTTGACTTTCATCATTTTTCATCTGCAAAAGTATATGTAAGCCAAACTAAAAAAGTAGGCCAAATTACAAATATATTAACATAATTACTCGATATGATCATGGACTTTATAGAGTTCGCTCACCATGATATCATTGTGATTTCATTGTGCGAGTCAAATTTCAAAATTTTCCAAAATTTTGAAAAAGTTTGCCAAGAGAAAGTTTAAAACCTGGAAAACTGAAATCCACACTGGTTCTTCCTTAACATAAAGTGAAGCATATATTATCTGATTCAGAAACCAATGAATGATGAAAAATTATTGACTGAAAATAGTTGAAATCCACCAAACAAGGCAAAAGTAGTCGTTAGGACCAATGATGTAAATTACAATTATGGATCCCAATAAAATGGTGTAAATCATACTTATGGATCCAAATAAAATGGTGTAATTTACAAGTATGGATCCCAATAAAATGGTGTAAATTACAAGTATGGATCCCTATAAAATGATGTAAATTACAAGTATGGATCCCAATAAAATGGATACGGCAGTTCATTCCACTCGGTCTACTGAGGATAAGTTTAAATAATTGTCTTGTTATCAAAACTACATTCCCACTCTATTAGCAGCTTATTAGCTTCATTATCACAGGAGGGCTCATAAGCTAACAGACCAATAAGCTTCAATAACAATGTCAGTTAAATAACTAAAATCATATAGTGATATAATGATGGAACATGTAATATAAAGTGATGCAAAGGTATTATGTATCTTTATGATTGTCTTGTTTATCATTTCATCATGTTTTAAATCTATTTCCAGGATGATAAATCACCGGTATAATGTAAACTACAATAACTAGAAAAGCAGGTCCCCAGAGTAGCAAGTCCGAAGAGTAGCAAACCCCACGAAACAAAACATATTTCATCCTATCCCTAGTTATTTTGAAATTTCTTTTCTAAGGGGGAATGACCATGGGGAAAGTCTATATGACATCATGAATGTGAAATTAATGCAGAAATATGATTTTGAATACTGCAGGGGAGGCACCTATCGGGCTCTTTCATTGAAGATAGATGTTAGCTTATATGTATGCATTCACCTTTGTTTCAGGTAGTTACACATGAACTAATAATAAGAACACCATAGTTCAAAAACCTTTCTGCTGTTGATGTACTTTTTAAAAAAAGAATGATTGACAACCTGGAAGGACAGGTAAAAATAATATGGGGTCCAGAAAACTGGGCACATAAGGCGAGGCTGCAATGCTACATGCAATGTTTATGTGGAAAAGTGGAGTACTCGCCCAAAAATTAAGGGGTCATGGATTTGATCCCCACTGGGGTTGACTGTCATTTTCACATCAACCATTATCACAGGACTTCATTAACCTAGGTGATGTCTCCCAAAAATGTGACAGGTATATTAAGCAGTTAAAGTAATGTATGTTAAGTTTTGTCCTATACCAAGTTATGTGGTTAGCGATACAATAATCCAGTAGTATTAATTTCTATAATTTAGTTTTAAGAATGCTGTCTACATGTATTTATACAATAATATTATTAAAGAAAGACATTGCAATTAGCTGTAAGGGTCTAATCAAAGCCAAATATCCTGTAATGAAGTCTCCCCTAACCAACTTAGCATTATAATTGAATCTTGATCATGTAATGTTACATAATTGGAATGAAGTCCTTCTTGACCCGAACAGCATGTTGGTTGTATATTTTACAACTACTTTGATAAAGCCAAATCATGGTTTATTGTTTGTTTATCTACATGTGGAATATAATATAGAGGTTTTCAGTAAAAACGATGCCTCCTTCTATGGAACATGGATCATGTGGCCTTGGATCAAATGACTTCAATTGGTGAAATTGTTTGTTTCAAAATAGTACAATCTGAAGTCGTAAACAACATGAGAAAATGTTTCTAATAATCACAATTTCAGAAAATTACAACTTCATATTCATTTTTCATATTTTACAGACAGTAAACAAAGGAGGTTTGATTGCAAAGGTTTTTTACATCTTCTATTTACAGATGAATACTTGGTATCTGAAGAAGATATAATAGAGTCCTCTGGGGATGCACTATTATTGCCCTTCCGTGCAATGAAACACAATCTTCTTGAATAACTGAATAGCACTTTTACTCTCTAAAATTGAGCATGCGCACATTGCCTATTTAAAACAAAACAAAACACATTTGTCTGTATAATATGGATTCCGTATCACCTGGTGTGAAAATACAGGATATATTGTTGACGTCACATACCACTCACTTATTTACATCAATGCAGGTGTAACAACAATGATGTTTAAACGGAAGTGCTGTGGGTTGTTATGAATCGTGCCATATTCTGTTTTATCCCCATCAGTAGCCTTGCCCAAAGATATCATACTAGTGCACTGATATTTAGTTAATTAAATAATATAAAGAAAAAAGCTGCAGGGTAATGCAAACTCTGTTCACATATGAAGTCAAAGATATTGGTATGTGAATGTTGTCTGATGATGGCACATCGGTATATGATAGGGATGTTGAGTAAGCGCTGTTTTGAAGAACATGGATGGTCACTTGGCGACTTTTCCCCCCTTTACCTGGCAAATTGAGTGTAACAGTATAAGGAAAAAATAGTTGTAATACGCCCCTGTTTAAACAAAAACAATAATCCATGGGTTGCATGATCATACACCCAAGTTGTGAAACATAACCTCTTTAAAATCTAAGGATCATCCTAACATCATAAGATCAGATGACAAATCGAATGTTCTAACACTTATAAAAATCAAACAATAGAATAATATCAAATATTTACATATATTTTTTATTTATATTGCAATTAAAACTACATTTGTACCTGGTACAATTCAGATTTAGAACTCGATATCTTTTTCATGATTTTGCTATATATACCTGGTATCTATAGGCAACTATACAGAAATAAATAAAACATGACTGAACATTTAAAAAAACACATTTGCAACAGCTTTATGATAGAAACAACATTTAAAGATAATTTCTGAATCCACTGCTTTATATATATTGAACAACATCTGATACACTGAGAATAATGTTAAATTAAACACTATAACAGAGTTATAAAATACACATTGAGCATGCATGTGACTAGATGAGAAGTGGACTGCTGTAAGCAAAATTTATTAGTTCTTTAAGACAAGAAAACATTACATATAATAACAATTAGCCACAGTAGAGTTAAAATGATATCTTATCGTCAAAAGAAAATGTAACAAGATAACGGCAACTCCGCGGAGTAGCAAATCCCAACGAACAAAATATCAATTACCGAATTCCAATCAATTATACTCATTACTTTGGTTAAAATTGAAAAATTTAGATTTTAGAATTGCGAATTCCTGCAAAGCAGTACAAATCTGAAAAATAATACCATAATTGTGATCTACTCCAAAATTCCTTCAATTTGAGTATAATATAGCCATACTTTGAAGGGATCGAAAAATTATTGCGAAATCGAACATTAGACGGCCATTTTGAATTTTACGAGGCTCGAATCAGAAAAAGAGATACAATATTTGCAATCTACTCTTAATTGCCTTTAATTTGAGTATAATAAAGCTATACTTCAGAAAGATCTAAAAATAAGCGAAAATTTCTGTTTTCCTGACCCCCCATATACGGCCCCTGGGGGTCAGGATGAAAAACACGGAATATATGTGAAATAGATAGATGTTGCAAATATACTACCAAAATTTCAAACAATAATATTAATTACTTTGGTTTAGAATGAAAAATTTATGATTTTTGTGAAAAAGTCCCGTCATTTTTAAAGCGGCGGCCATCTTTAAAAAAATTTTTTTGCGTAAAACTATTCACCAATATACATCTTTCCACTAAATATGAAGAAAATCCGTCAACTTATATTTGAGTTATCTTCCGGACGGACAGACGGACGGACGGACGGACGGACGGACGGACTGACGGACTGACTGACGGACGGACGGAGGGCTTCACTATATCCCTACCGAACTTCGTTCGTTGGGATAATTACTATTTGACAGATCTTGTTGATTATATTTATAGAGTGTTCCATAAATATTTATAAATGTAAGGCATTTTCTAACCATGGGATATCTCATATATGTTCATGTACAGGCTGTCAAATAAATATGATCTCCCCTTAATCTAAAAAATATGAAATTCTATGCATAAAAGTGCATCTAGTTGATCTAGTTATCTGAATCTTCATCAAGTCTTGTTTCAATGTGCTAAAGAACAATTCATGATATCATACAGACAAAAAAGTTATGCAACATTGTGTGGATGTTAAAGTTAAGCGGGGAGAACATATTTATTTGACACCCTGTAGATATACATCTTACCACAATGTTTCTTTAGCAAGAAATGTCGCATGAGATTCTCTCCTCCAACTACCTGGGTGGGTTAATTTGACATTGTTATACATATACATATTTTAATTCACTGCACTTAATTTTTTCTCTGATTTCTCATTTTACAAAAACATCACATGGCTATTATTGTCAATTTTTACTTCCCTAATATATGTAAGTTGAGACATATTTGTAACTTATGTTTATCACAACAAAATAATTTCAATATCACTGGAAACCATACACTTAACATTTTGAATAAATCTAGAAACATTTATTGTTAACAGCATAACATTTCTACAGTGTGTATGATAAACTCAACATTTATGTGTTTTATGAATACGCTAGGCAATCAAGTGAAAGCAAGCTAGACAGACATGGGTTAAACTAAACAAGAAAATATTGGCTAAGAACATAATTTGGCATTTAGTATTAATTTATCTCGACTTTTATATACAGTACTTGTTAGAATTACTACTACTTGGAAGAAAACATGTGTGAGGCTTTTTTGGGGTTTTATTTGGAATACAATATTTCACAACATACTTTCATTCTCATCATTTTCATATATAACATGATTAGGAGTGTTCCCATTAGGACCACAAGCGATTACATTTTTATCGGAGCAATTTCCATTGACTTCTTGGTAAGACGGCTGGTATTGAATCAACGCCACTTTTGACTGTTGATTCTGGATTGTCAATGGGGTGTTGCTATTACAGGAACCACAGCTCGCCTTTCTAAAGTCATTTGGTGATTTCTTCTTGGGTTTCAATCCCTTAGTTTTATCTGGAAGCTGCAAGTTGCAATTATTTTCTGCTTCAGACCATACGCTTTCTCTCCTGGTCAGAGCACCTTCTGCAAGAGAGTACGTAAGTGTCTTTGAGAAACGTCGTAATGTCTCTTGGGTACATATATGAATGCAAAATGTTCGCCAGAATTCACGGCGAAATTTCTTGCCAAAGAAATAATATGGTACAATGTTAATAGCGGAGTTAAGCACGACGAGGAAATTGGCGACTTCATTGAGAGCATATCCAGAGGTTCTCCAGCTTAAACTACTGTGAAAAGCATACACCATTCTGGATATCAAAGCAGGCACTTGGCATATAAAAAAAATCACCACTACACCAATTAGCATTACAGTTGTGTCATTACGCTTTTTTTCTTGAATATTCAGCTGCTTTCCCTTTTTCCTCGATTGGCGAACAGCATGCATCAAGAAAGCATTAAGAATTGCTAATGTCACAAAGGGGATGCCCCAAACAAATATAAAGTAGAGCCAAGAATGGTAGACCTGTTTATATACTTGGCTTTGTCCTAGCTCCGTCCAATCAGTGAAGTATAAAGTCCTATTTGGTACTGATATTGAAAGCAATTTATATTCCAGAAACTTTGGAATGTTAAACAATATGCCACCTATATACAATGCTATAATCACAATCTTGGCTTTGTTGACAGTACACATGTATTCTGCTTTAAAAGGGTGGCATATCATTATGTAGCGGTCAACTGTGAATGCCAATGTCAACCATATTGAAGTTACCATAAATGTGTATGCAAATCCATGAGCATAAGGAAACATGTAGACGTACACTCTATTCAGAAGCTCGTGAGAATCACTTCCGATTTTGCTGGGATGAACCGAATCTTTGAAAACGACCATGACTGTACAGATAAGTACTAAGGTATCACAGATTGCGAGTCCAATCATATATACATAAGTTGATGATGAGCGCATACTTCGCCTTGATAGAACAATCACTGATAATGTATTTCCAAATATACCTAAACAGCAAAACACCAAGCCTGTGATGCCCATCAAATAATGTGATATAAGAGCTTGCATGTAACGTTCACCGCATTGTTCATCACAGTTACCATCATTATCATCAAGCGTAAAGTTCTCAAGTTGTGATATATTGAAGGATATATTGAAATTGAAAGAGTTAAAATAATCCTCTAGGCTATCCATATTTGTTGTTTTCGATACTCAGTCCTTCATCTTAAATATGAGTTTTATTGCCACAATAAACTAATGGCAGAATACTACGGAATAGATGGCTAGATATCATAGCCCATAATGTTAAACCTCTTATCCTAATGGGAATTGTCGTGTCAATGTCTCCCAAATGGTACTGTTCTAGTGGAACAAAAGATTTTCAATCTGTCATAGTCTTGGACTGCTACTGACTAAAGGATATACCAAGGTAGGTATAATTGTATCATATATCTTCTCAAAAGTATTATCTTATTGTGATAATATATGTATTTTTTTTCAGTCTCTGAATGTATCTTGCTAGAAGTGTATTTTCAATGATCTATCATGAAACCTGGTTCCATCGTGTAGAAGAGCATTTTACTATGTCAAAACATCTCAGCAATTTGATACAGTTTCCTAATGGACATTAATGAAGTTAAACATAGAATCCAATCCGATCCACATGTTCAGCACATTCCCTAACTTCTGCCATTCATACGTTTTGGTCCAAATTGTTTTAGTATGAGGCTTTAATATATAAAATACGCAGATTCTGTTTCTTATTCACTATTTTCCAGTTCCTATGTTTTTTTCTCTTTCTTAATAGTTGAATTCATCCGAATAGCGAACAAGATAGGTTTATTTTTCTTCACTAATTCAGCGTGATGTCTCTTCATCTAGCTCATCAAATCTTTTGTCTCGCTGAGTCTGTAGGAAACTACTGAAAATACAGAAAAATAATATTGCTTTATAATGTTATAAAAGTTTGAGGTAACATCAAACATGTTTACGATCATATCACAATGTTCCATTATGTTCGTGTAGTAACTAGGAGCATTCTCAAAAGTACTGTACTGAGAATGTCAACTTTTACCCTCACATCAAAGAATAAGGTATGTCCTTAGAATATGTATGAAATACAATATCACATGAATCACATCTTGTAATTGTACTATAATCACATTATTTTAATAAGCTTTTACACTGAATGAAACATGATGCCTTAATAAATAGGATCAACCAATATGTATGATCTTTGTCTTCGGATAAATTTAAAATGAAAGAGCTAATGATGATAACAAAAAAAAACGCAAAAGTTAATCCTTCCTCATTGGTGTTAAATTACAGTACATGGAAAAGGATTAACTTTGAGCGTGTCATGATGCCTTGGAGAATGTTCTTAGTGCTATCACATTAAAATCTATGAAAATGTAGGTATCAATAACATGTTTTTTTGATGATCAATGGTAATTACTCTCTGCTAATCTGAAATCATTTCAATTACACTAAAAGGTGAGGTGAATGACATTTGTCCTGAAATGATACATGATAAGTCTAATCATATTTCCTATTTAATTCATTTCCGTTAATTTAAACAGTGAAAAAAGCATCAAGATTCAAAGTTTCATCTCTTCTATTTAATTCCGTAACACATATCCATCACAATAATAAACTGAAGAGAGCTGATTGGAAATGTTGATTTATTGATTCAAATCCTTTTTTAATATTACACTTGTAGATTCTAATCATCAGTAATATAATGTACTTTTAAATGATTGTTTAGATAAAAAATAACACGATTGCTAAATCAATTTGCAAAATAGCACCTAATCAGGGCAAAAACTATAAATTCTAGGTTTTGTGGCTGAAATCTTAATTTTTTACATGATAATCTGTTTATGTAATCAATCATGCATTGTAGATCTAAGGGCTTGTTATCCTTGATACTGTCTATGACTTCAATGATCTGTTACTGCCTTATTGTAAACTTTCACATTGTAAACTGATGTAATTCAATTGATACACATCTACACCCTTTCAAATAATATGTTTACTCTCGTTCATACCCATTTTTCTAAAAATATTTCTGTAGGCAATAATTATTATATGGTAATATGTTATTACTGTACAATGAATGGGACCTCATTTCTTAATGTCAAAAATAACAAAACATTCGGAATCTTCTCAGAAAAACAGAAAAACATACTTTTTCATGCTATAAAACTTTCTTGAAAGGATCTGATTATGGTTAGCATCTAAAACCCATCAAAGACCTCAAGGTAAAAAAAAAATCAAGCAGCTTCTTAATGCCAATATTAGCTACATTTCTTTTTCATTTCCTTATTTCCCTTTACCTGTAACTATATCTGACTAGCAAAAAATCAGATATTGTATTTGTATTCTTATCTCTGTATTCCAGCTTGTGTCTTAATGTGGAGCTTTCCTCCTCTATGAAACTGACAAAGTAGATAAATAGTAGACACAGTGAATCTTTATCTCAATAGGAAACTGGAAACAGGGACATGACATGAGCAAACAAGATCTATTTATTGTAAGATCTATTATGCAGTTACACATTCTTGCTGCAATTTTCTTCAATCAAGAGATGAGATTCATTGCTATCTCGAGTAGTACTATTACAACCTACTCATTTGTTTCACACTCATTTTTTACTCATTAGGCTTAGACCTTGCATAGCCAATCAGTTGCTATCTCGAGTAGTACTATTACAACTTACTCATTTGTTTCACACTCATTTTTTACTCATTAGGCTTAGGCCTTGCATAGCCAATCAGTTGCTATCTCGAGTAGTAGTATTACAACCTACTCATTTGTTTAACACTCATTTTTTACTCATTAGGCTTAGGCCTTGCATAGCCAATCAGTTGCTATATCGAGTAGTACTATTACAACCTACTCATTTGTTTCACACTCATTTTTTACTCATTAGGCTTAGGCCTTGCATTAAGCCAATCAGTTGCTATCTCGAGTAGTACTATTACAACCTACTCACTTGTTTAACACTCATTTTTTACTCATTAGGCTCAGACCTTGCATAGCCAATCAGAGTCATTGCTGAGAGATACATAAGCATGGCTTTGTAACAAGCTCTCTGATTGGTTGAAAGGCAAACTGTAACAAGGCACTGATATGCAAAATGCCACCCCATGCCACGTGTTCCAGACACTCACTGGCAAACAGTAACAGATGCCAAATGCCAACTGCAGAACATCAACTGCCAAACACGATCCATAAAAAAGTTTGAGACTATCATGATATGACAACATTTATGGTGGTGACATAATAAAAATGGTTTGTCTTTATCAGAGTAGTATGCTAGCAGATAGACTCAGGGTAATTACTATCTATCTTCTGTGTTAGCGAGTATTAAAGGTGCATCATATAATTATCCTGTATACGCTAGGCTTTTAGATTAATGTATAGAGTAAGATGTTCCAAGAAAACATCAACAACCATTTTTAAATTGGTATCACCACCTTGCGAGGCCTCTTCTCAGGGGGGTATAAGTACAAGTTTAGAAGGCTTACATTTTACTCCATTGACATGAGCAATAGGCCATTTACAGTGGTCATTATTCAACAGGGCTTCGACCCTTTGGCCAAGATTTCACTATGCTGCCCACTGAAATGCGGTTATTGGTAATTATAAGGATGATTTAGATTATATCTCACATCACGCTAATTTTGTTTAGTGGATCGGCGTTAACAAGTTCAAACATCATTCTATTATAATGAAACTAATAAAAATCATATTGATTTACTCATGAAATTGTTCCATTTCTAATTTCCATTTGGCAATAGGCTGTAATTTGTACTTTTAACTGCGGATATATTGGTTAAATTAATTTTTATCAAAAATAATCTTAATCCTTAACTTATATTGACTTCTTGCATTTTTGAATTTTTGCCTTACTTATTTCAAAATATTTGTATTTTGTGGATAAATTGATATCTAGCTAGATTTATCTAAAATTCATGATGATTTAAATATGGTCCTGAGTATTACAGATAATATGGGATACTTTAAAAGTGCCCAAATTAATTGCATTACAAAAGATCAATGACATGGACTTGGTTATCCAAATGTAACTGAAGATCTGCCCAAACATTCTGATATTATATTTTGAATATTTCAGTAGAGTATTTGAAATATTACAAATGTACTGTGGATGTCATGCAATACTAAAGCAAACCATTTCCAAAGAATACAGGAATTTGTATACCTGTAGGCCAAATCAACCACGATTTGGGTTCTCTCTCAAATACGAAAAGTCCTGGCAGAAGTTTTTCATTAAACTACAAATGACAATCCTTCCTTAATGTTATTCCTGTATTAAAAGTAAACTGATGCAGGTTGATGCATGGAGTGCTGATACGGTAAACTTTTCTCCACTCTTCAACAATGCTGTTGTTCGGTATTGAAAGACATTAGGTGAATCTAGTACACAGCCAACTTACATCATAATCTTTTCTACTGTTTTGTATTTTAAAGAAAGCTTACTTTAAAGGTCAGAGATATTGATATTCTAGATTATTTTTGATTGGTGCAGTGCTCGAGAGAATTTGTTACAATAATATTTAATTCATGTTTTAACAATGAAGTAAAAATGCACCATTGAATTCAATGGCTTAATTGAGGTATTATCAATGTTTTAATTAAACACTGAAGTATTATTGCTCGATCGTGAACAAATTGTGGCTTCAAAGCAGTCGTATTTGAATTAATTCCGCACTTCATTGAATACATTTACCACAATAACATAGATACCAGGCCTGTAGCCAGAGGGGTTTTGAAGGGTTCGAGCGAACCCCCCCCCCCTGGCCAAAAATTCTTTCAAAATCATGCAGTTTTTCACCATTCTGAGAACTTTTCACATAATTTTGGGCATTTTTGGGCCAAAGTTGTCAAAAGTGACCCCCTTGGAATTTTTCAAAAAGTGAACACCCCTTGGCAAATCCTGGCTATGGGCCTGGATACTTTGAAAGCTGCTGACTGTAAACTCCAGAGCGCATTTCAACCTATTGAAGCAAAATCATCAATCTTATTTTCATGCTATTCTTAAAGTGCCCTATAAACTATAAAATGCGCATGCGTCCAGGTGTTGATAAACTATAAATAGCGAAAATCCAGGGTTTGTCACCACAAGGTAAGCCAGGACGTGTTGAGAGAACAGCTAGTGTTGATATTGAATTTATATGTAGCCAGATAAGTTTCCTTATTGAAATTACATATGGTTATTAGCAATACTTTGTAGGTGCTAAATATTAAAATATTTAGAGTATATATGAGAGAAATTGGTCATTTCGAACCTGTTGAAAAGTTTGTGGCTCTCGGCTACACCGGGGAATTTACTTCCATGAGTACACACATAAATGTGGGGTTCCCCAAGAGGTACGCGACAAGGTGACCTGGCATCAAATGTGCGACTAAATGCTACTATCGAGAAGATAAAATAACGAATACGACAATAAGTTATTGCATGTGACAATTCCGAGCCTTCATCTCACTGAAGTATTTTGAAGTGAAAATAGGATTTTTGTTTTGATACATGGATTCAGATGAACGTAACTTTATTCTGACAACTAATCAAAACTGAACAAAATTGATTGTAAGTAACAGACAATTTATTGTTTTACAATGTTTTGATTGGCTAAACGAATGAAACCAACAAATTATGACATGTAAATTAAATTTAAAAGTGACAAACACAACCTCCCTATCCACTCTTTGGGAGCCCTATAGTAAATTAGTAATATGGACATGCAGCAGTGGTAGTGTACAGCTTATTATCACACTACGCTTTGTATTCTAAAGCCTGTTGTTTGTAATAACACTGTCCACTCAACGTATGTTTTGTGTGTGGGCAGTCAACGATAATCATTGTTTTATCTCGGTTATATGACCTCGGCAATTATAACA